AAGACTGACCTGGGGCAATTGAAATGGTCTTCAGGCCAAGTTACTGGCTTGCAGTCGAGGGAAAAGGAAAGGAGAAAGAGAAAGAGATAAAGAAAGAGAGAAAGAAAATTTGAGGTGAGAAAAGGAAATGTGTAAAGAGTGGTGAGAAGAATACGGGGGAGGCGAAATGAGGGAAATGAAGCAGCTGACAGGGGATATCCTCGAACCGACCCAAAGAATTTGACAAGCCCTAAGAATACAAGGAAACGGCACGAGTGAGACGAAGGAAGCGTGGTACTTAAGGAGTGAATAGACCAGGGTAAATCTAGAGATACATTCCGCTACAAAGACTGCCAGAGCATTGGTGATGTAGGTGGGATGGGAAGAGGAACGGAGGGAACAGTGGGAGAACAATTATGAAGCAGAATCAGGATCCAGGCACAGGCAGATCTCTCAGTCTTGGGAGGATGACGGATCCTCTAGATTCAGATCACTACATGATTAACCGCCCGTTATGGGACCTGGTAATATTGCATGGCAGTTGTCCCCAACTAACACCCATAGAGAGCCATCTCAGGCCCACCCCTCTTCTTTCGTGCCCAAAGATGATCATCCCTTCAATCGTCATCGTCGTCACTTGTGGATTCAGACGACAGCCAATTGATAATCAATGTCTTGATATGCCCTCCAAATAATTCTTCGAGAACCTCTCTCATAGTTTCGCATGGAATGGGTGCTCATGCATGGAGCGTCAGGGGTTTTGATCGTTTGGGGTCGTTTCACCACTCGCCCCACCAATCAGCCCTGAAGTAGCCTAAATTGTACTACCCAACAGCGAAACTGCATAATTGCAACTCACCGCTATCCGGGGAAATAGCATTCACAAGAAAGTTACTGAATGCATTCGACTGTGCTCACCGCATTGATGTCAATACTTATATGAACAAGTACCTAGCGGTAATTATCTAGATCTTATATTGCGTACGTGCTGAATATTTTGTAGGTAGCGATTCTTTCTAATATTCACATTAATACATGTATTCTACATGTATCTAGGTATTGTGGGTACATCAGATACACAAGAACTGCAGGCACTATTTTCAGGGGTTAATGTTGCTTTGAGGCTTAAAGCCGGGAAGGAAGGAGGGACGGAAAGTGTTTGTGGTTTGTAACAGCGCTTCCAAGTCCTAAAATCCACCCTGATTCATGAGAGTTCTAGAGAGTAAACAAGCTTTTCACTAATTATCAGCTAGATGCAGTTAAAGTTCTATTTTTCAAAACTTAGTCCTCTAGAGTACTGTAGAGTAAGGAGCTGGTAGGAGCCGGATGCACAGAGCTAACGCTACTATATACTCCCCATGCAATATCAACCGTCCCGCCTATCCGTCTGCAGCTCGCTCCTGCGCCACAAAAGATATCGACGAAAAGAAACTGCCGAGTGACAACTACATAATTATAAGTACAGTCGTCTCTGGGTCAACGACGAAACCGGCTCGATGACGAATAACTACTTTTTGGGCTGATAGTCAGTCAAAGCAAAGGGTCGGAGCGCTTCTGTTGGTTTTTGTTGGCTTCGATTGGCCTATTCGCCATCGGACCGGTTTCGTCGTTGACCCAGAGACGACTGTACATATATGTATTAAGTAACCACGGTCGCTGCTTATAATTGTCACAGGTGCTTTGAAGCAAATGACCTATTTTCAATTCCAGGATGCGGCAAAGTTATTGACAAGGAAAAAAATTCATTGGCTGTCTGGATTTACCCGCCTCGATCGGATGAAGAATTTGGAGACGAAGGAATCACATCAGTAAATACGCTTGGAAACTTCCTGGTTTTCGCAATGCTTCAGAACTTTGTGCCAAAAATAAGACTACATGTATGTATGGTACAGTACTTTATGTACTTTTTTTTTAAAAAAAAAAAAAAAAAATCATAGTTTTATTGATTTCTGGGTACAAGAATATCGCATGCAGCTAACGCTATGGCGTGGGAAAAAAACCCCCTATGGTATGTACTTTAGTTGTAGGTATATTATACACGTAGCTAGAATGTTGTAGATACTGCGTGTACTTGTGAAGCTTTAATCACATACCATCACTCGTACTGCGTCGTAGATAAAGCATGCTCCTATCCGAGTCCTATACTGCGGTAATGCTCCTAAAAAATATAATCATAAAGATATCAAAACATTGACAATCATGCGCGTATTTAAATTATGTACCTATACATGTTTAGGACCGCTGCTTCGTCTGAAGATGTAGAGTGCTAGCACTCCAATATTTCCGGATGAGGAAGAAAACAACTGGACAAACGGAGTTTGATGGGCACATGTAGGTATGTATATGTACGTAAATTCATGACGTTTCTGAACACGACTGCTATTGCATACCATACAAAAAAGCGCCAAATCCACCTTTTTGTATGTCATGCAATATTGGTCGCGTTCGGAAACGCTATGAAATTACGGTATATCTACATACAAGAGTTGGATATAGTAGTGAAGTCGTTGCGACTCTTCTATATCAGGAAGAAACTCCTGTAAGTACGGTGTCGGACAGCCAAAACCAGCCGGCCAGAGCAACCACCGACTCCCCTTCACCCCATCGACTTTCAACAACGCAACACTTGTCCAGAAATAATGTTCTTTTGTAAAATGGGTCTCATCATGGTTGTAAACATCCCCATAAGAGGGGATTTAAAATAATTAAGAACTGGCTGCACTGTGACCTCTCAAACATTTGATGCAATCTGCCCGAAAAAAACATAGGTGTGAAATAATAACTTTAATAGCTTTATGCCAAGGCGGCCACATTAATTTGGGATAATTCTTACCATATTGGGATACAGTCGTTTCTGGGTCAACGACGAACCGGCTCGATGACGAGTGGCTATATGTACTTTTTGGGCTGGTAGTCAGTCAAAGCAAAGGGGTCGGGGCTTCGATTGGCCTATTCGCCATCGAACTGGTTTCGTCGTTGACCCAGAGACGACTGTAATTAGATGATCATTATTACCCGATTAGGACTAGTTTCCGGCTTGAAAAGAACATGAGGGTTGATTTTGACTGTCTGGTGCTGTACTTCGGGTTAGGCATGGTGCCAAGACGATATCTCTCCGGGGTTAGGGTTACGGTTCATCTGAACTGGGGCTAGACTGCTTCCCCAGCTCATAGCCTAGCCCGGTCCCATCCATCACCTCCAACGCCTGCTCCTCTATCCACAAGACCTAAAGATTTCACTGTGAAATGGGTTCAGTTGTCCTCCCTCATCTCAAGACTGGCTGGCATGTCGACCAAGCCATTATGTCCGAAGACGACCGTCTGGTCGTGATTCGCTTCGGCCGCGACTGGGATCCTGATTGCATGCGACAAGATGAGATGCTGTATCGCATTGCGGACAAGGTCAAGAACTTTGCAGTCATCTATCTTTGCGATATTGATGAAGTCCCTGATTTCAACAAGATGTTCGTTCCCTCCCTCAGCTTAGGTGGCCTGATCACACAAACTAACTACTACTTACCATGCAGGTACGAGCTTTACGATCCCTTGACAATCATGTTTTTCTTCAGAAATAAGCATATGATGTGCGATTTTGGAACCGGGAACAACAACAAAATGAATTGGGTACTGGAGGATAAGCAGGAGCTAATCGATATAGTATATCACCCCCGTTTTTTAAACTACAAATGCTAGCAAAGCTCTATTATAGAACTAATGTGCTGTGTCTAGATCGAGACTATCTATAAGGGAGCAAGAAAAGGAAGGGGTCTCGTCGTCAGCCCGAAGGACTACAGTACAAGATACCGCTATTAGTAATAACTATACTTCTTCGGCCTCACTATGGGTGTTTCTTGGCCGAATCTCGCTTATAGCGGGTGTTTTTTTTTTGGGGGGGGGGGGGTTCTTCCTGGTGTATGTTGACTTTGGCACATAAATGTTCGTCTTTTCTTCTTGTGATTCGTTTGTATACTCTAGGATTAACAATTTTTATACAACCAAGGTTCCCAAACTTGCTTTCTCAGACTTAGAGAGTATGCCAAGATCAGAGGCGAGATCTGTTCTGAGAATGGATGTTGTGGGCTGTGAACTCTTAGGTATTGTGCATTATTGGTGCCTTGACTCTCAGAATCACACTACCAGTGAGAATACAGTCATAGATATGTACATACATGTACATACTTTATATTCCAATGGAAGCCAACTGTCTACATACTTAGGGGGTTGCACGGTGACGGTGACGGTGACGGTGACTCAGGCATGTCGGAACGGACCGAAAAGCTTGGCCTGCGATCAACCGTGATTCCGGTCTAATCTCATATGTCGCCATCACGTGTCTCGCTGCACACTTTTGACTTATAACCGTCAGTCCCATCAACTCAATACCGCCATCTAGAGGGGCTGATGTCCCGATAGCAGTTCATTGGACCACATATAATTCCAATCGAGAGATATTTTCAAAGAACCAAAGCCCTGAGTATAAAGCGTCAATCTGCTGGGTGCGTCTCATGAGAGGTTTTCAACCAGTGCATGCATAGATGGACCGGGTTCCATTGCTTTGAAACGGCCAATTCCGTCTATTGGTGATGACGGATTATGGACTTCAGATCTAAGTTGTAGCGATTTCCGCTATTCAGATATAAAATCTAGATTATTCATATAAATACGAATATCAAACACTATTACCTACTTCTTTTAACACACTCCCAATTTTTGTACGTTTTAGTAACCCAGATTCACATATATCTTTGTCAGATCTTTAAATATGAGTCTTTCAACGTTGAGTGTAACCGGCTAAGAGAGTAAGGGGTTTTCAGGATCACCAAATAAGGTAATACGTACATGTATGTACTCTAGATAGGTAGCTCACGAGCACACAGTCTTGGCAAACTTAGCGGTACCTACACCATTGTCTTGGCATCTCACGCTGCCAGAACCTCTCAAGCAAGCTTCTCCCACGATAACGAAACTCAAAGACAACTAACCCATCTCACCCTCCTCGCTCACGAGGACCCTCGCAACACAATGTCAGCGAACAAAGCTGCCCGTATCGGCGAAGAGTAAGCAAGCCCCTCGAAGCTCGCTTCCACAGGGATAAACGCTGACGGATTTCGTCAGAGTATGGAAGACTCGCATCGACAAAGTGGTTCGTTTGCCCGTTCACCCCACGCAACTAGTGGTAGCAACGGAATCGGACTGTTAAGCTGATACTTCTGTACAGAATGCAGAACTAGTCACCTTAACTTATGGGTCTATCGTCGCTCAACTCTGCAAAGATTATGAGGGCGATTATATCGAAGTGAATAAACAACTCGAGAAGATGGGTTATAACATTGGGCTGCGATTGATCGAGGACTTTCTGGCAAAAACCAATATGGGGAAGTGTATAAACTTCAAGGAGACCGCCGAGACCATCTCAAAGGTATATTAAACTTATTAGATATTCTGGGGCCGGAATGAAACGAATCCGCCGGCCGCCACACTATCGGGAATGTTCCATCCTTACAAAGCTTTGCTGACAGTCTGCTACGTGGCGATATGCAGATCGGATTCAAGGTGTTTTTGAATATAACACCGACTGTAACCAACTGGACGACAGACGGAAAGCAATTTTCACTCACCTTTGAGGAGAACCCACTGGCAGATTTCGTCGAGCTACCGGATGATGGGAGGGCACAAAACGAGCTCTGGTATTCAAATCTTTTGTGTGGGGTCCTGAGAGGCTCCTTGGAAATGGTCAGTTACCCCTGCCTACTTCCAAATCTGGGCGGCCATATACCATGACGGAGCAGATAAAAGCCTTTTGAGCTTGCATTTTTCTTGTTTCCCTCCCTCTTTTGCTTTCTTTCACTTTGAGCTCTCATGATATAATATTGCACTTAAATCCAAGCAACAGTAGGCTGACTCGGCATGGATTATGGCGATTTGTGGAATTAGGTACAAATGCAGGTTGATGCACATTTTGTAAGTGATGTTCTTCGAGGTAATGAGGTGACTGAGATGCGAGTCACCCTCATTAGGACAATCGATGATGAGTTGCCTCCAGGTGAAGATTGAGGTGTACTGTAGAAATATTACAATGGATTGGGCCGCTACTCAATTAATAGACACTTGGCAGCAAAACCCTTAGAGCAGCCAACGGTATCTACAAACCCGTTGAGTATTGGTAACAGCATGCCTTATTATTAAATCATTGGACTGTATGCGCTTTTGTTTCTGTTTCTTAATTTTCGTCATTGCTACTGGCGTGCATGCTACGCGAGGCGGACCAGGTTATCACGAGGGAGTCTCGTGGTGGAGGTGAGCTTACATTACTTGCCGGATTTTTTTTCTGTGTCCAGCGAACCTATTCTTCCTGATACGGAAGAGTCGCAACGACTTTATCTCACCAAATATCTATCAAATTCACGAAGTTTTAGGGCCGTTGCTTCCCATATTTCCGGATGAGGAAGAAACAGCTGGACACAGAAAAAAATCTGGCAAGTACTCGCCCACTCAGAATCATAGTGACCTGACTCCTGCTCTTTGTGATTCATATATTAGCAAAATACCCCCCGCGAAGCGGGGATCCTCAATCTTTCTGTAGGTTATTTTACATTCAAGATAATATTAGCCAAGTCTCTGGAGAAGTTATTTACTTTCTTTACCTCGATCTCTTATAAAAAAACAGCGAGGGAGTGTGTACATACGTATGCAGTAATATTGAGCACATGATCGATCGGGTCCTAGATGTTCCATGTTTCCCCTCTCCTAACGTTTCCTCTGCCCAGGTCTTGTTTATTCGTGCTGAGGATAAGGAGCACGCGTACCAGCGCGCGATCGTATCTTTCATGGTCAGGTCTAGTTGGAAGTGAAGCGATGGATTGAAAAAATTGACGGAGCAGATCTTCCTCCGCGTGCGCATCTTCTGCACAGCGCACATCTCTCAGTTGCTCTCTTCCGTCAAACCATAGATCCTCGCGACTTCCCTTGTAGATATTCTTCTCTTTCAACCACAAACCCGTTACTTAGTGGAACAGTTATCTGAGCTTGCCCAACAATTCAGTACCCATTTATACAATTATCAACGTGAGGTGCCTCCTGTAAGTTGAATTAGAATCGGTTTTGCCATCATCCCTTATTTCCCTGATCATTTTCGATCTCTTTGGCTCCCCACCACCTGGATTTTTAATTTTTCGCTCCCACACCCACTGCAACCCTAACCCATGCCACACCCATCATAGTACTGTGTTGCCAGTCCTCCCACCACGCCCGCCCGCCCGCTGCCTCTTGCTCGACAACCTGCTGGTACTGCTTGCTTGACAGAGTGCTTGCGTTGCTGCCAGTGCCAACCTCACCTCTTTTTCCGACCCCCGTGTCGTGTCTGCGTTGTCGTTATTGTTGAACGAACCGAGAAGAGCAGAGCAGCCCTACCAGACATCCAAGAGAAGAGAAGAGCTAGATACCACCAAGGACTACAGCTCACCCACTTACCATTTTATTTTTATTTTTATTTTTATTTTCTTTCTTGTCTTTGGGGGGTAGAGCTTGAACTAAGCTTCGCACGACATTCTCATACCCTATTTTCACCAGAGAAATCCCACTACTGCATAGAGAGAGAGGGACTACTTTTACCTCTAGATCTATCTACGTTACAACGAGAAGGTCCAAATTGTCAGAATTTCTCTCGGACCATTTCATTCATTACCAGGCCACTTTCACAGACCCAGCAAACACGGGACTGATTCTTTTTTTTTGTTCTTCTGGGGTGTTCAAAGTACTGTAGCAGCAACGGGGTGGTGTTCTAGTCAGTAGGTGTAGTAACCATCATATTTGGGAGGGTTTCGATCCCCCGCGGCCAACCCGCTCATTTACTACCCATTGTTACTGCTGCTACTGCTGCTACCTGCTACCTACGTACCCTACTACGTACATCTTACTTACCCCCCTCCAACCCCTCGCGGCACACTTTACCTGCCAAATCCGACTCAGCTCACCCCAGGTCTCTCGTGCGCACCGTTCGCCCTGGCGATCCCACTTGTCGAACACCGCCGTTCTGTTCTCGCGACTCGCGTCTCTGCGTTGCGAAAATACAATCGCAACAGCTACTGCTACTACTATTGCCCACAGAAGCAACAGCAGAAGCTATAGGAGAAGTGAGAAGTGAACAGTGAGGAGTACGCACTGGTCGACTACAGCATATACGACATTTTATATTGAATTTCTATAGATTATAGCCTAGCGCTAGCATCCGCCCTCGACCGCTCTTGCCCGCGGTAGCAGCCTCTGTCTGTCTCTCCTCGCTTACTTACCACAGCAGCAAAGCAACAGTACTTACTTACCTTACTCACCACCCCCATACCTTTAAACCACCACACACAACTTCTCCTCCCAGCCTCTATCTACCGTAAGAGAAGCTCACTGGTTATCATCCACCCCCCACCCCCTACCAGTAGTCCCTGCATTTCTCTTGCTCTCCCATCGTTTTCATCTCTCGCGTAAAATCACACTCTCGCTTTACAACACCGATCTTGTTTTTTTTTTACCTCTCGCTTCTCGCTCTATTTCTCTACCTGCACGTACACATACACAGCTCTTTCTTTCGTGCAGCAGGCGTTGCTGTACCTTTCGTCGTCCCGACAAGGTCGTGGTTTTGCCGCTCGCCTCCCCCCAAGAAAAAAAGTGTGGCTGATCGAACCTTGTTGCCATCGCCCATCGCGACCGAGAGAGAGATTTCGCCTCTTCCCCTAACAGCAGCAACCGAAGCAACACCACTTCCCACCTCTCAACCACACTACGCTACACTGCACTGCACCATCAAACTCAATCAACACCTCAATAATCCGACTATTGAGTTATAAATATTAACCCATATCGATATCAATAATCTTGTGAAGTCTCACTTTCATCCCTTCACCATGAGCATGGGAATGGGAGCCATCGGGGGACCTCCCGCTGGCATGAACATGAATATGAATGGCGGTGCCCCCCCTCCTCGTGGTGCGCCCTCAAGCAACGATAAGACGCTACTAAACACATACATATACGACTATTTCCTTAAGAACGGGTACATAGAATGTGCGCGGTCATTAATTAATGAAGCGGATATATCAACAACTCCAAACAGCCAAAGAAACAGTCCGTCGCGTCGAGCGCAAAAACACGACTCCGATGGCAACGCTGTTAATGGTGATGATAACGCGATGGACACCGGCGAGGGCCCTAGTCAGCGAAAGAATGAGGATCCAGACGATCCGAATAAAGATCGAGCAGATGGCTTACCTTTACCAAAACTCCCCGCGAACTGTCCTCAGGGCTCGTTCCTGTTCGACTGGTGGTGCCTATTTTGGGATATTTTTGGTGCCAGAAACGGTGTAGGAAAGAGTTCAATCGCTGCAGGGTCCTACGTTACCCAGACACAGGTAAGCACTTCTTGGCGACTCCTACATTCCTCATGGTTGCCTGCGATAGAGTTCCTGGCGATTATGAGTGACGTCGCTGCTCAGGACTAATTTCTTTTTCTTATAGGCAACGCAAAGATTCAGACAAGAACAACTGCTTCGTCAGATGAATCCCCAACAACAACACGCGCTCATGACAGGGCAAGTACCCAGTCAATTGATGAACCTGGGCAATCAGCAGTATCGGAATCAGATGATGCAGATGCAGTCGGGGGTGCTTCCTAACGGAGCGATGAACCAGGACAGTGCCGGCGGCGGCGAAATGAGTATGCAAAACAAAAATCTGTTAGCAAGGACTGCTATGATGAATAACAATAGAAAGTTGTAAACAACCTTTTTCTTATGTCTCTGGATGCCTGCAGCTTCAGTAGGCATCGATTACTATGCAAGGTGCTATCAAATATTCAATTGCTGACAAATTCATTTTTTACAGGACACCACTGCAAATTGCTGGTCTCAAGACTCAACAGCATATGATGGTGCAAGCTGCCATGCAGCGCGAAAGTGGAGAAATTAATGACATGAACGGCCAGCAGCCACGGCCTCAATCCCCGGCTGCTGGACATAATGCTGGATCGCCAAAGAGAATGCGATTAGAAAATGGACAGTACCAAGAGGTCGGGAATGGTCGGGGTGCTCCGCAAGGTACACCACAGAGTGCCGCTTCTGCATCCCAGGCACACCAGTTGCTCATGGCAAATGGGATTGACCCAAATCGATTGACTCCTCAGCAATTTCAAGCCTTCCAAGGCCAGAACCCAATCACCCAACAAAAATCAATCCAGCTGTATGCCCAGAATTTGGCTGCACATGCGGGTAGAGCTGTGACGGCTCTTCAAGGCGGCCCACCGAAAGGTATGGCAAACGCCCAGCAGAACCCGCCACACGGCGCTCCCATGATGCCTCAGACCTCCGAGGGCGCTCCGCTAGGGATGAGCGATTTCTATGCCACAACACCTGGTGGTATGCGGGCTGGTGGCATGGGAGCTGGCACTGGTAATCATGCTTTGCAAGACTATCAAATGCAACTGATGCTTCTTGAGCAACAGAATAAGAAGCGTTTGGCTATGGCTCGTGCCGAGCAAGATAGCATCGCACATCATAGTGATGGACAACGCCGAATGGAGCAAGGATTCTCTCAGAGCATGTCTCCAAATAGTCGGGCTGCTCCGTCGCCACAGACCCCAGGCAACCCGAAGATGACAGGAACACCAAAAATGCCAAACCAAGGCGGCCCAGGTTCGCCAATGCCAGAAGGCCCAATGCCTGGTCATGTCCAACAACGAAACTCGCCAGCTGCCATGGGCTTTAATGGCCAGCTTCAACAAGGCGGGCAGCAAGATATGATGTATAATGAAATGAAAAATTCATTGGGTATAATGGGAAATGCGAATCCCGGTGGTGCACCTAATGGTGGGACCATGATGCGGCCGCCAAGCTCCCATCCGGGTTTCGCTGCTCAAATGAGTCAGGTTGAAATGAATCAGATGAATGCAAACCTTCGTGCACAGGCCGGCCGTGGAGTACCAGTCGGAAACGTATGGCAGCAGACACAGCAACAGCAGCAGCAATTGCAGATGCAGCAGCAGGCTCAGGTCGCTGCGCAGCAACAGGCCGCTCAACAGGCCCAGCAGCAGGCCGCTCAACAGGCCCAGCAGCAGCAGCAGCAGCAGCAGCAGCAGGCCCAGCAGCAGGCCCAGCAGCAACAGGCTGGAGGGCCGCAATCTGGCCAGCCCCAGGCGCAGATTGGCACTCCCCAACCTGCTAGGCAGAACCTACCTCATCAAACGATGCCTCCACCACCATCGGTGCCACCAGGCGCACCGACCAACGCGCGCACTCAGCCATCGTCGCCTCAGGTTGCAGTTCAACAACCACCGACACCAACACAAAGTCACAAGGCGAATCCTAAAGGAAAGGCTGGAAGAGAAGCTGGGAAGAAGGTGAGCTTTCGATATGTGTATTCTTTTTCCTATTCGAGCTAATTCTAAACAGCAACGGCCAAATAAGAAAAATGGCGGTGCAGCTCCTCAACCAACAGGTCCAGTGGGAACCCCATCCTCAGAACCACCTACACCAACCACCCCCCAACATCAAAACTCCTTTTCGCAGAACCCGAGACCGGTCAGTTTTGCACCCGGACAGAACGTCGCCGGCCAACCTCCTCAGCAGCCGACCCCTAACCCAGCTCACGCCGCACCACCGGCACCAGTTCCAGGGCCGGCTGACGTGGGGGCAGGATTTTTGGGGGGTGAAGGTGACATCAATCTTGATTTCGCTGGTTTCCCGGGCGACCCATCGGATAATCTCTTGGATACCTTTGATTTCGATTCCTTTTTGAACACCGAGGATACCAACGGAAGTATCGGGTATGATGGAATAGGGGGTTGGTCGAATGATACAGTAGAAGCCTCTGCTGGCGAATCATGATAGGCTACGTCTCGTAATCTGGAGTGAGTGATTTTCGTGGTTGTACTATTTCATCTGTGGAGTCAGCGTTGTGGTGTTTAGGCTCTCTTTCCTTCAGCCTCCTTTTTTCCTTCTCAGTGAGCTCACTTTCAGATCAACCCCATCAGGATTTTCACTTTTTTTTTCGTTTATTAGTATTATTATTATAACGGCGAATGACGGCGTTTTTGCTTCGATACTTATTCTCGACATGACGTCTGTCATTGTTCTGTTTGTTTTTCCTTACCTCTTGTACTTGAGTAATGGGGTGGAAATATCTATACGGGAAGCACGTGATCATGAGGCGTGTAGGGGTAGTGATGGATGGTATTTATTGCAAATGGAATGGCATGATTAGGTTCTCGAGGGAGGAAAAAAAGGAGGGTTGATAAGGAATGATGGACTGTCGACGAAGGACCGGCTTTCAAGCTTTTTTTTTTGTCTTTTTTATTTTTGGTTTATCGAGTTTCTTTCAGTTGTGTTTATTTAATCCGTGCGTTTGCGTTTTTTCTTTCTTTCTTTTTCTTTTCTCTGATATTTTCACTACCGTTTAACCTTCTCCGTCGTATGGAGTTTGTCAAGACATTCCCTACTTTTTTCTTTCTCTTTGGGCTATCCTTGACTGGGAAAATATGGCTGGATTGTTTGGGGACATCTTTCGAAATTTTCTCCGTTCTTATTCAACTACATATCTCACAATATCCTTTCATCCTAGGCCTGGCTGGTGGTCCTCTATAAAAATTCCGTCTTGTCTCTACCTCTACTGGTACCCTTCGATACCGACATCTTTTTCTTCGTTTTTGCTAAAAAAAAAAAAAAAAATCCTTCATTGCGTGGATCCTCTGGGGGGAATTTCTTGTTAATTATTTATAGTTTTATTTTTTTTTTTATTTTTTTCATTTTCTCTTTTATCTCCAATAAAACCCCTCTTTACCAACTTTTTCCTGTTTCATCGTTTATTTCGACTCAGAAAGGCAACTTCGAGTTTTAGGACATCACCCCCCTCTGCTTTCTCACCCTTTATTTACTGCAAGCTGAACCATTTTTTGTATTTTTCTTTTTTCTTTCCGTTATATGTTGGAGAAGAGGACCGTGATCAAATTTTACTTTTTTTTTCTATCCGTGCTTGTTTGAAAAAGTGAGGAGTGGGGAAGGGAGGCATACAGATCAGGAGAAACACCTGCCCTGCCTGCGGTGAACAATGTGTGTGTGTGTGTGGTGTGTGTGTGTTTAATGCCCAATCAGAAAGACGACAAAAAAAATTCATCGCATTATTGTTCCATAGCCCCACAGGTACTTCAGTACTAGAGGGAGGATCCCAACCAACCAGTCAATAGAGGAGAGTCTGCCAGTACCTAGTGTAGTCTGTAGTAATAACAACAGTTCCAACCTCCCTCCCAGCAACCCCTGTGGATCCATCCCTAAACCCCTACCTGTAAGTTGTAACACCAGTAATACCGCACCTGAGCCAGGGGTTTAGTAACCTTAGTCCCATCTTTGTCAGGCAAGAGCCGCACCGGGTCCACCAAATCTTCACACAAACCCAACTCAACCAATCCAAAGTGCACTCCACCCAACCCGCCAAGCAGCTCCCATCCATCCATCTCATCCAACCCCCCCCACGAAACTACCACACGCGACGCCTGCCATCCCTTGGGAAACCCTACCTGCCCGTCCATCACCACCTTTAGCACCATTATCGCGAAGGAAAAACAAGCAACGCCCATACAATTCTCCCTCTCCCTCCCATCACCCAAGATGGCCTCATCAGATAAGCGCAAAGCACCCGAAGCATTCGGGACGAATCAGCTCGTCAAAAGGACAAAAACACCCGTTACCGAGGGAGCTTCAACAGCAGTTTCAGTCGTGGGAAGTTCGGCAGGAAATGGCGCGCTCATACAGGCGGTATGTTGTTATTCTTCCTGTGTTCTTGACAGAATGGGTTGTTGAAGGAAGGGAGTCGTTGTTTTTGCCAAAAAGGATGTTTTGCTGATTTGAACTGTGAATGGGCGATATAGGTACCGAGGACTTCGGCGCTGCAAGCTCCGATTATGGAGTTGACAGGGCATTCGGTATGGCTATAATATCTCTCTTTGAAATTGGTATATTTCTGGATGGAAAGGGGAGTGGTTTATTAATGGCATGGGTGTTTATAGAAAGAGGTATTTGCGGTACGGTTCGACCCTACTGGCCAAAACATTGCGTCTGGGTCCGCCGACCGATCAATCTGTATGTTAACACCTCTATCTGTCTTGCCTGGCTACCTCTAATTCTCGAGCCAGTGGTCTGGAAAACATACGGTGACTGCCCGAATTACCTGTCCCTGACGGGGCATAAGGGGCCTGTTCTAGATCTTCAGTGGTCCCGCGACTCTGCAATTATATTTTCTGCCTCAACGGATGCGATGCTTGCCTCATGGGATGTAGAGAATGGGCAGAGGATAAGGAGATATGTCGGTCATGAAGATATTGTAAACGCGTTAGATGTGACACGGAGGGGACCAGAGCTGATCGTCAGTGCGAGTGATGACGGCACTATTGGGGTGTGTTTATCATTTCTCTACTTTCAATCCTCTCCACTATAAACATACTAACCCGTTGTAGATTTGGGACCCAAGGCAAAAGGAGTGTATCGACTATTTGGACACAAAATTCCCAGTCACCTCGGTAGCCATTAGTGAGGCTGGGAATGAGTTGTTTAGCGGGGGGATTGATAACGATATCAAGGTAAGCCCTTTCTCCTATACCGCATCTTCACATATGTTCATCTACTAACAAACCACTATTAGGCATGGGATCTGCGAAAACGTGCCGTGGCGTATACCCTGCGTGGCCACACAGATACAGTCACCTCCCTCTCCGTTTCTCCAGATGGCCAAGCCCTCCTTTCGAACAGCATGGACAGTACCGTCCGAACATGGGACATTCGTGCCTTTGCACCCGCAAACCGTTTGATCAGCATCTTTGAGGGCGCTCCCAGTGGCATTGAAAAGAACCTCATTAGAGCATCTTGGTCTCCCAAAGGTGATAAAATTGGTGCAGGTAGTGGTGATGGTAGCGTTGCTGTTTGGGAGGCAGAGTCGAGGAAGCTCCTTTATAAACTACCCGGACACCGAGGCACAGTAAATGACATGAGGTTTTCGCCGATCGAAGGCGAGCCGATAAGTAAGTCGATTCTTCTTCCCCCTGTTTGGGTGGTATGGGAAAGGGGGGAGGCGGGGAGGAAAGAGGGGGAAGACGAGGGGATGGGGTGGTGGTAATGGGTGGGCTAATGTGAGAGGTGTTAATAGTCGTGTCTGCGTCGTCGGATAAGAATTTGTTGTTGGGCGAGTTGGGGAAGTAGGTACATGTAGTACTTAGTATTGTAGTAGTACTTTTACTTGTTGACTAATGTTGTGAAACGAATTTTCTGGGAGAGGGAAAGAAAAGGCAAGGGATTATCCGATGGTAAAGAGCGGTGCAAAAAATTATATTTGGAGGCGACTAGGGTGATGATCATGTACGATAGCTAACTACTTTATATTTCACTTTTCTTATATCTTTTTCTCTTTCTTTCTTTCAATACTTGAACCTCAAAAACTGCGTTCCTTTTAGCTAAGCATTTCCTTAAACTCTCATCTTCCTTTTGTTTCTTCTCTTTTTTTTATCTTTCCTTTGTATATTTACATGACTTCGCCATCACCAGAAAATGGGATGGGATGGGTGTAGACATGGCAAGAATTAACATCTGTTACGATACGAACTCAATCGATATCTTTTCAAAACATGGAACATATATCCACAAAGAAAAAAAAGAAAACAAAATGAGGGGTAAATACAAGTTTCGAAACCCGGTGATGAGGAAGAGGTTACTTTACTTTCCGATCTGTCGGTTTTGTGTTGTGTTACTTTCCCGCACTTGGGCCTCCTCTCTGCGCCGCACATGGAGATGCAAAGCTTAAGCCAACTGTCAAAACCTTTATCACCCCCCTGTATGTCAAGGGAAAGCTTGTTTAGAAACAGCGGCCGTGTAGCTATGTGGCTATCAGCGAGGGTTACGGATCATGTTTTCTCACTCGGCCACCACTACCACCACCGCCCTCGACAATATCAGGCCGAATACTATAGCATGAGGCGTAGAAAGAATGTACAGTAGTAAACTTATGTTTTTGAAATACAGCTCGAAGCCGGTGTCGCCATCGTGTAAGATTTTTTAATACCACCCCCACGTGATATACGCATCACCGATTCATTAAGGACACGCAGCTAATGTCTTGTTGCTGGGGCGCCAAACTACGATATTCTCACTCAGGCCTTAAGTTACGAACTACTTGTATAAACACCGGTGCCCAATGCATCGGTGATCTCAAATCAACAAGGGATGTGGCTGTATTCACTTTAACCCCATGCTCGATCCGATCTTGTCCTTGTGTATGTAAATAATAGGCGCAGGAGTACTACTTCTACCTAATTAGGGTATTATCTTCAAGTACTAGTACATATATACCAATCAACCCTCATATCAGCTGTATTTAAAATTTGGAGGGAGATTTGGAATTATTTGCAGGCCTGGTTACATGCAGTTTAAGACTTCAATAGAAGGTGTCGACGGGTCAAGAGTTCGACTCTGCGAGAGTGTAGTTGACCGGTATGTATGGAGAATCGAATCATTGTTGTTTAATTACACGCAAATTTACTAGGTCATGAAAATATAACGTCCATTTTATCTTCAGGGCTACATGTAGTACTGTACTCTCCTCCAACCGCCGCTAACGCTCTCAAATATAAGGAAATAAACAACTGCGAAAATCCCCCAACACAATTTCCTTCTTCATTTCTGACACCATATATATGCCCCTCGTTGGTTGAGATGTTCTTTCCCTCTTCCTCTGGGGAGTTGAATCTGGCCGTACCCGGATATATATCCTCTCTCTGGACGCCTCTCTAGTCTTCTCGAGGGATTTCTTGGACTAAGCTATGAACTTGGACTGAAAGGAGAACAGCAAGATAACGTGTCTTCGCAATTGTTAGCAAATCCATCTTCCTTCATTTGATTAAAATCCCGATAGGATATATGAGTAGATATACCCCTAACCCTACCTACCCGTAGTGGTCCAAGTATTACTGCCGGTGCCCAAGTTAGTACTGCACAATCCTGCTCTGACAGGATATATATGACTAAGGTGGCACTCATCAGACGTCACTCGCTCCACGTTTTCATGCATGGTTAATCCCTGCATGGGGGCTTTCACCCAGAAGTCGCCCTGTCCAGATTAGGAATGGGACGAAATGACGGGAATGCTAAAATCGCCCGTAAAGTTAGTAGCTCCGTGAAATTGCTTGATCATTTAAGACCTTTTTTGACGTCACACGGGACAGTTTGGAATTCACTCTGCTTTGTTTTGTTTACGAACTGAGTTATCTTATATGCCAAAAACAATTTAAATAGTCACATACTAGGCTTAGGAAAAATTATAAAATAGGAGCAAATCATCATTCATTTGCCACATTATTTTTGATACCCATCCAATGAAAACAAACTACCGTGACATAAAACGTCAGAACACATGTCAATACGTATCCCCGGCCAAACTACATGTTCGACTTATCTAAAATACCGATAATCCGGGTTTTCGTCACCCAGACCCCTCTTCTCCATCGCTGTTGCGCCACTATACTTACTAACACCTCTCTCTCTTTTACTATTCTCCATTGTCACTGCGACATAATATATCACACAACTCAGCGCGCTCAACAGACTGAACGCCAACCCGATGCTATATCCACTCGTATAGTACGGAGCATCATTCGACAAGAAAGAATATGTTGCAATGATGCCCCCGATGTTCCCGAACCCGACCTGCCACGCCGTACCAATGGCACGCCGGTGGTGGCCGCCAAGGTTGGTGTTGAACCAGCAAACCACCACCGGCATGGCTGAGTATGTGCCCATTGCGAGGAGGAACAACGCCGCGTACTGGAGATTTGTGTTGTCGTGCACAGCGAGTAGGATGCAGAAACCGGTAACAGCGATTGCAATGGGGATCAGTGTGAAGAGGAAGCGGTGCTGAAGCCGATCAGAGAGGACCGCAATCACCATTGCAAAGACGAAGGCGCAGGCCCAAGGCGGGACGGAGTGCAGCTGTGTTTGGATTGGGTCGTGGCCAAGCTGCTTGACGATTGTGGGCGCGAAGTAGGCATAGCCTTTATTTAAGTTAGCTGCTTGCTAGCAAGGGTAGGGGATGGGGGAGTAATACCATATGCAGGGACAATGAGACCAAAATACATGAACCCGCCGACGAAAATCTTGTAGTCTTTGAAGACATTCACTGCATCCTTGAGTGTCATCTTCTCCTCCCTCGCGCTTTCACCCACATCTACTTGTAGCCTCTTCTTCACGAATGCACGTTCCTCCTCCGACAGGAACTTTGCCTCCTCCGGGAAGTCTGTGATGATAAAGAAGAACAGGAAAGACACCACACATGTCAGCAGTCCTTCCAAGATAAAGATCCACCGCCACCCATTCCACCCGTTGACGCCCTCCATCTTGCCAATCGCGCTGGCCAGGAGACCGCCGAATGCGCCTGCGAGCGATGTGGACCCGAAGAAGAAGGAGTACCGCTTTTGTGCTTCGGATCGCTTGTACCACATTGCAATCAGGTAGAAGCAGCCGGGAAACATGCCAGACTCAAAGACACCGAGAAAGAAGCGTGTGGCGAGAATGCCAGAGTAGTTCTTTACGAGACCTTGTAGCATCGTGGTGAGCCCAAAGAAGAACATGCAGAGAGATACTGCCAGATGTTAGTGAACCAATACTGTGCGCAGTGCATGTGATAGAAAAGCTTACGCCATAGGTGGGGCTTGAGACGCTTGAGTAGGATATTGGAAGGAATTTCGCAGACTGGAAATTGATGTCAGTAACTTAAACTATATTTGCGGATGCGTTGGGGGCCATACTGATATAAGGAACGAAGAATATCGTCAATGCAGTATTATACTCCACGCCGCCTAGGCCCAAATCCTCCTTCAACCCAAATATCGCAGCATTGGAGATATTAACACTATGATGAGTCAGACAGAATACAGCACTCCCAAGATGACGTTTGAACATACCGGTCCAGGAAAGCTAGCAAGTACAAAATACAGAGTACAGGCAGCAACCGTATATCAATCTTCCTCATGAGCTTGCGCTCATCGATGCCTGGCGGTGGAATAGCATCATTAACTTGTTGGGGAATCGCAGACTCCTCAAATGAGGACGAGGAAGGCGTGGAACCTATATTATGTGTGAGTAAGCGCGACGAATTCAGTAGTGACGTTATTTATTATTACCAGCACCACTAACGGGCTCTTTCTCTCGATCCGTCTGCATCTCTGTCCTTTTTGTCGATAGCTATACTGAGATTGAAACAATGACGGACTCAGTAGGATCCAAGATTCAGGAAGAAAGAAGAGTGAGTAAGTTAACAGTGAAAACTCTCACAACTGAACAGCAAGGAACGGGGATAACGCCCATTGTGCCGAGGATCCGACAGGGGAAGGGTTGAAAAAAGGTTGAGCTTGATCTGATTGTACAGAAATCTGGGGGAGCGGCGGATTAGGTTCCTCTTTTGGTTAGACAAGGCAATTTGGGGTCAACTATTGGGCACCATCAACATTCCGCTCCTCCTATCATTAACTATTTGGGTTTTTTCTTTTTGGTGAGACCTCCCTCGTAGGACCGGCGTTAAGATCATCTGCGTGTCCCGAACCCAAGGGTTTTTTTCTCCAGCTCATAGCTAGAGCAGTAGGTATGTACATACCAGTGATTAATACGCAAATCTACCTAGATACAGGCACTCTATTTCTCTAAAGCATGGACCCAACGCGACAACCCAAAGATCTCTTGGGTAATTAGCGAGTCTCGTGCCGCCATACTAACCCCTCAATATATTTCGGCTACCCACCTCCGAACAACTGGGGTATCTTAAGTTGCGCGTGCAGACCAGTTACCGGACATGGGTATTTTCCCGAGAGGGTGGCTTAGGCTAAAAGCGGCATATAGTAACCAACTACCTGATTGGTTGCCGTACTAATTGGCGCCCGCCGAGGCTTTGTAACTGATAATCATCATGACTTCTCACTCATGGACCAAAAGAAAAACAGGTTGATTGATTAACGGATTATATATATACAGTAGAAGAACAGGTTATATTTTTTGTACCCGTTGGATGTTAAGGATCACGGGTATATTGTACCTAAAAGGTTTGTAATTTTGGTTTTATGAGGAGAGGACTGGAAGTTTATACCCTAAGTTTCACCAGAGCTGGGTCAGGTCAGGCTGTGTATGTGATCCCAGAGCGTACAATACGGGGAAATACAATATAATACGTACCGTTAATGATATATGCGGCATTGTGCGGGAATGCCAAATTAACTCTACATGCTGCCAGAGATCCCGCCAAAAAGCTGTATCACCACGGTAATCAAGCTGCAGCATACTGATGAATCGCGCTGTAACCTCACCAACCTTTCCGGCATCGTATGTAAATATAGGATAATGATAAATCTGTTTGGGGTCGGACAAAGTGCATCGGCCTGCTTAGTCAAATGAAAAGAGGGCCGAAGGTTATGGATGCCCTGCCATATTGTCAAGAATATTTCAGATCAATAGGGTCTGAAGCCTAGATTTGGTAGCTACTGAGTACCAAAAGATATATATAGCTACCTCGCTGACCCGACACCATATTTAACCATATATGGTCAAATTACTGGGGGATAAAGAAAACATTGATCATAACTACAAGTAGGATTGAACCTAACTTCATGAGCTGAGTCCGCGGATTAAGGGTACGATGTGCATATGGTTATTAGAAAAAGAAAAGAAAAAGAAAGAAAGAAAAAACCGAAATCTCCACACTTGAAATTGTATATTGCACCATACAAAGCTACATAGCCATTCATTTTCTTTCCAATTCACATATATATATATGTGATAGGATCAAACTTCAATATACTTGATCCAACTTCAACTTTACAACCTGCGTTCCCTCCACTGTTGATTTCGTATATATGTTAGCTTATGATATATATGCAGGTAAGGTAAGAACTGCGGGAGGGCTTGCCTCTGGTACAATCGAACCCAGTAAAATCTTCGCCATCTGTAGTAGTCGGAATAAACAAAACAATTAGTATTAATTCGAAAAGGTTAACATCATGATGGCACTATGATATAATGCTATAGACCTACGAGAATCCAATAATCCTCAGATGTCTTGTCGGTTGAAAATTGGGGTGAAACTAGGATAGAACAATCATTGATATTAGTATACCATGGCACATAGGGAAGGTAATTCCGTTTATATGCATATATATATCGAAGAAAGCTTCCAGTGGAAATTCTCGAGAAAGGGCCCCAAAACCTATATGATAGTCCAGAGACACGTTTTTGTGTAGATCTTTTTGTAATTCGTCCAAATAGTCGGTTGGCTCGCCCAGGTTGCTAGTTCCTACCACGGAGAACTGGAGGCCGATATCTTACCACAAAAATCAATTGGTATCAGTCACCCAAGCTTTGGAAAATTTAAAGAACGCAAGATAGTATATTAAAGACACTAACGGTTCCTAGCGGGCTTTATATCAACCCAATCGGACCTGCATCTGTAGTTGCGACTGGTCTAGGAGGATTTAGGGGTAATGTTAGTTTGGATAAAAAAGTATTCAGAGTGTATATACGCATGAATACATTTGAGGTTTCAACGCCTGTTATATTAATGTATAAATAGCCTACACCGTCCCGTTGTCGACCTCCCAAATTCCCGGCTGATGGAAATATCATGTCGGGTTGAAGAAATAAGCTAATTATTTCCCATATCCAGGGAATAAAACTTCTATATGGCCACGGGGGAACGCTAACGGGGTTTTTTTTCTTGATTTGGCTGAGGTTGGCTATGTCTAGAAGTGCATCTATGAGTCTGTCGATATTAGCACTAGTGCGGCCGTATAACGTCGGCGAGTTAATGTACCTATCGGCTGCGGTAGTTGTTGGGCTGCGTGGTTGACCTGCGCCCCGGGTAAGAAAAAGTACATGGAGGTTATATAACAAAAATTTATACATACGAACGATGAGAATAATATTATAAAGTGTCAATATAGACAAATCTTTTGCGATGTTATCTGGACAACCAAGGCTACACAATCTCTCCACCATAGATTCGGCTCTTTTCAAGAAAGGTAAAATTTCTTGGTTAAACTCATGAGATTGGATCTCGATAATTTGGTATATGTTCTTACTGCTAAAAAAATTTGCCAAGCGTTGATAGCAGACTATCCATGGGCTCTTCAAAGCGTCTGCCGCAGAAGGTCGACACTGAGGTTCGGGGGTGAGGAGTTTTATCACAAAATCTATACTGCTTTCACTACCAGGGACCTTTCCAAACTAGCGACTGGAAATACTTCTTTTTTCTCATAATAGTCCCAAATCTTGTTCATCTTCCCATTCTGAGTAGTGGGCATCCGATCCAATCGTAGTATCAGTACAATCTTCATCCTCATTCAATGTTAAGAGAAATGGCAATTCGGATGTCAGTATCACATGTACCAACGTCCCCAAGGACCATATATCGACAGCATTTGTGTAAGTTTCTGGACCCTCGCCTCTTCGTCTTCGACGCCTAGGAGCCGTAGGTAGAAGCCGTCGCAATTCCAGCGCCTTATAATTTTCTATACCACAAGTGGTTTTTAGTTGAGTACCTTGTACTTGTTTTGAGATTCCGAAGTCGGTTATATTTATCTCTATTGGTGAGGTGGTACTGGTGATTAAAATGTTCTGGGACATTAATTAACATTGGTTATATAGGTAAATCTATATATATTGGCCCGTGGAGGTCTCACCTGGGGGTTTAAATCACGATGGCATATGTTTTGATCATGCATGACCACAAGTCCCTCTAGAATTTGCCTAATGATATTTCTTGCCTCGGCTTTTACTATTTTGGGGAATTCTTTGAGGTATTGGTTTAAGTCTCCATTCTCGATGAACTCCATCACAAGGAATATATCGTATTTGTCCTCATACCAGCCAAAAAACCGCACAAACAACATTGGATGCTTTTATGAAATTAGTCTCTTTTCTTCCCCCTTTTTTGTTTGAATCAAATTCCACCCGATATTGTGGGGATACTTGCGTCCTTCAACTTTGCCAATACCCTAAGCTCCCAAGAGAAGCCAGCCTCTTTGGCACTCAAAGCGCCCCGGCTTACCCTCTTGACAGCTCTGAGTCTTCCACTGTCATTCTTTTGTTTCAAAACGACTCCATACCCTCCGGTGCCAATAACGTCTCCGGATGTCCATCTCCCTTGAACCATATCTATAGCCCCCTGGTCACGCGGCTCCTCAGCGTCAGGAAAGTCAGGATGTGTGTGAATTACATATTCTCCTTGAAACTCTGTTTCTAGTCGGTATTGATTGGGATCTGATGCTTCGGTCGCCATGTGCGCGTTATCAGTATGGCGTAGAGCAACTTCAGTCAAGATAGTAGACTGTTTATGGAGGTACATGTATGTAGAGTGGGGTAAGCAGAGTCGATACTTACAACACTTAAGTCAGCATAGATGCAATGCTGTGGTTGGCCCGCGACGTTGAGGTGCCTCGAATTCTTGGCAAGCGCAATTGCGGATCTTTCTTGTACAGCTCAAAAAAACGGGTCCTTTTTCTCAAAGAACAAGTAGGTATTTTACAAACCCGGAGCCTCAAACCGATAAATGTTAGTTAGCCAATCGACCGACCTCTAGCTCTCTACATCTACGGTGTTGCGACGTGCTATGATATTAATATATTTCGACGTGTTACGTTGTACCACTTCAAGATGATAGCTGTTCTCAACCGGATAAAGACAGTGCCCGACGTTCCATCATGAGGACCTTCCTTCTTTCTCACATCTATACAAACCACCTTAGCTTACTGCTACATTGCGGGGTGCACTGGGTAGCAAGATGAACCATAAATAATCACTCATTATATCAAACGACCAAAATATTTTCAGAAGGCTGGTTGATTAACAGGATAGGCAAGCTCTCTAGTTCGTTAGCTATAGGGTCAATACTAATCGATCTTGCAGTCGCTGAAGTAGCTGCCTTTGTAATTACCTCTACTCTAGGACTTCAGGCTAATACATCTTGGAGGAACGGTTTCGAAGTGGTGACGAGGGCAACTAGTATTTGCTAGCTATAACTTATAGCTACATAGTCCTACGAAGATCAGATCATTACATATTCTACAAATTAAGGCAGATTCCCTAAGCCATAGCTACATAGCTAATTAGCTTTAATTCAGACATCCTCGTGATGCAACCACAGAATATTGATATAATTTATCGAGTATTACCTTCACGACCCAAGAGTACGTCCTCGACTGGCCGGGTCCTACCAATGGACTAGTCATGGGCCATTGCCTAGTCTCGTGCCCAGACTTTTGTCAACTCATTCTGCAGACTACAGAAATCACACCACATTCTGGGCACGAGACTAGCCATTACCATATATACTGCTGGTGATCATAACACCTAGAATATTGCTCGATCGATACTTGGAGTACGTATTGAGATCTAACCATCCAAACCGAAAGATTCCACTCAGCATACGTGCGTGTCCGGTTCCAATTAATATATAACGCTAACTCCAAAAAAAAAAAAAAGTCTAAACATTACGAAAGAGAGACCGGTAATTCCCAAAGAATAATAAAAATAGAAAAGTGTAAATACCCCACCCCCCCGGTCCCAAATACCAATATCTGACACTCCCTTCTCCACCTCCACCTCCACTCAACCCCTAATCCCACACCTTCTTCCCCTCCTTCCCCTCCACCTCCACCTTCACCTCTCCACCCTCCTTCACTACCTCCCCCGGTGTCTTTCTCTTCTGCTGCCCCCGCTTGCCCTTCTGCGCCGTACTCGTATTTCGTTTCTATACTCCCCCCAGAATATCAGCCTCTACCCATCCATCGCCTCACAGAAAAGAAATTCATACCTCCGCCGCCGCCGCGGCCGCAACCCTCGCATTCGGCGGCGCCGGCTGCTCCCCATTGTCTAGCTCTCCATAACCGCTGGCGAACGTGGGGAGCAGCGAGTTGCGCGCGGGGGTGCCGGTGGGGGACGGTTTGCCGCAGAGACTGCCCATTGCTGATACGGTAACGGTAGTGGTTGTGGTTGTGTAGGGTAGGTGGGTAGTTGTGGGGGGGCGGCGTGTGGGGGGTGAAGTGTTTGGTTGGCTGGTTTGGTTGGTTGTTTGGTGGTGATTTGGATGAGTGAGGTGAATGAGGCTTGATAGGAGGTTCAGGGTGAGGGTTGGCGCCAAGTGAGGGAGGCCTGGGGAGGATCAGAGGGGGTCAAAGCGGGTTTGCTAACTATAGAGTGTGCCGGGGTGGATGGTTGGCTTGGACAAGTACTAATAGCTAGAGACTAGAGTTATATTAGATGTATGGTCGCTGTTTGTTTGTCGTATGGGTCTTTGAGATTAGTGACTAGTGGTTGTTTGTTTGGAAGCTAACATATATTTATATATTAGGGCCGTATTATAGGGTTGAGAAGATATTTGTCGTGTTGACCTTAAACCTCCAACCTGTGGAACAAACAGATCACAGCCCAATTAGCTCGTAATATAACGATAATAGGCTATATAAGCACTTGTAGCTCGGATGCGCTTAATCCAGCCGATCCAGTGCTACATGTACTCTCGGGCATATATGAGAAACAAAACTCCATAAATCTTAGGCCAAGGGTTGATCTGATAGAGTGACGGTTATATCAGTCGAGGTCTCAAGTGACGTGACGTCTGATGTTAAGAGTCGTGAGTGATTCCTTATGATCCATACATGTATGTATGCACGCAGCCCCCATCCCTTCGATTTAGCAGCTGTGATGGAACCCTAACCCTTAAGTATAGGATATTACGCGTACAGCTCTGTTGTAGATGCCATCTGGCTGTTGTGCAGAGAGGACCCGTGTCTGCTGGCTGTGTGGAGTATATAAAGAACTAGAAAGGAGGCTCTTCCTCTTCTTCTTCTTCTTCCTCTTCTTCTCTTTAATTTCCCTGCGTTCGGTCATCATATATATCACTGCGGTTGCTAGCTAGCTTGAGGGTCGACTGCAGCTGGGAAGTTGCAATGTCTGATCATGCACTGTTGATCAGTATCTCCGGGGACCTTGAATTAATTTGATCCTTGTGTGGCTTCTCTGACCTTGACATCCTGTCCAACTCAACCCAGGAGATCTTGAGGTTGTTGCGAAAAGCTGTTGTGTTTTTACGATTTTCCAACAGCCTCTCTGTGTATCCGTTAATTTGTGGTAAATATCCTCACAAGCAGACAACTGATTATCCCTATGTCCCTGCACAATTAACTGGTCTCAGTCGGCGCATAGCGTCACCTCCAAACACGTGCATCACAACATCGCACCCGCCCAACATCGGCCGCCAATAAAAGGGGGGGCGGCCCGGCCGGATACTCGCGCACCCGAGACAAACTGCTGCACAAGCCATCACTCGGCACCCGGGCAGTCACATGACCAGCCAGTCTAGATTAGTGACAATCGATCATTACCCTACCTTGCAAACCGAAATTATACATCCCAGCCAAAAAAACGCAAACCCTCGATCCACCGCAGGTACCGTTAAAGACAAACCATGATATCCACGACGACACTGCGGCCGGCCACAGCAGCAGCAGCATACATCTGCCACCGCTGCATCACACGACAGCTGGTTCGACACCGCCGCCGCCCGCAATTGCGCTTCCAATCGACTGGTATGTATGTTTACGCCTCAATTGCAATTGCAGACAGACTGAAGCAGAAATAAAAAAACAAAATAAAAAAACGGAAACTAACGTCGCCACCGCAAACCGCAAAGATGCCGGTGGAGCTTCTTCACCCGCAATCACCCGGCTGCCCGGCGGCCTGCTGCGGCGCGCACAGCAGCTGAGTAAGGAGCACGCAGAGCTCGAACGGAAGCTGAGCGACGACTACAACAAGAGGACGGCCACACGAGTCGGGCAGCTAACAGGCGTCAGCCGGGCCCTGAAAGACTACGAGGATGCCCTCAACGTACTCCTCCCCATCCCCGCTTCCCACCGCGTCTCACTAACAGCTCCAGAACCTGAAAGAGCTCCACGAGCTCGTCACAGACCGCACGCTCGACGCCGACCTCCGCGCAGAAGCCGCAAGCGACATCACCGCCACCGAAGACTCCCTCTCAACCCTCTCCGCAGCGCTAACCCGTGCCCTCGTGCCCCCGCACCCGTTTGCCCACCTCCCCGCGCTCCTCGAAGTGCGCCCCGGCACCGGCGGCTCCGAGGCAAGTCTGTTCGCTAACGACCTGCTCAAGATGTACACCACCTACTGCACACTCCGCGGCTGGCCTGTCTCCATGGTCTCGCATACGCCCACCACCGAGGGCGGCGACGGCATCACCGAGGCCATCTTTTCCGTCGACGTCCCCGGCGCATACGACACCCTGCGCGGCGAGGCCGGCGTCCACCGTGTCCAGCGCGTGCCGGCAACCGAGAAGCAGGGGCGCACGCACACGTCGACTGCGACGGTGATGGTGCTGCCGTCGTTTGAGAGCATGGAGCCTGGTGAGGGCGAGGAGGACCCCGACAGTATAATTGATATGAAGGATGTCAGAATTGACATTATGCGCGCGAGGGGCGCGGGCGGGCAGCATGTTAATACGACGGACTCGGCGGTGCGCATGACGCATTTGCCGACGGGGCTGGTGGCGGCGATTCAGGACTCAAGAAGCCAGCATAAGAATAGGGAGAAGTGTCTGCTGGTGCTGAAGAGTCGGGTGGCGGCGGTGAGGAGGGCAGAGAGGGAGGCGGAGGAGCTGGCGCTGAGGAGGGGCGTGGCAAAGGTGAATGCGGGGAGGGCAGATAAGTTGCGGACGTATAACTATATTCAGGTATCTTTTTTTCTCTTTCTTTTTGGATGGGTTTAATGGTGGGTTGAGACTGACTGCAGTTGTAGAATAGGATCACGGACCACCGCTGCGGGTTCAGTCTGCACGATCTGCCCAGCTGCATGGAGGGCATCACGCTGGGGACGTTGATGGAGCAGGTGCGCAAGTGGCAGATGGAGCGGGACGTGGAGAACTTGGATCCCGATGCGTGAGATGGAGAAGTGGATGTGGATGTGGATGTGGATGTGGGTGTAGATATTGCAGTTATAGAATACCATCCTGCGTAGAAACATGCGCTGCCAGCCGGTGATACAGCTGCATGAGATCACCACTGTCAATCACAGCCCATCACTCGTACCCACACCTCCACCCCCAACCCCCGCCACAGCCACCCGCCCGGCCCGATGTCCGGTCATGCAGGTAAGTGTCAATCACTCTTGGCACACACCTGCACATCTGCACGCCGCCGACACATGCACACCTTTCTTTTTTTCTTTTTCTTTTTCTGTCTCTTTTTTCTTTGACCCGTGTGGGTGCATACAGGTACCTACTCTAGAGTAGGAGGTAGGTAGAGTAGGTACACCTTGCTGGGTATACCTTGCTGGGCATGGCAGCAGTCATGATTCATCGTGTCGTCGGCGGATCAGATCAGATCTAGTCAGATCTGGAGGGCGATGTGTAGAGTAGGTATGTACTTTAGGTGTGTGTGTGGGGGTGGTAGGGTAGGGGAGTGTAGGAAGGGGATCTACAGCGCAGTTACTGTTACTATTCACGGACCCTGGTATCTTGCTACTGTACCTGCTCGAAAGTACTGTCTGTATATGTATGTATCGACTGTTAGACCGCATGTACCGACTCTAGGCAGTAGAGTAGACTAGAGTAGAGTAGAGTAGGTGCTTTAGTCTACTCTACTGGTACATACGTAGAAAATACCAGAATCACAACGTCTCCGCTAGTACTCCCGCGCCCCGGAGATAGTAATACCGATACCTAACAACCTATCTACTCTAGTTTGACTCTACACGTAGAGTACCCCTACTCCAGCTTGGCCGGTACTTTACCCCCAATAGAGTACTCTGCCCAGGCCTACAGTACCTACCTGCGTACATAACCCCCACGCTGCGACACTGCCGTTTACCGGGCGGGCGATATCGATGAAGTGGTGTGCATACCTACACATACCTTACACATACCTTACACATACACATACACATACATACACGTAGCGGCCGGCCTGAAAGATCTGCGCGCGCAGGCAGGTAGGCAGCTACGTAACGGGTGCAGCCCGGGGGGGCCGGGGGGGGGGGGGGGGGGGGCGAGTGATTGGCCATGACAAGGCCTGGGCGGGACGTTGTATTGTATTATTATTAACTGTTACTAAAGGAGCACATTGCCGGGGGCGGAAGAATTGGTGCGTTAGTGTTTGCTCCATTTCTGTACGGGGCCTATGAGGTTCTCCAAATGCACTGTCTGTATATAGAGATCGAAGAGGAGAGAGGATTACTCTGCAGTTACTACCAGCTACGTGTGAACGCGGGTCTGATCATGAGAAAAACTTGACTTATAATTATGGGCTCGAACCTAACAAGCCCCAAATCAGCCAACCGACCGATCCACCCCCCCGAAAGCTTCTCCTACTGATAGAGAATGTTTTTAATGGGGGTGTATATTTATATTTCTCAGAAGTTTCCTTTAGCTGGTAGGAGGCCTAGCTCGACATCAAGTTGGTTGAAACCCTAATATTTTCAAGGTGCTAGAAGAAAAAAAATGTTAGGCGAATGTTCTTAAATCTTTTTGTTCTGACCATCACCATCAGGATTCTTTGCCCTTGATATATTCTATCTACCTATTCCTACTTGTTTCCCATATCTGGAGGTTGTGTGGGGATTGATGTTTGCTAGGTTTCCTTTTTCGCTAGTTGTTGCATTGCGTCCCGGCCCCTTCGCCGACCATAAGTCAAGTTTTCTCAGACCTGCGTTCATGTACATACATGTATATATATGCTAGCTACATCTGAGTACCTACATGATATCTAAAGTACATCATGTACTTTTCTACTACGTCTACAAATCTACTCTACAAATCTCATGCACGTCTAGATACTCTAATTTACCGCAACGTCAACACCCACCCCCCCTCCCACCCCCCCTCCCGACCTCCGTCACCGGGTATTCCTCCTCCCCAGTACCCACCCCAGTACCCACCCCAGTACCCATCCCAGTACTCATCCCAGCCCGCATCCGCAGATCCCCCACCTGACCCCCGACCCCGACCCCACTACACTACACCCTCAATTACCTTACCACCAACCCTGTCCCCAACCCCGTCCCCACATACCCGCCTCTACCTAGTACCTCCACACCCACCTACACCCCCGTCACGGTCACCGTCACCGTCTCCGTAACCGTCGCCGTCGCCGCTCCGCCCACCACAACCGTCGTCGTCGTCGCCCTCGGCCCAGGCCTAAACACCGCACTACAAGCCTCGGCCACGACCTGCTTCCCGAACGGGACCAGGAGCACCGGTAGCGCTCCCGCACTCCTACACAACACCTCTAATTAGCCACAACCCACATCACCCTGTCTCCGCTCTGCTGGGAACATACCTCGCGCCAACACCCCCTGGGGTAGTTGTTGTCGTTGTCGTCGTAGTAGTGGTGGTGATGGTAGTAGAGGGGGTAGAAGCAGTGACAGTAGCAGTAGCAGTAGTCTCAAGATACTGGCTCGGCGTCGGCATGTATGGCAGGAACTCGGTGCACCAGTACTCGTAGTGCATGTGCATGATGATGTCGAGGGCCGATGAGGCGAGCGGGGAGAGGGAGGCGGCGGCGTTCCATGCGTCTGTTTACGAGTTAATAGCTATCAGTTAGGAGTGCGGGGGGGTGAGGAGATATGGGGAGATAGGTGAATATGGGGGAAGGTGGATATTGGGGAAGTGAATATGGGGGAAGTGGTATGGGGGAGGTGGATATGGGGAAACGAAAGCTAAGAAGCCGAGGAATCAGGGGGAAGAAAGTATGTAGATACGGGGGAAACCGAGAAGAAAAGAAGACGAGGAGAAAAGGAGAAATCCAAGAAACCAAGGAGAAAAAGAAGCAGAAGCAATCCAAGAAGCTGAGGACGAGAAAAAGGGTCACCAGGAATCTAAAACCCCAAAACTCAGAGACCAGGACCCCGAACCCAGGACCCCGAACCCAAGAACCAAGAACCAAGAAATGAAAAGCAAATGGGAAACGGCGAATAAAGAGTAGAGAGAAACGGCGAATAAAGGGCAAATATAACTCAAGCAAACGGCGAACAAAAGCACAGCACACGAGGAGAAAAAAAAGAGCTCACCAGTATCATCGGCGTTCACACCCCCAGCTAACCCCAGCGCCAGAACGGCGACCACAGACATAATCTTCGTTGTCAGCTTCATGATCACGAAGCTAGGTACCCACACACACTATTGACACTACAGAACGCCGAAAGAAAAAGACACGCGTAATGAAAGTGTTAGTTGCAAAGCAGAGAAGTGACTGAGGGAAGATCGACGAGTCAAAGGAACTAGAGGAGGTACGCAGATAACCGACTGACTCCCGTCCCCACTTCCCGACCAGAGACATCTCCAGGTACCACTAACTAACTAACCAGACATAACTAACCAGATCCACAACTAACCAGATCCACAACTAAACCAGATCTATAATTAAACCTGATTCACAAGGACATGGGCATGGACACACCCCCCCCCCCTAACCCTTTCCCCAGCACACCACACGAGACTAACACACCAACCCACACCCATCAGCACCCTCATGTCGCGCCACCACCCCTCATTTTTCTCCGAGCCCGAAAGACACCTGTTCGCCGAACGCCGAGTTTGGGCATTGTCCCGCGCCGTGAGTCGTGACCGATAGGGTGTGGTCTGTGCCCGTGGATCGTCCCGGGTTCCCTATGAGCGGTCGGTGTCTGTGTCTGTGCGCCGAGTGATCGCTCATGAGGGGGTCCGACGTCTACTCTAGCTATTACACTAGCTAGCTTTACTAATCCGCCGCCCCTACCCCTGCCCCGCCCCCACGGCCTTATGAGACACGCGATTGCGGGTGGATATGAAGTAGATCGAGCGGTGGTGACTCGGTGACTGAGTGACTGAGTGACTGAGTGAGAGTGAGTGAGTGAGTGAGTAGTATGTAGAGCTACATGTCCTAAGGTAGAGTACAGGGGAGGCTAGGCCAGCGGGAGAGATGGGGAATATGCTGCTGTTACGTGTGTAGTCCGAAATCGGGCTCATGGAAATGACTTTGGGCTGATTGAGATTTGGGTGGCTGAGACTTGGAATCTCATTTCTGTTCTCTGTTTACTGATAAAAAATTACAGCCACCTTTCGAGACACCGAGCTAGGTAGCCTAGTATTACAAAAACCAACAATTTGAAAGACCAAAGTTATATCATAACCCAGAAAAAAGGTATGAGATATCATGACGTTAAAAAAAAAAAAAAAAGCAAGGGACCTCCCACATAAACCGCTTTCAATACCAAATACCAAATTCCAAATGTGAGTTTAAAAAAAAACAAAAGGCCATGAATCATCGTAACATTGTATTATTCGTACCGTGTGGAGCAAACAGAAAAAAGGCAAAGGGGAATCTTGCATTATGGAAAAAAAAAACCGCAAGCCAACAACAAAACTCAGTCGGGAAACAAGATGAAAGATGAGGGGCAGGATATAAAAAAAAAATTCAACCGTACGATCGAGTTGCAAAAAGCGAATTGAGTCCGCAACGAAAACGCCAAACAGAATCTCAGGAAGCTAACCATCACAGTAAAATCATCGCTTTCATCTTCTCATACCCGGAACCATGGCGCCCATCCTTCCAGGCCCCGCACTCATACTCTGTCTCACGATTGCCTCAGCGGCAGCTGTGGCTGCGAGTCTTTCCTTTTGTCTACTCCTGTCCTTCAGGTATCCAGCTGCCTCGGGCCTCATTCTCAAGATTCTCAAAATCATGTCATCACTCGGCTCTGCTTGAGCCTCCCGCCTCTTCTCTTCCTTTGCTTTCCTCATTGTCCCCAGGTTTCTACTCATCAGCACACTCTTTGTCCTCTTGGCACCCGGGACGCCTAGCATGCCGCCAACTTGGTTGCTCGTGTGAGAATTGGACATGCGGGCGCGAGCCTGCTGCTGTCGCGCTGCCGCCGCATTTGCCATTCTCTCAGATGTACGGATGAGATTGTCGGTCGATTCAAAATAGAAGAAGTTGAGCGATTGGAGTTCGTGGTACTTGGGAGATTTAAGAATCTCGAGTGGGACACCACTGGCTTCCCCAGTGTTCTCGTCAATGACATGGAAGAAATCAAACATAAGCTATAGTCATCCATGTCAGTTAGAGAAACTAATAAAGAGTTTGGCCTAATCACCTGTAGCCACCTAAAGCAGACTTCGGATTCCTGTGGAGTCAACGGCTTTTGCTGTGATGGCTGGTCTGACAATGTGGGGACAAGCAATGCCTCGAGTGTCACTAGAATTTCTTTCCAGAGCCTTGACATGACAAGCATCATTGCTGAACTGGTAAGGGTGGTGTTCAGGATCGCAAAATTTTCATTGAAATAGTCCGTTAGGGGAACAACTGCTGCCGCGATATCCGCTTCTGAAACTGCAGGTCCTACTGTTGATTGTGGTCGGGCGCCTAGTCCAGTCCGGCTAAAAAGACTAGATACTGCAGATATGCCATAACCTTTGGATAGGACATTTTTGAGAGCTGCGCGTGAGAGACAGTGATGAATATAGGCAGACAGCTAAAACACCACCATTAAGCAAGCGCATTGACTCGAGCTCGGGAAAAAGAGTGAGACCGCATACCTTATCCGTAATCTGCCTGGTCATATCCCTCTCTGTTCTCTTTAGTGTTCTAAAAGCCTTTCCAAAGTAAAACTGGATATCGTCACGTTCTCCTTCCATGCTAACTCTGAGCAACAGCCTCCCTTGCGTATCCAATTCAAGCCAATGTTCCTGTGGCATGAAGTCGCCAAAGTGTGCTGGGTCTAACTTGATGCTTGTTCTACCGACGCAGTCGTGATCACCGACGGTATCCCAATCCCACACTGTTGCCGTCAACCAGATCGACCCTTGGGTGGTGATATCCACAGTTTCCTCCCATCTTGGATTTAGGTTTCTGTAGACAACCCTAGTCTTTGCTAACCGCTTTTGGTATTCATCCCCGAGAACAACATACGGATCACTAAAACCATTAATATCCATAGCTTTCAAGTCTTCGGCTTCGACAATTTTAATGGTAAAAACATAATTTTTGAGCGGCTTTCTCCCAGGAGGAGGCGCGGCTCGTACAAGGGCCTCTGCAACACCATCGACATTTACAGAGTGCTCTAATTTGTCGAGTTGTAGGATCGCAAACTCGATATCGTTAAGTTTCACGCATGACTAAGTGGATGAAATCATTAGTTTTCACCCTATCATAACTCTTGAATAAAGACAAAGCACACCTCTGGAGCAAACTGGAATGGCTCGATTTTTTCCGTGTTACTCCACGCATCCCTGGCCAACGCCATCCATTTCTGCTGCCTGGTCTGGTTTGCTGCGGCCTCCTGCTCTGGGGTTTGTCTGTCCATTTCAAAGGTAAAAAGTTTCTCAAGTACTTCGCAATACCTTGCAATACCACTGCCAATGGTCTTTGATAGAGCCGTCATGAAGCGGGCATGCTGAATGTCATCACCCCATTCTAATTTCTTAATGTAATCCACAGTTTGGTTAAAGGACCGGAATATATCTAGTACTGATAGGGTATGCCGCTCGTCATCCGTTGGCTCACGCCCTTCTTCCTCGCGGATCTTGATTGTGAAATCGTCATGCTTAATCGCCTCGTCGACCCAACCAATGACTTTGCTATCTGTGTTTTTGAGCCAGCGCCAAACAAAATCTGCCAGAAAATCTTCAAAATGAACCGGGAAGCGCTTTTCCGGATGGGCCTCGCTATATATCCGGCGTATCTCTGCAAGTTCTTTATAGAGATCGAAACCGTCCTCAATCTCTACTTCCTGGTTCTTCTCCTTATATATGTTCATGATATCAAGGATTATGCTTTTTGCCTCGACAGCAAACTTGGGAAATACAATCTCAATAAAGATCATGACAGGATTGACAGAGCTAGAGTAAATCATGTCAGACATGGACTGAAGTCCAACTAAGTCTCACGATATAGGCAATAAACTCACCCTAAAACCGGCTGTTTAAACCGTTTACTAATCTTTTCCGCCAATTTCACGACCTTTTGTGTCAGTTCCACAACATGGAACGGATCCAATTCAGATCTATCCTGGGGTAGGTCTCGCATTAATTCTTCCATCACCTCTCCAGCTCTGATTTTCAATCCTTCCTTCAATTGGTCAACATAGCTATCCATGTCGCCTGGGGTAAATAATGGATCATCATAAATATGCTGATCCAAAATCCACATCACACTCGCCACAGGTCTCGCTTTTGCATCAAACGCATGCTGAAGGATGTCATAAAGCTCTCTAAGCAACGTGTCATGCACAGCGGATAATATCTGACGAAACATATTCTGGTCCGACAAAGTCCAAGTAGGCCACTCGAATGAGGTGGCATTCTTGGCATACGTGAAAGCAGTATCAAGAATAGAAAGGTCGATTTCGCTGTCCTGGTACTTTGAGCGGATAACATCCATAAACAGTATTATTCTGGAAGATAATGGAACACGCCAACGTAAACCACATTCGGCCAAAAGCTCTAATGATGACTTTGATATTAGGCTCACAGGATCTTCTGATCCTGGGAGTTCAATCGGTTGAAGATCAGGATCATTTATATCGTAGGTAAAACATCTCTCCGCTACTGCGCGATAATAACTTCGGGGATCTGGTGGAATGTACGTATATGGCGTGTCTAAAGTGGAATCCGTGGGAGAACTTGGGGACAAACCAAGGGCTTCCATGTCGACCGGTTGATCAAAGCTGGAGATGGAAGAGGGACGGGCCAAATCGCCTGGTATGGAATACGAAACAGAAGAAGGGATAGAATTCCGCATCCCGCTGGATGGCTGTCCCGAAGTGGTCTTTGAAAGCTCGGTAGGGTTAGACTGGACAATGGCTAACATGAGTTGCGATAATGCCGGGCCCTCCGATTTCCGCCAGGTCTCCCACGCCTCATCCGTATCAAAGTCGTCACTGCGTAATGTACGCCTGGTATTTCCAAGACTTAGAAAATTATTGTACGTTTTCAAATCTTGCAAAGCTGCTTTTTCAGTCCAGGCTGCCTTATTCATATTGATATCTTGCTGGCACGTTGCCAACGGTATGTTGAAAACTTTAGCTACCACTTTTACCATTGGCATGTCGTTAACATTATAAGACAATGGCGCCGGGGGACCCAGGATAGTAGACGTTGACGAACGTCTATTAGTCTCATCCGATAGATTTGAGTCATGTTGTAATAATTTCGATTCCATAGTTCCCAACTTACTACTCAATTCTTGGTGGCCGCCCAATTCTTTGATAACTGCATGCATAAGCCTGACAAACAGGGCAACATGGCGGTCCGCTAACCATTTCCACGAATCATCCGCTTTCAATTTCTGCAGCTCCTTGGTGGCCGATGAGTAGAAGATCAAGACTAGATCTTCCGCTCGTCGTGACTTGGATACCTGATCGTAAAATCTGGGCTCTTTGAATGCGGTGTAAAATGCAGCAAAGGTACGCTTGACTGCTGGATCTTTATATTCGACATGGTTGTCCCTTCCCATCCATACACTCTCCAGCCTCTTTTGCAGATTGGGCATAAAATCTTTGGGGAAACGAGTGCTCTTTGCATCACGCATCGAGTGCGAAAAGTCACGCATTACCTCATGGAAGCTAGTAGAGGTTCGGTGAATGGCCGGAGCGGCAGGGGCGGGTATCTGTCTCCGGGGTCGAGGTTGAAGGAGATAGTGCAGGTAGGCACAGCGTAGAGCATAAGAGTAAGCATCGTCAGTCGTCACTAAAACGGATTGGCGAACGGACTGTCGAGAATGGACGGAGCCGAGATTACTCCGACGACGCTGTGCATTGGACATCTCGACTGAAGGATTCCAGAACAATGCAAGTGAATTCGTTGGCGAGAGAAGGGATGTGTCTGTGTATGTGTGTGGGGTAGCTAGACTGTAGGAAGGAATTCGTCACCCGGCTTTTGTTTTTGGAGTTGACGTTGAGCCCGACGATGACGTTGCGCAAGGGGCAGCAAGGTCCCTAACTAAGAGGGGGGGGGGGGGTAGGAGGGGTTGCACTCGGATAGCTGTCTAGGGTCGAGGAATGAAGAGGGAAAGCTGGACAAAACAAGCAACACGTCGGGAGATGGAGCTGAGATGCTACGCGAAGGCAGGATGAGGAAGATCAGGAACAGACAGAGATACTGATTTGGAGATATGCAGGGAAAATTACTTGGGCAAGCTTGAAGTGGCGATACAGTAGAACTGGCGTGTCGAGTTGCCCAGATCCAAGTACCTACTATCTCGCAGTCTCAGGGTATGGTGTTGTCGTGGTTCAGAATCAATCACGATATTCATCGACCCCTCCCAGCTGTACACCAGAGTTGGACTTTTGACCAGTTGTGTCAACGTGTTATCCTTGTCTGGTTTGGTAGCTGACTTATGTTAATAACATGTTAAAAGAAGTGAATAACCTGTACTCTGAGCTGGTGTGTACACCGTCAATAATGTGTCATGATCCAAGGTTCACGCTGCTGCAACAGAATCAAAAGTAAAGGGCACAGTTTGCAATGGTAAGAAGCGCATATGTGTACATGTAAGTGCAATGTATTCGAGAACAATGTATTCGAGAAGGAAGTAAAGCAGAGCCGCCTGGTAATAATCAATAATTAGCAGCCGCAGAAAGAAATGATCCGTTTCCCGAACCTTATCTATCTCAGGGCCCTTGAAACTTAACACAAGGAGTGCATCCAGTGCTTATTTCTCCTCTAGGAACGCCATATTACTCCAGCCCCTAATCGTAAACCTGCATCTGTGGCTGCTTCAGGTAGGTATATAAATGTAGATAGCTCGGAGGTATTCTAGAGCCCAAAGTCGTGGACTTTATTCTACCAACGGCGCCGTGTACGAGCCTTTCAATCGACTCCACCAACGGGGTTTTTTGAGGGCAGCGGTTGACCCTGCGCCTAGGCATTCCCTATTCGATATTTTTGGCTTGTATCATTGGTATCTTGGCATCTTTGGAGCGAGCGTCGGCATTCGGCAGGGAAAATGCAGCGTTTCACGGTGTGACTGCAGCTGCATTTCGGGAAACAGTCTCACCCTAACGTCACTGGAGAGTCCACTTCGTTCGCTGATCCCAAGTTTCACATCCTGGTCCCTTGCAACTCGGCTGGGTCCCAGAAGCTCACTCTGTAGAGCACCTAACCTCCCCCAGCTATTGACTTCGTGAGATGTGTACGTATTGGCACATACATCTCTAGACTACTCCTACACCTAACATACGTGCAAAAACCGACTGCAGTAGCCTTACTTCTTTTTTGCCTGTTCTTTTTTCTTTTGGGCTTCTCTGTCCGTTGGCCCTGCGAGTCTGCATCCATCGGGTCCCAAAACCCCGTCTCTGTGCCGATCACCAAATCCTCTGCAAATCCCCACCCATCATTACCGCAAATATCAATCGTTCCTTGTCCACTCTAGAAGAGCGGTCCTCCGTTGCACCCCACTCACCGCGATGACCGGCCGCCCGTCGCTCCTTCCCCTTCTCCTATGAAAACTCCGACAAAATCGTCATTGTATATATCATCCGTGACACATGTCATGTGTATATATATAGCCGAGAAGCGAGCGTGAAATCGTAACAAATTTTAATGCGTACTGGATTTTGCACTCTAAAAGTGTCCGGATTTTTCCCCGTAATTCTTTTAAGAGTAAAGGGATGGCCGTTTTAGCAAGGACGACCCGATTGAGGGCTAGGTTAACATAGATATGGTGAAATCAATCAACTTGCAGAGCGTTATGATTGACATAACACGCGCACCTAGGCGCTGCTTTTACCTACACACCCCACGAGCCAGCTGGGCTGCTCTCTCCTTTTTCACTCATGTCAGCAGCAAAATGAGGATCACACGAGAATAAACCACCAGCCCCATTACTTAAACTTTATAATAGAGATGAGATAGATGGACTGTAGCTACAACCTGTATTTTTGTACTCTAGTCCATCATCGTCATCATCATCATAGCAGTGACAGGGAGGCTGTGTTGTAAGGTGACTTATGAGTGGGAAAATGTGGGAAGAGGTTAAACCCGAAGAATGCTGTGAGTTTGCGTCGAACGAACAATTGAACGCGAGCAAGGGCCCCATCACGAAATATCTGGTAGCCTAGAAGGACAAGCAGTGCGTCTTTGCTCTTCGCGGGTTGTTGGGTGATCTCACGACCCTAGCAGTCACGGGGAAAAGGATGGAGTGCGAATGCTCTAGAGTAGGGAATTTGTGGAGCGATCAGATGTTGGAAGGGAAGAAGCCTGAATAACAGTGAGGGAGAGGGAGGGGAGGGGTTTTGGGTAAGTTGAGGCAATGGGCTCTAGAGAAGAAAGACAGAAAGACACTGCTATTCTACTTCCTTCTTGACTCCACACTTCTCCCATTTTCTCTTCCTCCACGAGGGTATATACATCCATCCCATCCCACGCACGCACACAACACACACACACGAACGCCTCACCCCGGGAGACTTTTCATAATTTGCAGTACCAACCACTGCACAGTCCCGCAGTGCCGATACCGGTAAAGTCCATACTGGGTCTACTGGACTGTGAGCCTACTTGTTGAACTTGCCGTCTTTCGCTGTCACCCACCACCCCTCCTTTCCCCTACCCTTCTTTCCACGCATAACCTCTCCCCCCCCGGTGCCAGACAGCCGCAAAAAGATTAAAGCGAATTAAAAAAAAAAAGAGAGAGAGAGAGAGAGAAATCTTTGCTGCTTCTTAATCTCCCTCCTTATTAAAGGAAAGAGAAGAAGAGAAAGAAAGACATAATAAAACTGAGGGGCCAGTACCAGTTGTCACATTATCTCTTAATTTATCCGCCGAACCTTCTGTTTATTTTTCTTGTTCATTTTTTTTTCTTCCCTCTTTCCCTTGCATTTCTTCCCTTGCTCAAACCCTTTGAGAGTGAGAAATAAGTGGTTCGGCTATCACCAACGGCCTACCTATACCTACCTGCCTCTCTGCCCTTTGCCCTGTCCCTTCCCCTCTACACTACCATACAGCTCAGCCAGCAGCAACGCAACACCTCTTCTACCCACCTTCACCTCTACACCTCCACAACCCTACCACAACCACTCACTACAGTAACTCAGTGTCACCACCACACCTACCACCATCAACCACCACAACTAACTGTACAGTGTACCTTCGACATAAACCGACTACCTTTCACAGTCTTCTGATTATTTCAGTTTTCGGCTGCCGGTATATTTACCAATAACAAACTAGTATGTCTTCTACGAGACCCCAAAACAACCGCTCAATTACTTCGCGTTCTCATGTTGAAGTGTTGGAGTCGCCGCCTCTATCAGCCACCTCCTCAACTTCCTCAACACCTGGTTCTATCCACGGCGATCAAGACCCTATAGACCGCGAAGTGATGAGATCAAGTCAGGATCGTGTAGCGTCAAGGGAGGAACCAGATGTGGTAGAAAGAGGGAGATCGCCTGTTGTGGAAAGAGAAATTTATGCTGAAGATGATGCAAGGAGCATGAGCCCACGGAGAAACAGCGAGGAGTTAGAACGAATTGGACGGGAAGCAAAAGCTATGCTTGAACAGTGAGCGGCCCTTTTTGCTATCTTTTCATCTGCACAATGATTTTGTGGCAATATGTAGTTGGAACAGTGTCGGCTAACACTCTTTAGACAAGCAAAAACATTACAGTCTGGTTTATTAGCACTGCTTGATCGTGTGGATAAAGTTAGGGAAGAGCACGATAAACTAGAGGGCGAAAACCGTTTCTTACAAGAGTATGATCATCACCGAGCCCCCCAACTCTCTTTCACTTTGGTGAAAACAACCAAGAACCTTTTACTAACATAATCATTGTTAGGTATATTGGCTCATTAATGGCTACTTCGAAAATCACCGGAGACTCGGGTAGAAATCGTAACTCCAGCAGCCGGTTAAAGTAAAGGCAGTCACTCAACCTACTGGCCAAATTTCTTATACACAGCGCGTCTTTTGGAGGATTGTTTTTGTTTTATTTTGGTTTATTTTTTTGCTTTGGTTTGGGAAAAGTCGTCATCTTTTTTGAATTTTTTTGAGCCAAGCATATTGAGCGAGCATACGGGCTGCTCAACTTCGATTCCGCCATTGGAGATAAAGGAAAACAGGGCGATGGAGTGATGGATCCTCTCGGACGACCATCGGCCCATCCAGATGGCTGGTTCGTGGAATGGTCTGCTCTCTTAACGACCTGTTACGATGATACCAACGGTTTTTTTTTATATTCTATTCACTACACGAACCGAAACTCACCATATCTACATGCGAAACGGAATTGGGAGGAACGGGAAAAATCAATTTCATCCCTTATTTTTGGCGGGGTTTTATCGTTAAGTCTTTTATTATACTATCTGCTGGAGTTTATCTGCTTTAATTGTACTTGTTTCTCTCATTTCCTTTGGTGTTATCGTGTTGGTCTGTTTTTTTTTTTTTTTTTTTTTTTGTTTGTTGCGCATGGCTTCTCTTCTCTTCTCAAAACCTCATATGCCTCTTTTATTACTTTCTTGACACTCATTATATAAACCTTTTCTTTCTTAAAGGTTACATTTTTTCTTGTTCTATTTCATCGTAGCAGTATATAGTGTGGATCCTTTTTAGATTTTTATCCTCGCGGGTTCCCAGGGCTGCCGGACGCAGCAGGGCAGGGCGGAGTGGGAGTGGCAGTGGGTCAGCGCTTTCTATTCTATTCTGTTGATTTTTGCTGTATTTATTCCGAACCTCTCCACCTCCCCTTTTTTCTTGGTTTAGGTTTTTCTGTTCTCTCATTATTATTTTTTAGCTGGGGGGCATGGGAACGGATGGGACGGACAATCGGTGTGGGTGGGGCGTACTATCTATTTAGCTACATAAGTACTTCGGTCGGACTTCTCAATTCTTCTGCCTTTACTCTAACTACTTATCATTGTACGTTCCTTATCATCGTCATTACCCCAATGCCTAGCGAGGGAGGGAGAGGAGTTGCACTGGATGCATGTAGATAAATGGGGAGGGGTGTGGTGGGAGCCTGGAGGTAAACAATCCAAACAAAAAGTTTAAATTGCTGTGTTCATGCATGTTGTCCCATGAGCTCCTTCAATACGTATTTGATACATACTACACCTTGCACTCCGCCTCCCCTGTTAAGCCCTGTTAGGGGAGGGGGAGGGGAAGGAAAAAAAACCGCAGTGGTTAGTGTAGGGAGGGGAAGAATGGCTAGGTGTATATATTTCGATTAGTCCCGGGTCTGTTGGGCAGTGTTGCGACTCACCAAGCGGGGAGTGAGAGATTCAAACCCATACGTGTTTGGCTGTTCTCCTAGGGGTGACTTTTTCTGTACCCCTCTCCCTCCTTCTCTCTCTTCCTTCCCATTTTAAGGAGTGGGTAACTATCTATCTATCTACATGTATCTATCTATACGTGCGGAATATTATTCCTTCTTGAGTCTTCTTGTGCTGACCTTCCCCCCACCTTCCCCGACTACCTGGTACCTGTACTCTAGTATACATCATACCACTCTCCCGTACCCTCAGAATCCCAGCATGTGTAGTTTACAGTAGCCAGGAGGGCACAGACAGCTGGTAGGCAGGTACAATATTAAGGGACCCGCTCGTCGAGCCTCGTGAGGGGCGAGGGTGAACCCTAGCAGCAGCGGCGGCCCACATGCTGCCATACCTAGAGTACTCGGCTTCTCTTGCAGGTTTTCTCATCAACTAGATTGCCTTCTCACGATCGGGATCATTTCCCGGCGTGAGTCGAGAACGGAGACGAAATTGAATTGCGAATTGGTCGCGGGGGGACTAGGGGCATGGAAACAAGGGCAGGAAAGCACGAGAGGGGAAGGAAAACGCGAAAGTGATCAGATAAGATGGATTGATGGGGATCTCCGGCCGCCCCTTTCGGGTAGGCTAGGAAAGTTCTAAGCCCAAATACCCTTTGACTACCCGCAAATAATCACGAGATAAAGTAGTCCCGGTCGCTCAGGCGAGGATCGGAGTAGAGGGTTAGGATCGCGTTTGACAAGAGTTTTTTTCGAGCCTCTGCAATGGTTCTGTATTAATGCGGGGTAGCAAATCTCACGATGCTTCCTAAGGGATTGGTGCGGAGTACTAGAAGATCACACTTTAGAAGCTCACGTTGGACTCCAACTGAGTTACACCATGTGCCGACCTATGATGTTGTGCTCCACCAGCCCTAATATATTCGTCTGATGAAGTGTCCTCTAAATTTAAGATTTAGCATTCAAGAACGAATGACCAAATTTGAGAAAAGGAAAGCGACGGCAAAAGCAAAAGCAAGGGGAAAGAAAAAAAACGAAAAGAAGATTAATGTGTTGTCCTGTTCAATGACGGATGAGAGCACAATGTCGCAGTATTGCTTTTTATTTTACGAAGCTCAGGAGCCTTTCCTTTCGCTGAGGCGCCTTTGAAAAAATTGAAGCTTTTTACGGGAGAAAGGATTACGCTGGTAGACGCGCTGCGTCCGTCGGCACTTGTTGGTAGAGAGGCGGCGTCGTCCCAAGATCCAGATCGATCACCGCATGACCCGAGTTATGCCTCGAGTAATTTGATTGCTCCAGCCAGCTTTTCGCAAACAAATGACGTCGATAGGCGTATCATGATTGATTGATCGATTGCTTAAGCCTCTTTTTAAGTCCTAATTGCACCACCAGATTAGTGATTTGTTTTTTCGATGGTTGCAGCTGCTTATGAAGCTGACACTTTGTTTCTGGGTAAGATGATAAGAGAGAGACATTTGATATTTTGTACCTTGCATTCGTCTCAAGGGCTGTCCCGGAACATCTTAAGATGCGCCAGGCGCCAGGTGCCAGAAAGCGGCAATGTTCTCGTGGTAGACTGCGTCATAGTTCTCTCCTATCCAGTCTGAGATGAGAATTTCAGATAGAAATATGGGCTTACGCTCTTCGTAACCGTAAATTCTTTCCAGGCGCAATGTCGGTGCGGTGGCGGCGGCGAGAGCTGAGAGTTGAGTTGAGATGGATGAGTCGTTGGAAAGGAACGTTTTGCGTGTAACCGAATGACGTCATGATGGGCATTTTCAGGTAAGCCTTGGCAATATCAGGATTCGGACTGTTCGCAGATTAAAAGGGACGAGACATTTTCTTTTTATGGGGAAATGTTAACTTTACAACGCCTTGTCACGAGTATTTTCGCACTTTGGCGCCTTAAGTGCAAGCCCAATATTGACTTCGCATGCGCGGGGAGTCTCGGTTCAAAAGTTAAAACCGCGTGCATCCACATAGATAACCCTTAAACTGCCATCTAGCTCCTTCTTAGAAACTTTTTTCTGATGAACAATCAATCTACATACCTTGATGGCAATTATGCAGAGATGTTTCCCAGTATCCACCGATTACCGATCCCAGGACCAAGATGACTGACAAAGCTAGAATACGAATCCCTGGGTATACAAAGAATCCTATCGTTACATCGTTATTGCAATCATTTCCCTCCACAGACAAAGATCAACACGCGGTACAAATTTTCTAGACCGATTCAGGCTCGCCGGTGTCTATAGGGGTATGATGTGCACCTATACAGAGGATTTTCCTTCCTGCCGCTACAACAACCTCTAGTAGGAGAGTATCGGAAACAAGGGTTTAATCCAACTAAAACCACATACAAGCATGTCCGAACTTTTATTGGCTGGTAGTTTAGGGAACATAGCCAGTGGTAATGCTGGTCAATAAACGTCGGATCCTAGCATAGCGCTTGAGAGCCTTGGCAGTCGATTGAGAATGATATATTACGAAAACGATGAGGAAACAACTGTCCTCAGAAAGAATTTGTGTCGTTACATCAATATCAGTGGAATAGGGAGTATCTCTCTCGCTGCGCACATCACACTGTTCAACAGAGGAAAACTGTCACGTGACGGTGTTTAGCCATATGTATGTGGGTACATTCATGACAACTTCTCGGAGGAAGTCTCGATTCTCACAAGCTAGATTCGCGTTCATCGTCATGGGATCATTTAAGTGGGAAGGAAGTGCCTAATAATTCTTTACGGTATCATCTAATCCTCTCTATGATTTCTCTTTCTTTAGAATGACGACTAGGTACTCATCCAAACAATCGTCCGAACCAATTGCGCAAGCTGTCCTTAACTAGCCTTACGTCTGCATAAATAAGGAATTACGTGGACTTGGGCTAAATGATAGGCTCCCATTCTGATTGTCATCTCGGAGCAGTGTCGCACCTTTCTCCACACTGTTTAGAAAGGTCCGGAGGCCGGCGTCATCCAACCGATATCCACGTGAGAATTTCACCCCCTATGCTAATGTGAATACAATAGTAATTTATAAGGTAAGACTTTTAAATTCATTATCTCACACAGACATTCCTCAGTATGCTAAGACTTACTTACTTAATTCTTAGCAACATAATATGTATTATACATTGAAATACTCATATGTTAATTGAGCCCGGACAATTCGTGGTGGCAAGGACTTTATGAAACTTCTCAGAACTTAGTTGGCATAAGAGTGCTACAGGCAAAAAAAAAACACATGCAAATACGTTTACTGGCTTTATAATACTCAGGAAGAGTATGAATTGATACGCTCTTGATGATGGGCCCTCACCTTGGATTGATTCTTTGCGATTAAGCACATATATATCGGGTTTACGCCATTAAGAAATCTCCAGTCTTACTTACAGACTTGTTTGTCAACAGCTATACAACCAAGAGCGATTCTTTAATCCAGCATCGATATGAAAGATTATATACAGAGTGCATATAAGTATATCTCCACAAATGTTTTTACGAATTAAGCTAGTCCCTGCAGATCACAGGATGACAAGAAAGCTCATGTATTCGTGTATGTTCTAACTGAGGTGTCCACACATGCAGAACGACTAATAAGAATTTCCAATACAGCCAGGCCAATGACAAGACAAAATCGTGATTGTGGGATCAACCAAGGGCTCCTCTGGATTCAGAATCAGCCGGAATTGATCCTGAACATTGGGGAGATATGAAAACAGATCTAGAACAGCCCAGCAAAATCCCCAAGCTCGAGTTAACCTCACGGAAAAACTCGCGCGGGATAATTGCCGAAGGGACCAAACAGGATTTCGCTAGAGTACTTACGCCTCTATTCTGCTGCTTGCAGAGTCTCGGGAGTCTCATAAGTTTTTCATACTGGATAATGGATGGCGTGGTTGTTGGCGGAAGTGACAGATTGCGGGATGACGACGATAACGTCTGTAGGAAGAAAAAAAAGCTTAAGTGGTTAACATCCCAATAACTGGCCCCATGATCCATTTAATTCTGACATACATGCAATAGTGCAGGGTACCTACATGTAGAGTAGGTTATTGAGCACTCTACTTGAACTCTCCCGAATGCGACTGGTCGAGTGCATTGGACATTGCGCGCATGGATCGAGTAAATCACTATCACCGGGTTCTCTCATGGTTGTATGCATGCATGCAACACCTCGACTCGCTACCACACGCCTCGAATCTTGGACGTCGAAGGTGAAACTTCAGACGGAATGACGAGGTTCGATGGGAGCGGGCTGTGGGGGTTATGTCCCGCCTGCTACATGTGGAGGTATGTAGGGTACCGCCCCGCGCTCACAGGGTTATGAATTGGTAGTACCCGGCTGTGGAGGTGGAGACATTTTTTCTGCTTGTAAATTCCGACCGGAAACTTGAATCGATCTCGATCGTGTACTTTTCTAAAAGGGTTTTTGGGCGGCCATAGTACTTCTGTTCTTTTCTTTTCACGATGGGATCAGAATCATACTACACAGGCAAACTCACGCCAAGAAGACCTTTCGGGTTCCAAGCCTTTTAACACGCAGAAAAGCCGCAATTGCAATTCTCACCGTATCGCATCCGCATAGATATAATCAAATCAATGTTGCCTCTGTCACTTTGGGGGTGTGATGAGGTGTCGATCGAAAAAAGAGATATTCACGATACAACCGGTGGGCGGCGAAACATAGGAAAGGACCCCAGGAATTGGAAACAATTAGTGAGGGCTTCCCCCGGCTCTTTATCAAATCAACCGGAAAATTGCGTATGTGGTGTAAAAATCATATGTGATAGGGTAATAAGTCACACCGGGTCTGTCCCGGGTACTGGGTGCGTGATGCGTGATGCATATGCAGCCACATCTGTGAAAAATTTGACAGGAATTATGGTGGGAGCTTCTAGACTTGGTAAGCAGTTGAGAACGCCAAGCCCGACGATATCCTTCAACAAAATATCTACCTAGATATACACATAATAAAATCTCATAAAAGATCCGGGCCTGCAGAGCCATTTCGGGGTATAAGCCCCCTGGACCTTTATGTATAGCACTGGTCCCTCAAAGGACAAATCGCTTTGGCTACTCATACTCCGCGTTACGGAGGCTGTGGTATACCTAACTCGGAAGCCATTAATATTTGGAGTGCAATGATCAAAACTCTACAAAGTCATACATCATCACTCGCTATCGCCAAGGCTCCGTAAAAGGCCTAGTCTCATCTATGGCTACAGAAAACAGTGAAAACCAAGCACCCCTGCAGAGATCTCGAGATATCCTGCAAGTGCGGTCATCGTTTTGAGGGGTACATATGTATCATGTGTATGTGTGTGCACCATCTTCCAATATGAAAAATGGAGGTCAAACATAACGTGCATCATGGAAGTGCATATCAGAGCTAATCCCTTCACGATATATTGGTAAACCGGCGAATCAATCGATCACAGTAGAAGGCCTATATACTAACGTGGGGCCTTCTAGGAATGCATCCTACTATAGATGAAGATCCTATAAAAACGGTTGGGGCTCTTAGATGCTGTAAATTGGTACCAATCACAATTAACCTCCACTGGAGATCTTCAGAGTGTCTTATTTCATTACAGCCTAAGCACCTCCTTATTCTACTAGGATCTCATGAATATCATTCCACTGGCGCAGCTACCACCTCTGAGGTCAAATTAAGATATTCCCTTCCATGTATACTATTTTTAGGTTAAATTACATTTATTAATTAACCTTATTAGCTACAGTCTTAAACTAGTACCTATCTCACTATAATAATCTATTGAGTGGAATCGAGCTCATATATCATTGCTAAAGGTTAATTATGAGCAAATTCTAGCATTATATCATTGTAAACTACGTCCAGGCGAATTATATATATATATAATCACCCAGGTCTAGGTGCAAATACCTTTAGGAAATATTGGACATGTTGCTAACCAGCCCAAGCTGACTGTTTGATTCTTTCACTCCTGCTAGGCTAAAGGCTGATCTAGAGGGGGAAGCCCTTGGACCAGCTGTCTAGGGAGGTTGGCCTAAGCTGGGTTAGGATAAAGCTGGGGAATGAACTTGCTAGCCCCCCTTGTATCAAGAAAAGAAGCGCTAGAAGACGGGAATCCAACGATGTAATGTTTGGGCTGAAACACAAAAGTTCCTTCTACCATGGGTGATATGGAAGCGATGTGAGAGTTATTTTTTGGCGCTATGTAGGGCGAAACTCATTTGATCAAGGCAGGGCGGTGAACCTGGAAATTAAATATAAATTATGCCGCAGGTTTAAATCAAACCGTTGTCGGATAGCACTGCAGTATACGTGTTTTCAGGCCCTTTTCCCCATTTCCAGTATGCGTGAAAGGCTTGTCTTCTATACTTCCTAATAAGTCTATAATCATCTCGTAGGGGTACCTGAACCAACCATTCTTGGATGTAGAGCCGCGGCCTTTTTTATACTTTATGGCAGTCTTGCCTGGGTTATGGGGTACCTATAGTATTATAGAGCATCGGCCGATGAATTCTCAGGGGTATCCAAGTTTTGATACATTTTGCGTCATGCAGAAGATCATCGAGCTGAAGATCTTATTTCTTTTTCGGAAGGAAGAAGAGTTTGAAAACCAGCTGGTCACAAACGCTCACTCGAAATAAAGTCTCTATTGACGCGTTAATGAAGATCAAAATTTTACCGCCCGCTTCTTAGCCGAAGCTTCAACCCGAAAGAGGTGAGGTGGCTATGGGCCCTTCAACATCAACCCCTAACCAACCAGAACGTTTTCTTTGAAATTTTGCGGGGAATAGAAGGCACGGAATTTAATTCCGACCCTCTCCCCTGTCGACTGTTTGGTCTGTGCTACCAGACACGTGGGATTCCTAAGCGAGGCGAAGTAGCTGTATGTAGCTGTCGTCTAGGAATGCACCACACGTCAGACAGACAGACTTATAATTACATAGAGGAGGTTGCAGCTCAAACACTTCCTCAGGTTTGGACATGAGCGAAAAACGTGTAGGTAGAGCACAAGAGGGTAGGCGGGGAGATCTGGAGCTGTCGGTCAGTTGATACATTAGCAATAGGGCAGTAAAGAGATCCTAAGAGGTAGACAGGCATGATACTTGGTAGGGAGGAACAATTTGCCTAAACCTTATCTATCTATAGCGCGGGGAAGAGTGGCAGGGGTATGATCCAGATCTTGGACAGCAACCACAATATAAACCAATGCAATGACGTACCGGCCATTTAAGAAACTCTTTGTTCAATCAGTCAACAGTTATTTCCTGATAGTCCCCACACAGACCTACCGTACATTCCGCGCCTGTCAGAAGTGCAGGTTCGCTTTGGGAGTGAATTGCCTTTGAGACTGAAACTGGGTCGGTCCGTCCATCAGCTCAGGCAGGCCGTCAAAGGATCTGGATACCATGCACCCATACCATGCCGCCGGATGTTATATCCGCCAAATCTGGTCGATCTGCTCTGCAGCCTCCTTCTGACATGGGTTCTGGGCCTGGCTAAGCGAAATAGAACTTCCAGGTCGGCCTTCAGAACTTCTGTGCCTGTAGGTCACAGCGTACCCTGATCGCTGAAACAGGTCTGATCGGAGTATGTAAGAGACGTCCGGAGGAGAGCAGATCTGGCCGGTGAGCTATTAGAGACAGGGAAGAACCTGGCTGGGTCACTTCATAAAACATTAGTAGATGTCTTGTCTTTGGTCCGACCCATAATCTAGCCCTCTACCCATGCGTAGTTACACGTCACGCTAGAGTATACCAAATCATCAAGGTCAGATGTATGCGGGCCGAGTCCAGTCCGGAGACATCAATGGCCCACGAATACGAGGTAGAGTAGGTAGGTACAGCATGAAGAAGTTATATGTATGGATCTCATTATTACCCCACTGTGCCCCATATTTTTGAAAACCAGGCCCGTCCCCGTTCCAGCTAAGCCTACCAGAGACGACTCGACTGCTGTGCTCTGTCGATGTCGTAGATTTCTACTACTTAGAATACATTTGCCACGGAAGGATATATGGTGCGGAAGAATACGAGAGGCGGGTCTTCATATTCTTCGAGACCGTAAGAATATGCCGATAAGCACTTGGGTTCTTTCCGGGCGCCTGATAATGTTAATTGAGCACAAACTGCCGTACACCTAGCTAGTCCTGGTTTAGGTATTCATTTACGAAATATTGACGAAATATAGGAGTGGAATATATTGGATTATACGTTGAATACATTACATGTATGTACTTTCGAGCTGCCGTAAGCCCTAAGTTGAGGGCTCGTGCATGATGTTACTTTTGAAGACGTGAGGGAGCCATGTAGTTTGCGTACCGGAGTAAACTAGAGTCTCTAATCTCCCAATCAGACAAGTGACCTTTGTACTGCGACAGGTATCCGCCCGATTCCAGTTTAGAGTAGCGGCACTGTATGCGCAGAGGATCAATTCAGTGGTACACAAGGTTACGAGAGTATGATGTATTAGCCCTTGATTAATAACGCATCCGTGTTACACAAGTTTACAGGCGCTGTTGGTCGAGTAGTAACTTTTGACCACAGTAGCTAGTCTTGTTCCCAGACCATCATGATCAGATGGAATGTAGTGCCACAGCTAGATGCATCAACAGTGTGATCTCCACAGGATCAGGTGGGATGGATGTGGGAATAGCTTTTGCCGTTTATGGTTCAGAACTAAATGTAGTACTAGGATATCTTAGCGTTCTTATGACACAGGCGTCGAGTGATAACTTGTGATTAAAAACCAAGAACACGCACGGCATTGATTGCAATTGATTGATTGATAATTCATTTATTGTTTAAAGATCAACACTGACACTGTGTATTACATGCAATTTTATAAAGAGTAGATGACTCTTAATATTTAAAAGTACACAGACATTGTCAAAGTAGCTACAATACGGGAAACCCGGGTGTGATTAGAGCCGTACAAGTTTTGCAGGTTTAAAAGTGATGTAGTAAAACCATAATAACAAAGACACCGACTTTTCAAAGAAATGTATTTCTATAGAACTTGAAGCACTTTTTTTTAACATATAGTAGAGAACTGGTGCCATTCTTCAAAAAGGGTCATTTTGGTCACAAGCTGCTTTTTAGAAAAAAGCGGAGTTTTAGAAAAAGCCGTACCAGTATGCCTTTAATATACCATTAAAATACCAAAATATCCAAAAGCATAGTAGGTGTCTGGGAACTAGCAGGTCTCCGATACTAGTATACAATTGAAAACTAATACAAGTAGTAGGTGTTCTGAAGATTCCTCTTGTACATCATGATGCCAGTGTGTATGTTGAGGTTGAAATCGACTTCAAGATAGAACTACAATTTGGCAATTCCTTCGAGGGTTTGCGGGATGAGTCTACATGTATATATATACATGTAGGAGGGTTGTGAGTACGAGACTACATGTAGGTACGCGTACATGTGTATAGTAAGTCTAGCATGTATCATGTAGGTCTCTGAGCCTAGTGCCATACCCTGATACTAGCATGGTCACAGAACTCAATTGTGTGACCAGCTAGGCTGAGCTCAGGCTAGCTAGCAGTATTGGTACGGCTTTTTTGAGCATACCGTTCTTTTGGGATAGCGTATTTGCATGAAATAACCTTTGTTTGCAATTATAGTATTCATAAGAATACCGAATTAACCCGAGCCGAATGAGCAAGCTTAATGCTCATAAAAGCCGCATCACTACAAGACTACTACTACTACCCTAATCACACCCCATTTTCCGGCATTGTAGATATGGATCTATATGCTACTTCTTGATTTTAAGCTTGTGGACAGTAGAAACTTTTCTATATAAATTTATAAGTTCGGACAGTTGGAGTTACTCCGAGGTAGATGAAGAAGAATTGTAGCGGGTTTTCGCTTTGAGAAATCCGAGGACTAAGCAAACCCACTGTCAACCCCTTGTGATATTTGTCGTGGTGAACCCGTGGAAGTATCCGGATCCCTGTATAGTTCAAGAAGGATACTCGTAACCTTTTTGTTAATAGGATTTATAGAAGATGTCACACAGGCGGGAGTTGGTACGTGTTTCTGCCGGCTGATATATATCGTTTTAACTCATTAACTATATAATCCACATGGTGTGGGAATTGAGCTATCCTAGACTGTGTAATGGGCGAGCTTGATTGCATAAGCCTCTTGCTATAGAGATACGTTTCTCGGCATGCATGCCCACCTCTTCGAAGAAAGAGTTTAGTCATGGCTTACAGATGTCGCACGCAGACTGTGAGGGCCCGATTAGCCTTAACGTATTTTTTAGTTTAAATTTGGCCCATGGGACACAAGGAAATTTACTAGGGATTCTCCTCGATCACTCTTCAGTAGATGTATTTTTAAATTTCTTAACACCCCCTATGTAAGATAATATATATGTAATTAAGGGAATTACGCGCGGATTCTAAGCCCTCAATAGTCGATAGTTCGAATCCTTTATACCACCTCTTACTAATATCATTATATCTCTATCCGCCTTTTGACTCTATGCTAAATTAGTTGGTGTATTTATATGTTTTTGGGCGGATTTGACCAGCCCGATTATCTCCTTCCTCCTCCTGTTCTGAAACCTCAAGATTTGAAAACTTGCGTTGTTCCCCCTGGATATTAGAGAGTTTTAGCTACGCTAGTTGAACAGAAAGTCGGACAGGTTGGTCAGAAATTCTAGCTGTTTTAGGCAAAGACCTGCAAGGATTTAGCCAATAAGAGGTACAGGACTTTCTGTCCAAGTGCTCGACTTTCTGTTCTATTGATCAATAACCTTCAAAAAAGTATATACACTACGAGTGATTTTACATGATGCTGATCACTTAATGACATGTGGCTACATGTAATAGTGTGGTCTGATAAATACATACAGTGTAACTATAATTTATATATGTGATTAATCGATCCCTGAAGTAATAATCAAATTTCTAAATCATAGCCACGGCTGTAGAGCTCGTATGCAGCCCACAGGCTATCCTGCTTCATTGCCCTGCAAGGATCCAAATTCCGAGAGTTTTTCTCTCTTTCAATTTCACCCCAAAGTCAAACTATACAATAAAACCCCTTTCGCATAACACCCATCGATATTGAGGAAGGACAAGGGCACTGGAGGGTAATAGGCAAAAACAAAAAAGCCCGGTCACACACCTCACCAACCCTCTTTACAGAGAAGTTTACAAGAGGAAAAAAAAAAAAAAAAAAGAAACTAGAAAAATTTCAGCTTTTTATCCCAAACACCTCTCCCATTTAGTAAACACGCTTAAATGGCGGTACAGCCTTGCATTCATCTGTGGAGATGTATAAATTAGTGATTGATTATCATATGAATCAAGCCGCAGGGGGAAATAGGTGCTTACTCTCGTCTAAAGTGGTGCCAACAACTGCTCTGTACTTCAACTCCACAGAGCCTCTGGGCTCCTTCTGCCATGAAAGCGTGTGCTTCATCCAGTTCTCATCATCTCTCTCCGGGTAGTCCTCACGGGCGTGCGCGCCTCTAGACTCCTTCCTTGCCGCAGCTGAGTTAGCAGTCTGCTGGGCGCAGGTAAGCAAGTTATCCAACTCAAGAGCCTCAACAAGATCTGAGTTCCAAATCATGCTACGGTCCTTAATACCAAGCTCCCTGTAGCTCTCATCGACCTTTGCGATCTTCTTGACACCCTCGTCAAGGGACTCCTGGGTACGGAAGACCGATACATCTGCTTGCATAGTCTTCTGCATATCGAGTCTGATCTGGGCTGTGGATTTGGGACCGTTACTGTTTCGTACGCGGTCAAGGTTGGCAATTGATTCAGCACCGATGTCCGCGCGAACAGGTTTGAGTGGGGTTCCGGGGGTGAGGGTGTCACGAATGGTGTGAGCGACAGCACGGCCGAAGACGATAAGATCGAGAAGGGAGTTGGCACCAAGGCGGTTGGCACCGTGAACTGAGACACAGGCAGCTTCACCACAGGCAAAAAGACCTGGAACAACCTTGTCCTTGCCCTGTTCGTCGATTGTGAGGACTTCTCCAGTGTACCGGGTGGGGATACCACCCATGTTGTAGTGGACAGTGGGGAGAACGGGAATAGGGGACTTGGTGACATCAACACCAGAGAAGATGGAAGCAGTCTCCGAGATACCGGGGAGACGCTCGTGAAGAATTTCCGCGGGAAGGTGGGAAAGCTGGAGGTACAAGTGATCCTTGTCTGGACCGACACCACGACCTTCTCTAATCTCGAGAGTCATTGATCTACTCACAACATCTCTTGATGCGAGGTCCTTAGCAGTGGGGGCATAACGTTCCATAAATCTCTCTCCCTCAGAGTTGAGCAAGTATCCACCCTCTCCACGAGAGCCCTCAGTGATCAAACATCCGGCACCATAGATACCAGTAGGATGGAACTGGACAAACTCCAAGTCTTGGTTGGGGAGACCGGCACGAGCAACCATGGCCATACCATCACCAGTACAGGTGTGTGCGGAGGTACAAGAGAAGTAGGCGCGCCCATAACCACCAGTGGCCAAAACAGTCTTGTGAGCGCGGAAGCGGTGAAGAGTACCATCTTCTTGGTTGTAGGCGAGAACACCAACACACTCGCCATCCTCCATCAAAAGATCGAGGGCAAAGAACTCAATGAAGTAGTTTGTGTTGTGGCGGAGGGATTGTCCGTACAAAGTGTGGAGTAATGCGTGTCCAGTTCTGTCACATAATTAGAACATATAATCGAAATTTTGATTGGTCCCCAAATCCAAAATACATACCTGTCAGCAGCAGCGCAGCATCTGTAAGCTTGACCGCCCTTTCCATACTTCTTCGACTGACCACCAAAAGCTCTCTGGTAGATCTTACCATCTTCCGTTCTTGACTGTTCAAGTATTAGCCCTGGGGTTCAGAATTCACCGCTGGCCCGCAATCACCCTCGCATTCCCGTATAAGGATCAGGGTTCAGTGTACTCACAAAAGGACATCCATAATTCTCTAACTCGATAACACTTGCCGGTGCCTCTCTCGTCATGTAGTGAATAGCATCTTGGTCTCCTAGCCAGTCACTTCCCTTCACGGTATCATACATGTGCCATCTCCAATCATCCTCGTGCATGTTTCCAAGCGCGGCATTGATACCACCCTGCGCCGCCACAGTGTGAGAACGGGTGGGGAACAGTTTTGATATACAAGCAGTGTTAAATCCAGCCTCTGCGAGTCCAAACGCCGCACGAAGACCAGCGCCTCCAGCACCGACCACAATCGCATCGTACTCATGATCCTGGGAACTTATCAGCCGGTCTCGCTTGGAGTAGGTGATGTGGGACGAAAAGAGCACATACAACTACTGGGTACTTGGAGGAAACATGTGGACTTGCTTCCTTTGCGCGAAGGTGCTGTGATGCGAATATCTTCGCTAACGAACAGTCAGAATAGTCACATGCACCCCGCGGCGGGGTATCAATTCCAGTCGAGCTTACCAACAGGTTTAGAAGCATGGAAACTTCTTGTTTGTAGTTTAACACTCGGCGAAATCTACTCACACTGGTCAGCTCCGCCACCGAGGATATTGGATGTACATGGGCGGGGGAGAACTCACGCGCGAGGAGATAAATCTCCTTAGGGCGAGGGAGCTCATATTGAAGGTATCTAGATATTACGGATTGTGCTATAGCACACGAAGAGGGAGAGATTGACAAGGAGGGAAGACAGGTGAAGTGAATGAGAGATGATGATGGAGAGAGAAAGATGTTAGATTCCTGCTCAGTTCAAACCACGGCGGGCAGGCGGCGGCTATCGGAGAAATGGTCTTGGCCATTCCGCTTCCTCGGCAATCTGATTCTCGAGGATATTCCATGTCCCGGGACTTGCCTACTACTGACTAAGCGTCCCTGTACACCAATCAACAATCGCTGTTTACAAAAAAGTAGCCTGCATACCCCACATCGTCTTGTGTGATCTGCTCACCGGTAGGGTACACAAACACTCAAATGCTCGAGAGTTTCCCAGTGATAATAACACCCCGCATATGAGAGATCAAAAGTTAAAACAAAAGACAGAGACAATTGAACATGGATGGTCAATTAACAGATATGGTACAATCAATTCACCTCCACCAGCGCTTAATCTAATTCCATCCCACCCATCTATCCAATCCGTCTAATTGTACTGCATGTAGGTAGCTGTAGAGTTGAATTTGAGATTGCCCTTGATGACCTTCTCAACGGCAGACAAAAAGTCCTTCTCGGTTGCGACCTTTCGTCTCGCACGAATGGCAAACATTCCTTTGTAATAGATTAGTTTGATGAAAATACGAAAGTTATGAGATGGCGACTAACCAGCTTCTGTGCAAACACTTCTCAACTCAGCACCGGTACTGTTCGGACACAATCTGGAAATCAACTCCCATCTAATGTCCCTCTCGACACTCATACTTTTCGCGTGAATTCTCAACACGTTCGCTCTGCCCTCCAGATCAGGCAAGCTAAACTCAACTTTCCTATCGATACGTCCCGGCCTAAGCAACGCTGGATCAAGAGTACTGGGCCTATTGGTAGCAAACATAACTTTAATGTTTCCCCTAGGGTCGAAACCATCTAGTTGAGTAATCAACTCCAACATAGTTCTCTGCACTTCATTGTCACCTCCAGCACCATCATCAAAACGGGCACCACCGATAGCGTCGACTTCGTCAAAGAAGATGATGCACGCTTTCTTTGTACGTGCCATTTCGAATAACTCACGGACCATACGGGCACCTTCACCGACATATTTCTGCACAAGCTCAGAACCGATGACACGGATAAATGTAGCGTCTGTACGATTCGCAACTGCACGAGCACAGAGAGTCTTTCCAGTTCCCGGAGGTCCATAGAGCAAAATACCCTTCGGAGGATCGATACCGAGATTTACGAACCTCTCCGGAGAAAGAAGTGGGAGCTCGACAACCTCACGGAGCTTCTCAATCTGCTCCTTACAACCACCGACATCACCATAGGTAACATCCGGCTTCTCCTCAACGGTCATCATCGTAACCGAAGGATCGATTCTTGGGGGAAGTGGCAACAAAATCTGATACTTCTGGCGATCCACACTACATATCGCCGTACAGTTAGCACTTTATTACCACCCACATAGTTAACTCTGGATGAATAGACGATCACTTACCCTACCCTCATACCTTCTTCAATATCAGTTGGACTCACTCTCTCCCCCAAGTTAACAACAAACTTTGCAATTTGTTTAACATTGATGACATATTTCGCCTTCTCCGGGTCATCTGCGGACTGAATAATTTTTGTGCACCGAGCAACCTGTAGAGGTTGTTCCTCAGACATACGCTGCTTATCGGCCATGACATCCCATAGATGGGGCGGCGCTAGCCCCGTATCGGATTCCTTTACACCTATTTATCCCCCACTACCGTCAGTGTTAGGCCCAACAGATACATGTAAAGAGATCCATACCAATCTTCTCGTTAACCTTAGTTTGTAAATCTTTGATATCCTTTTCAAGCTTCTTCAAGGGCGCCGCATAAGGTGCTGCCCCATAGGTTTTTAGAACTTGAATATCTCTATAACCCCGTCAGAAACACATTCACGGCTATCATTATATTTGTTCCATTCCATCCCATCTCCTGCTAATCCAAATCAAAGACCCATCTGAAAAGTGATAAAACATACTCTTCTGACAGTGGAATGATCTTCTTCTCTTCCTCCTCGTCATCCGCGAACTTCTTCTGGTACTTCTCCCAGTTCTGGCCCGTGGCGCTGGGCATCGTAGTAGTTGTGTATGTGTGTGAGTATCGAGGTAGTTTGGGTGATGGGTATAATGTAGCTGATGGAGAGGCCGTTAACTGATAAATTTGAGATGAAGGTGAGGTTATGGATGATGAGGGTTGTCGTGGAGAGCTTGGGAAGGATGGTTTGGTCTGAGCTCCCGGCACTGACCAATCTAATCTAATCAGCCCCATCATACATGCGCCAAGAGCGTATTTCTGAGCACGACTGATTAGTATCGGACATCTATCAATGGACAAATCTGGAATTCTATACAATTGAAGGCGCTGAAGAGAAATACATGGGCAGATATATTTATACAGAAAATGGGGAATTTGGCTCTTTCCACTACAACAATCACAATAATTGCTGAGAATTTATATATCTACACATTCAGGACGATGTTGAAACGTGAGGGTCCACATTGATGCCTACTCATCCCTATCCGATAAAGCTGGAAGCGCCCCAGGGCCACCAAGAGCATCCGCCAAACCTCCATGTGGGAACCTCCTGGGGACGGCAGGTTTATCTGGATAGACACTGTAGACAGCACCACAGAGGCCGGACAAAGCGATCACAAAGGCTCCGATCATGACCATTCCCTTCTTAGGCGTAGTCCAAGTGTACTCCTCGGGAGAGAAACGGCCAAGGATGTCGTCGTCTTCATGAAGCTAAGTAGTAGAGAAAGTTGATTCAACATTTTGTAGCATATGTGGTGGTTCGGGGTAGACTTACTGGTTCCCCGTAGTTGCGGCGACCTTGCTTGTCCCACCAGTCACCATAAGGGTCTCTGAATTGGCGCTTTTGCGGAAGTGGGTTGACGTATCCGCCGTTCTGCGGACGTTAGTTGCTGCGAGTGGTGGTGAGAGGAGGGGTCACACCATCTCGGGATCATTGGCTTCGGTGTAAACTGGGGAATTATCGGGTTCCTCGGGAAGCCTCGGGAAACCAGCGCGGAATGACCGTACTCCGATGTATGTAGTAGGGACGGGGCGGGGGAGAATGGGACGGCGGGCAAGTGCCCGGGAAAGAGAAAGTCTTTGGGCGAGCATCTGTAGTGGGGTTTAATGGGAGTATATGTGAGCCTTCCTCCGATTCTTTGTCGCGCGGGGGCGATATTATAGTTCACTCACCTCTTTTGAAGATTGCTGTGATGGAGTGGAGATTATGATAGTACGAATCTGTAGGTATTAAGTAAGGATGTGGTTGAGTATGATGTATGCATTCTACATACCTTTGTTCTCTGTATGCGGGCAGCACCTACTGTGTGGGTTGTTCCACCTTGCCAATACAACCGTCTGCGAAACTGACGTGTGGGAGGGTCCAGGTGTAAAGTAAATAAGCGTATCCATCCCATTACTCCCAAAATAGGAAATTTCGTCCCTCACAATTCCCTCATCAAGACAATCTCTGCCCACAAATCCATATCCACCATACAACAGGAGAAAATCAACATAAAAAATACCCGCTGATTAAACCAATTAAGAAAATATCTAACGTAAAAACGAGCAAGTAAAAAAAAAAAAAAAAGGAAAGAAAAGGAAATTTCACCACCCAGACAAAAAAAGTTGTCGCTTCGTTACCAACCTAATAGTGCCATCAGTCACATCGCTCCCCCATCGCCTCCTCACCACTTTCCATCCAATATCTCAGCATACAATACTCTCTGCACCTTCAAACTTCCTACGCGGCGTTTACATACCAGCTGCTTTCCTTTGACACCAAAATATCCCATGTTTTTCACCATCTCAATCGTCCAGCTCGATTAACTAGCTCCTCCCCACCCCCCTCCCCGTCTGTGGATGCGCAGCAACTCGCCAAATCCCCCGGGGGAGTCTGGCTTGCCAGACCTACATCCTCCCCGGGACCCGTCTACGAATTCTTCTGACCTTAGTGCTCCTCCCTCTTCGGAGAACGGCCATACAACGACACCGGACCGGGAGCTGGAGGAGGAGGGTGAGGATGGAGAGGATGAGGAGGGAGGTAGCAGCTCAAACGCGGATATAAAGAAACCTTCTTACAAGAAACGGAAGCTCGATAATTCCCCGCCGTGGAAGAGCGCAACGACTCAGACCCCCACTTCGTTTTTGGACGAGACTGGTAGAAGGAAATCTGGTCGGACAAACCCAATCCCGCTGGAATTTTTGCCTGGACTAGTAAACAAAATTGGTGATGTTACGCGTCCGACTAGGTCCTCGAGAAGACAATCGCAGCAGCACAAGAAAGATGTAACATTTACTCCAGCTCCAGGTCCCTCTTCTTCCCGTTCAGGGACTTCACGCGCGCGTCCTACATCAACAGGTAAACAACCAGCTACTAATGGCAAACATCACCCAACAACACCGACTCCTTCAAAATCTTCAAGCCGGGCATCGAAATCAACACCAACAAAAAAAATCCCAGCCCCAAGAGAAGTATCAACCAAAAAGACCTCCTCGAAAAGAGGTCCTGCTCAAAAACCAATTACTACTCCAAAACCAAAACCGAGTCCAGTTCAGGGCACCCGCAAAAGTGCACGAACAGCTTCTAGAACAATTGATGAACCTTCAAAATCCGAAAATCTCTCTAGCGCAAAACTCAATGGCTTCTCGGAGTTCAATTTTGAATCTGATGTTGAGTTTGAAGTTCAACCAGATTTCAAACCTCCAAAAATCAAATTAAAATTTGGAAAGCCAAAACCAGTAATTACCCATCCGTTGCACATTCCGGCTCCGAAAGAATTCCCTACCTTCGACGACTTTATCAACCAAGATGACATTTCAAACAATCCCGAAGCTTTGGCTGCTGCTGAAGAAGAAGCCAGAGAGGAGGCTGTGATCCGAAATAAGATTGAAGAAAGTGTGAAGAGTGGATTGTTGACGGTGGAAAATTGTTCATTGAATCTGCCCGAAAAACAACCGGAGCCACCGCAACAGTATGCTCATTACGACCACCTAGTCGCACATGCGTTGCACTTTCAGAGATTACTGATCAGGGAACGGAAAGACCATGTGGAAATTATGAAGAAGCGGAATGCAATGGTTATGGCAGAGATAAAGAGGAAGAGACCATTGACAAGGGAGGAAATCGAGCAGGAGCAGTGGATTGAGAATCGGAAAGGGTATAAGGAACAAATTGGGCAGTTACGAAGGAAGTGGGAAGAAGTGCTGAAGGTATTACAATTTCCATTTTTTATTTTTTTATTTTCCATCTACGTGCACTGACGATCTAAATAGGAAGTCGAACGCCGAAGACGTGTTCGGGCGGAAGAGGAACAACGATTAGCCGGAAAGGAGCACCTCAACCAAATGCTTGAGCACTCAACACAACTACTTGAAGCCCGCCGAGGAGACAGACAAACTTCTGTAGCTACCCAATCAGGAGGCGAGTCGGAGTTAGGCGAGGAAGATAAAGAATTCGGAGAGGATGATGAAGACGATGACGAAGGAGAGGGCGATAATGTGTCTGAGAATCAAGAGATGGAATTGGCGGATGAGGATAATATGTCTACAAGTGATTCTGAAGAGGATGACGGTGGGGATGATGACGAGAATCTCACTGTTGAAGAACTGAAGGCTAAATACGCTGGCGTAACTGAGAAATCCACATCTAGGCCTACTACTGGCGGGAAAGGGCTCATTAGTCTCTTCCCGGAACTCAGTGGAGGGTCGCCTGCAGATGATGAAGGCGAAGTATTGACAAATGATACACCAGGAGCTAACCTTGAAGGTCCGGATAATGATGATCCTTTCGACGAGGATATGCAAGATATACCGGCGGATCATACTCTTGAAAAGAATCGAGATGAAAGCTCAGCTACTTTGCCTGAATTAGAAGAGGTTGACCAAATCCTAATGGACGACAGCGATGAGTCAACTACTATGGATTCAGAAGAAGAATTCGACGAGGGAGATGATGATGAAGAAACTGACGATGATGATTCTGATGAAGGATTTGGAACAGGGTTTGGTGGGTTGATGGGCCTTTATGGTGATCTAGTGACCAAGCCGCAAGGAGAGTCTGAAGATGTGATGATGGAAGATGAGATTACAGAAGACGTTGTTATGCAGCCATCAATGACCCAAGGTCTCGCCAGTTCTAACGCCCACCCTGAGGTAAAAGCTACATTTATTGAGAAAGTACCAATGGACGACGCTATGATTGATAACGAAATTGAAGATATAAAGCGTGAGAATCTGTCCAACGGTCACCTAGATACCATGGACGCAGAGACTGCGACTTCTATTTCCCAGGCAGACCTAAAAGAAATTGCTCGCCCGTCATCGCTCACATCGCCCGAGGCATCGCCACAGCCAAATCTGGATATCAGAACACCTATTCCATTTCTCCTCCGTGGAACTCTACGTGAATATCAGCATTATGGATTGGATTGGCTGGCAGGGTTGTATTCAAATAAAACGAATGGTATATTGGCAGATGAAATGGGTCTTGGGTATGTTCTTACCCTTTAGATGTACTTTTAGTAATAAAACAGTAACTAACGGTTGCCAATATAGTAAAACTATTCAAACAATCGCACTCCTAGCCCATCTCGCATGCGAAAAAGAAGTTTGGGGTCCCCATCTCATTGTTGTCCCGACATCTGTAATGCTCAACTGGGAGATGGAGTTCAAGAAATGGGCCCCCGGCTTCAAAATTCTTACATATTATGGGACTCGTGAGCAGAGATTAGAAAAACGCAAGGGGTGGTACGATGATAACCTATGGCATGTTTGCATCACGTCTTACCAGCTCGTTCTTCAGGATCAGGTCACATTCAAACGTCGGAATTGGCACTATTTGATCCTGGATGAAGCTCATAATATTAAGAATTTCAGGTCCCAGCGGTGGCAGACATTGTTGAATTTCAAGGCCGAGGCCAGGCTACTTATCACTGGAACACCGTTGCAAAACAATCTTATTGAGCTGTGGTCGCTTCTATACTTCTTGATGCCTTCTGGGGCCTCGAGCGCTATGCCTGCTGGGTTTGCAAACTTGAAGGAGTTCCAGGAGTGGTTCGCACATCCAGTTGATCAGCTTATTGAGGGTGGGAGGGAGGGAATGGATGATGAGGCGAAACGCACGGTTACGAAATTGCACAGGGTTCTTCGACCGTATCTACTGCGAAGGTTAAAGGCAGATGTAGAGAAGCAGATGCCGGCGAAGTACGAGCATATTGTATATTGCCGGCTATCTAAACGACAAAGATTTCTCTATGAGGAATTCATGTCAATGGCACAGACCCGGGAAACTTTGGTGTCTGGGAATTACCTTTCCATCATCAATTGTTTGATGCAGCTTCGCAAGGTTTGTAATCATCCAGATTTGTTCGAGACCCGACAGATCGTCACCTCGTTTGCGATGAAGAGGAGTGTGGTCGCGGACTACGAAACCAAGGAGTTGCTCGTACGGAGAAGATTACTGAATGAGAACCCTTTTGAGCCTTTCTTTAGTACTGATTTCTTGGAGTTTTGTGGACTGGTTCCTGCAAGGAACAACAGTCTTACAACCAAGAATACTAGCAGGATTCAAGCACTCTCAGCAACTAAGCTCTTGGAGAAGTATTACGCGGACAAAGCTACCTTGGTTACGCCGGTTGAACAGGATCTGTCGACCGTGAGGGGAAACAATGCATATATGGAGTATCAAAAAGAGATGTCGCACCTTGAGAGACTCAAATCTTGTTTAAGACTCAATCGCATCCGAACGCAATACCGGCCTCTCTATGCACACGACCTTATCGAAGCGTGCTCAGAAGACATATCAATAGGTCCTATTCGACGTCAACCTAAGAGACGAGAACAGACCACAGAGTGGTTTTTGAATCGTTCCGAGATTGTTCGTTCCATGATTCCTACAATCGAAGAACGTACAGAGTCGCTGAGCACAATTATCGATAAATTCGGCTGTGCTACCCCACATGTCGTTTCGGTGGATATGGCGCCGATAGCGTTGACGCCTAAGGGCGTTGAGGTTGTTCTGAAGGCTCAGGCTGAAGATCTGTTTCCTTCAGATCCGTTTCATAATTCGCGTATTCGACAGTCAATCGCGTTCCCCGATAAGCGGCTGCTGCAGTACGATTGTGGCAAGCTACAGAGGCTGGACGGGCTCCTACGGGAGCTACAGGCTGGGGGTCATCGTGCCTTAATCTTTACACAAATGACGAAGGTACTGGATATCTTGGAACAATTTTTGAATATTCATGGTCACCGGTATCTACGTCTTGATGGCGCAACAAAGGTAGAACAGCGGCAGATCTTGACAGACCGCTTCAATAATGACCCAAGAATTCTTGTATTCATTCTGTCTACTCGTTCCGGTGGATTGGGGATCAACCTGACTGGCGCGGATACTGTAATCTTTTACGATCTTGACTGGAATCCTGCCATGGACAAGCAGTGCCAAGATCGTTGCCATCGTATCGGTCAAACCCGCGATGTCCATATCTACAGATTTGTGTCGGAATACACAATCGAATCTAACATTCTTCGTAAGTCCAATCAGAAGCGAATGTTAGACGACGTCGTTATCCAAGAGGGTGACTTCACGACTGATTACTTCAACAAACTCTCAATCCGCGACATGCTTGGTGATGATGTCATTAAAGAGCTCAATGATGAAACCGCCGATGCACCTGTAGCTGCAGCAGGAGTCAATATGGAGAAAGCCCTTGAAGCGGCTGAGGATGTCGAAGATGCAGCTGCTGCAAAGGTTGCGCAGAGGGAGATTGTTGATGCTGATGGGGCTGACTTCGCGGAGAGGCAAACACCGTCTCAGACACCCAAGGATACAAATTCCCCGGCGACGACAGTTACGGTGCCTAAAATCAAGGAAAGGACAAGGGAAAATACAGGAGAGAAGGATATACTCGCCGAGGAACCGCCAACGGATGAACTATCTGTTCCTGCTATGACCCCAGTTGAATCTGGAGTAGTCGGCGAGGATTTGAATAAGGGTCTTGGACACGATATCTATGGTGAAGACTGGGGTAGGGTAGACCGAGAACCGGAAGAGGTTGACGAATACATGATCCGGTACCTAGAATGGGAATTAATCGATGTGCCGGTTGTGCTTCCAGACAAGAGTAAAAAGAAGAAAAACAAGAAGGGAAAGAAATTTTAGGGAGTTGTTTGTTTTGAATTCTGTTCATCTTGATTCATTTTCATTTCCGTTCCTTTTTCCTTTTGTTGGGTTCAGGTTTGGTTTTGGGCAGGGGTTTATATTGCTTTCTTCTTCATATTTCTTTCGGTACTTCTACAAGTGGACTACTTATGGACTGGTTTATTACTGTACTCTATGATAATTCTTCGGGTTTCATCTCTCTACTTATATTCTTTTTTCCTTATATCTTTCTGAAAAAAGCCCCTCTTTCTGATCATCCCATCTCACAAGTGTTTCTCCTGGGATTGGGGCCTTAAGTATATGTATCTGCTTGTACTTTATCACGCTTCTCTTGTCCTTTCAATTCTTGATGGGTTGGTGTCATCATCCGAATCTTATGTTCTTGGTTTGCCCGTTTTCTTCCCCTTTCATATTTTTAAGGTTAGATTTCCTGTTAGATGTCGCTGCGGCTTAAGTGAAAGGGCGGGTCTGTTGATTGGGTATGAATAAATGCTGGTGTTGGGTGTGAAGAGAAGTGGTCTTGGCGAGATTTCCCTCCCTGACAGATATCATTTCTTAATGGTACAACGATGTGCTCCGGGGTTCCCTACGTCGTGAATCATGATACTCGACTCAAACTATATTTAAACCACCGTGGCTCTGCAGGAGGAGGCCTGGGAAAGCTGATATCGAGATCTCAACGACACCCAATTCTCCGGTCAGTGTCTATCCTAGTCAAGTGAAAATCCAGAGTCACTAAAATCTCGTAATAGATTCATCGTGATAAATCATGAAATAGCACAAGTTATCTATTTTAGTTTGTTTGGTGAATGTAAATAAGGGCTTTCCCTGCGAACCCCCCACTTGCTGGGATACGAGTGATTGCACATGATGCACCATTCGTTTCGCATGAAACAGACGACATCTTCCACGAATCGAATTCTCACTCTACGTGAGAGGAATGTGGCCCAGTGCTGAGGTGAGGCACACTGATACAAAAAGCCACGGTCTAGACATTTAGAGACCTTCCGCGAAGAAGGGTGATCTGACCCAGATGTGGTAATGGACTCCCGCTCTGCTTCTCTGCCGCACACGCGAGCGAAGCGCACTTTGGTCTGTGGAACTCCGGAAACCTGGATAAGGATGGGGTGGGTTGTTATCGAGGGAGCGGGATAGTGGTATTGGTACATTGGATTGGGTATAAAAAGTAAAAAGTAAAAAAAAAGGAACACATACATCGGTAACGTGCTCACTCTAGTGGCCATGGGGATTTGAAACCGGTCTAATCAACCCTTTACATCATCATGTCAACTCAGCTCATAGGGTCCGAGTCGAGTGGTATCAGTTGGATTAGAGTTGACTTGCAAGTCCACACCAGAACCTCCATGTAGGTATGATGGCTCATTATCAAAGATATATAAAGCAGTATCCCCAGAGCTCTTAGGGAGCTCTCTTAAGCTCGCCCTGCCCACAACTCGACAAGAGTTTTACCATCCAGCATGTTCATCCAATATTCCGCCTCAGTAACACACCCCACCCAGCTTGGGAATGCTGCTCCACCCCCCATCCAACCATTTAAAGAAGCGATAACTTTATTCTGCACGCGCTTCCAACCGTCTCTACCCCAAGATGCCCTCTTCTGGTTCAGCTCGGCTGCATCCGATGCTTTAGAATACCTTCAAGAGCAGCTTCGGATTCTCCGGAATCTAGACTCAAAGGGTGTTCTGCAACTTTACACGGATCAGATTCCACCAGCGCTAAGAATGCATGACGAAGATTTTGTGAGGCATCTGACAAGTTTGCTGGTTGGTGCTGGTGCTGCATGTAGTGTCTCGGTTGTCGACACACGAATCGTAATTGGGATGACACTCCCGCACGATATGGGGAAAAGACTTGGCGGCTGCGGGGATATGAGGTTCGATTGGGCCGAGACTTTTGAAAGACCTAGAGATTATGGTATGATAATGGTTTGCGCCTTTGGCGAGTAAAGACGGAGTATTAACACAGGGTTGTGTCTAGAAATCGAAAAACCGTTGAAATCAAAACTAGAACGTGAAGAGATCAGGAACCGGGGATGTTTAACCCAACCAACATTGAGCTTCGAACAGAGACTGATATCATGGACTGGTGGTTTAGTGTAGTTGGTGCTATGTACATATATTTATGTGTAGAGGTACATGTGGTTTGAAGTTGGAACATCTGCTCACAACTGTAAAAAAAATGTAATTATGATTAAACATCTGCTGTATCTATTCGTTATGATCTGATTCGTAAATAATCGGCAATGATGTGCATATGTTCCGGGCCATTCGCGGATATGACAGATTCGTGAATGGACTTGACAAATTCTCGAACAGACTTGAGGTATTCGTGAATGGACTCCTAGGCTCATACATCTGTGACAGGACCAGTCTATTCACGAACAGCCTGGGGAAACTGTTGTTTTAATATCAACACCTGATAACTAATAATGATTTATATTAACCCCGATGACTACTACAATCACCAGAGACCTCTAAAAAAGACTAGCGACCCTAAATATCGAGTCTGGAATAATAATTAGCACCTTCAAGATCTTTAGCGAGCTTCAGTGACATCCTGTGGCCTCTATCAGCCTCAGGCACCTTTGCAAGCTCTTATTTGGGCCCTATGACCTCTAGTAAAGCCATATGGCCTCTGATAGAGCCCAGGCAATTCGGGTGTTGGTTCCAAGAGTCAATTTCACTACCTTTTGCCCAGTCCATTCGCCAACGGACCGGTCCGGTCCCGGGTGTACGGAGAAAGCAGTCCATTCACGAATTCGAGGTATCCGCCAGTGGCCCGGAACACATAGGCTTTTATCAATTTCATAATATGTGGTTGATGACTAACTCTGGTGATTCGCGCAACACTGTAGGTTTCAAACTCAAGAGTCCCTTTGAGGAGCTACATACAATCGCCATAGGCGCTGCGATAATTTCGATTAACGTGTTTGTTACCGCGAAATCTTGTTAAAGAAACTGGGCTAGGTTTAGTTAATAGTAGAGCTCCATACTGTGCTTGGCTGGTTATATGTAGCTACATGTAGTGACAATATCCCTTTAGCATTATGATTTTAGCTGCACAGTTAATTGTGCTCGCTGATAAAAGAATTAATTAGGGATACAGGAAGTACTCGGGATTGAGAAGGTATTCACTCCGTGAAGGGTGCCGCTCTTCCGTACAAATTATCCTTGCCATGAACATTTACTTACATCTTCTGTTTTTTGGGGGGAGTGGACCAGTGAGTAGGGACACTTGTCTTATTTCCCGGCCCTCTATGCCTCGCTCTCATATTCTTTTATTCTTATGGAATTTTATGAATAGGCAGTACTCTGGTTTCGAGTATCACGCAAGTACAACGTGCAACGTGCAGTGTGCACTCTATGTAATATCAGAAGCGTGGATAGTACTCGTTTACCACGAAAAGAACCAGAAAATGCAGTTGCTCAGGGCAAGGATTATTTGTATGGAGTGGCGGTGATCTCTCATACAAACTATCCCTGTTTCCGTCACTTGCATTTTCTGGTTCTTTTCGTGGTAAACGAGTAGATACGAAAGAATGACATTGGTGTTAGCCTATTGGCGCATTAATTTAGCATACGGTGCAAAGTATGGTAGCCTGGTGTAGCAGTAATTAAACACCCATCTATTCGGTGCTGATACATATCCAGTCCGTCAACCACAGCTACATGTTTTTCGTCAAACCAATGTGCGTATTACATACCTGATGATATCCAAATAAATTATTAATGGTGATAGCCTTAGATGTTTATAGTATCGCGACAGAACATTCACTTGCGTGTACTAGTTACTCATGCACCGGTACGTATAAATAATAATTGACTGAAAGGAAATAGATACGAAATTATCTGGCTGGAAACAAGCACACGGTACATATGAGTCGTATGGGTTTGGTCGGTCGCTTCTGCTTGGTACCACATAGTAAGCTGGTTTACTTAACAATATTTAGGCACCGGAAGATACAAGCAGCTTCAACCTGAGATGTTGCTCCCACAACTTCACAAGACTCAAAGTGCAACTCCGCCTCTATCTCTCGAGGCGTTTGATACAAGGGAGCGCGCAAGATATCTCGTTTGCCTGGTGCATATAGTACATATGTATGATGTATTGCGGGTTGTCAAAAATAATGGGACGCAACGGGGCAACGAATACAGCAACGACAACCCAACCCCGCACCAACGAACGACAATACTAACGACAATACTAACGAAAATACATTTTGGGTCTCCAGTAGTTCTTATTATCACTTATCCTGTTTGTGGTCTCTTTGTGGTCGGTCATGGTTGAGAGATTATTACGTTGCAATGAAGCCTGTTGCGTCCCATTATTTTTGACAACCCACAATAATTATCAGAGTGGCTGGAATCTAAAGCCTTTGTCTGCACTGTCGATTGTGGCAAAAGGATAAAATGCGGCCGCTTATCGATTGTTGTGCGCAGTGTTTCAACTGTTATCACTACATGATGTAGTGCTAGGGGTGTAACACAGAAATATGAAAACACTCAGAGTCACTCACCTACTTGGCATTCCGCATTCATCGATGAGAGGCTTTGCACTGTAAATGATTGCCTGAAGCCGCCTTGCGCATTGAACTTTTGTTTTGTTTGATTAGGGTATCTTGGGTGATATGGTGAAGTAGCAAAAAAGGCGATAGGCTCGCCTGAATAAAAGTGATCTAGGCGGGCAAATTTCCAGGGGTGCATAACCGTATAGTCCTCTTTTTGACACTGGCTGAGCTAGTTGATTTTTCAGATTGATAATTACGTATTGACCAAGATATATACTGTGTTCTTCGGGCTATCTGTGTTGAAAGAGCCAGAGCCTGGGGCCAGAGTATTGTTGAGGAATCTCTGACAACGCTAGGCTTTTAATACCCATTAACTCCACCGGCCGGAATGGGCTTTCTAAGAGCAACTACCGCCAGAAAGCACATTTCTCTATAGATCTAGTATATATGCATAGCATCTGAAAGAACGACCTATGATGCATGACTAACGCTGGTATTAAATAAGATGGATCTTCTACATATTTACAATAAGAGATCGATCCGAAGACGTTCTCTAGGAGGTATGTTGTCTAAGAGGCTCCCATGCAAGGCCATACCTGACTGCTGGTCGGCCAATAGGATATCAGTTCCCCAAATCCAATTGGCCAAATGTTGCAGCCTTATATGCATGCGCCGGCTGAGCAACTCTATGGTCAAAAAAAGAAAAAAACCGCTTGGTCAAATTTGAGCGATGTATATATTAAGGCTCACGAGACTCTGAGGGCCACTTTAGAATAGCATCTGTTACCACCTGCTTTTATACACATCTTGCATGATGAGGCAGAGGTAGATCTGGATGACTTCACTGCTGATATATCCCCCACATGTACATCTACCAATGGTATATTGATAATGATCCCCAGTTCGTATGGTATTATTACTTCAAGGCTAATAAGGCTTAAAGTTCCCCATATATACAGTACCAAAAAAGCGGATGGAGCGGACCCAGTACCGTATCTAGCAGACTACTGCGAGATTGCGGTAATATTGCTATGGTATAATAGTTAGGGTTCCGATTTAATTCGAAAGTCATGCACAATTGCATATTACGACAGTACTTACCTACTATATCTCTTCTTTGGTACTGTAGGCTTTCGGACGTTAATGTAAATACCAGCATATATGCAAGGCCCGACAATGCAGGAAGGCGCGCGGTGTAGCATGCAGTGCAGTTTTACTCTTATATCTTTGAGGGATTAGATGCATGTTTTCGTCGGAAGTTTCCATAGGCCGCTAATACATGACCTACTATTTTACAAATACTGATCCTTTGATATTGGATATCTGTCAACCCAGGATTGGAGATACCTACTAGAATTTGCACTTTCTTCTGTCAATTTCAGGTACGCCCGCAGAATGACCATAGTTCCCTGTATCAGGGGCCGGTAATGAAAAGAAAGATGAATTTTCCTGACGTGGCATATATATATTCTCATCTTTTTTTTCTAGAATGATTTCGGGTACCGTTTCGAATTTCTGCGGGTACTTATAAAGTTGTGCTAACTAGTACTCATGATCTAGTGCATGGTTTGCATATTAATCTTAACTAAGCTATCCTACTTAATTAACCAAACCTATTGGACCTCATGCGCACAACTCTTCAGGAAATATTTTAAGGTGGCCCATAAATACATGTATGTAAAACTATATAGCATGCATATGATAATTATATATAAAAGTCTATTTAAGCAGAAGCGACATATGCTAGTTCTTATTGGGCGCCCTGTCGACGCAAGGGGGCCTAACACAAGCTTTCCAGAGGTTTCATATAGGAGGGCCGTACCCAGCTAATCCAATTTCTATAAAGCTCTAACTAATATCCTCTCTATTTACACTAGAATCTCTAAAGATAATATCAACATTTGTTAGTTTAATTAAGCACCTACTCATAAGTTTTCTTTCCCTTTTTAGTACGTACATACATACACACGTGCATTACTATACCATTCGTTATATTATACATTATCATAGTCATTTAACAGGAGTTAAAAGGGTACCGGCCTGAAACTATGGAAAGCTGTGATATCCCCCTCAAAGAAATGTGTTTCTCTACTATCCCTCTAGGCGGCCTCACAGAAGAAAACGAACAGCCTGGATCCGGAACATCCACGACAACGATAAATTACGAATACTCGGGGAATATCTCGCTATCATTTGCTCAAAACTACCCTAGTAGTGTGCTCGATACTTTCGTCGAGGTTAAGGCCACGGTCGACATGTTTTTAGAAGGCTGCGCATTGAAGAAGGTGCCCGGACCCGAACATAAAGACAAAGTTCTGGTGCACGATCTCTCGGGTGAGCTCTGACCATACGGTTCACATAAGGCACAGTTTTATATATATAGATGATTTCTAACTATATTCTAGTATTAGAAAGTACTGCCAACAAGCCATGCAGACTACGTACGAGTTGTGATAATTGGGAAATTGGAAATCTTATTAAATCCGATGTTAGTAGTTATCATCTTCTTTATTTCATAGTAGAGCAAATATAACTTATCTGGAGACGTAATATAGGACACGGACATTCTGATACGTATGGTGTGAGTAAAAAAAGGATTCTGTGTGTATTAACACCTCTTCTTACTAAACGGTACTGGTGAATTAGATTCGTTGAAATCGATACCATCACCGTTGAAGGCCTCCGGGAACTGGGCCATCACTACTCTATACCGGCAAGGTTCTGGGGTTCCAATAGCAATGGTGACTTTGGCCATAGAACCTTGAGTTCTGGTTTGGATGAAATTACATATAGTAAGCAATTAAATTGGTCTTGCCTTGATATAGGTATTGTATATCCTTCTAAGTTCTAACTATAACTTCAAGTCACATGGCTTGAAATCCTCACCAAACCAGTATTTTTCCACGAGGATACACCAGTGCCTGAGAACGATGGCAGCTGTTGGTACCGACCAAGTTTTTCCTTCAAGTGGCAATACTGCGGGCTGCGCTCCAAGCACAAGTACAAACTTGTTATGTTTTGCCTCGATTCCTGCCCACTCATCCAGGAGCGTCTCGCAGGAGCAATGAAGCACACAGATTCACAGCTCATCCTAAAGGACCCCTACTTCCTCTATTGTCTAATCAGCAGCCAGTGGTACGATTGGAATCTGGATGCTTATTTCAGGCTCCGGAGTCAGTTAGTGGGGATTGAAAGAAGGGCAACTAGTACGCGCCTAGAGTCCTTCGAGCCGGAGTTTGAGCCGAACTTCCCAACATTACATAAACTTGCGAGGGATATCATACAGATGGCGGAGGTCTCACAAAGCGCAATCTTTGTGATGGAACGGCTAGTGCATGAGCATGAACATCTTTCCCATTTGTTTAGGGAGAGCGCGGACGTTTACAGTCGGGTGGAAGCTACATTGAATGAGAGGTTAACGCTGTTTAAGGGGACGCTGGCGAGTTATGAGGCTTTGGGGAAACGGCTTACGAATTTAATTAATTTTGTTCGTTCTACCCATTAATCTTTCCACCTCTTAGAGTTATAGCAGCTGATATATGAGTCGTCGAGTTTAGGCTTTCAACGTGGTTGCCCAAAGGGAGTCCAAACTGTCTGTCCAGATTGCAAAGGCAACACAAGCAGACAGCAACTCCATGAGATCGATAGCTGTCGTTACGTTAATTTTTCTCCCTGGAACTGCAATAGCTGTAGGTATTCCGCGGCCGGTTCCGCAGACTTGTGGCAAATCGAGATGAAAATGAATATAAATATACTCATATTACGTTCTATATTAGTCCATATTCAGCACACCATTCTTCGACTGTAACTCGAGCCATCCCTTCTGGATCTATTGGGCTCTCACTATTCCATTGACGGTAGTGATTGTGGTGATTTGGTACATGTTTGGGAGGGAGGAAAGACCTTGGGTGCCGATTTCGAATTCGTTGAGAGAGAGATGGCAGCGGATCATGGATCCTCTGACGGCGCAGGGGAAGGTGCCACCTATATTGCCAAAGTGATGGGGCCTTTTTTGTAGGTTTCCGGCTGCCAAGTGAGTTTTTTCTTGACTGGAGTTGAAGTTTTGGGTTGGAGTGTCTGGTTTCCCATTGCTAAGGCAGATTGATTGATTCGTGTATGTAGCCCATAGGCTACCATTGCTAAGGCGTTGCTGTGTTATTTTTCTTTTCATTTTCTTTCCTTAAGTATACAAATATTTACTTCTTCTTCCGCTTTACTTCACTGTTCAAATATTTCACATATCTTCCGTATTACTACAATTGCAAGCAGGACTAGGGGTTACTAATTCTTGGCACCGCCAATGAGTTCTCCCTGGACAAGACTATAGATAGGCAATTATTAGCTATCACAAGAACCGATTTCAGAACAATGCATATACTTCGAGACTTATTCTGAATGTCTTTCCAATCCCCAGACCTAACTGCAAGATCACGATCCGATTCCGATATCAAGCCTCCTATATCTGGCGCTACATGTAACCACAGCACCACCAATCTCTCGATTGCAGCACCTAGCTAGTTGTAGCCCCATTGCACCAATTGCATCGTCCATCACAATGCATGCAAGAAATAGAGAGAAAAAAGTGAAACCCCAGTAACGAAAAGAAAACTAAAAAACCTATGAAGAAAAAACCCCGAGAGAAAAAAAAGATCGGTCCCCTTCCTTAATGGGGGGCGTCGCCATTGGTGGGGTTGGTGTTGCCCTGGCGCTCTTTCGCCTACAATACCCCATCATGTTAGAATATCATTACGAACGATATTAATAGGGGCAACTTACTACTGCGACCTGCGGCGACCCGCCTAGCAATATCTTCTTCACGACCTCCTCCTCCACGGTGGTGCCAAATTCGTCATCTAGGTTGGCCTTGGAGGCTTCGTCCATGATTCCTTGTGCGCCTTGTCTATATTATACCCAACACCACCTTGTTAGCTTTCCGCTTATTTTTATATATTTTCCCTTCTGCATAAACAACAAGGGGAGTTGAGGGAGGGAATGCATACTTGTGTGTACAGAACACCTTCCACCCATTCAGCACCTGTGCAAGCGGAACAGACGAGTCCTTCTTCCACTTCTCAAGGTCCTCGATCGAGTCAATGAAGACTACGAAGTCGTCGCTCTTGCCCTTGTAGACGACCTTTGTCTGTTGAGCGTTTCCACGAGGCATATTTGGTTGTTTATGTGTGGTGGTGAGAGTTGTAATTCGTTGTAATTGGTTATATGTTATTTGTTTGTGAAGTTGTGGTGAGATTTGTGAATGAGGAATTCGACTTCAAAGGGGCAGATGGAGCGGTATTTGAGCTGTGCGGACAAGGCGGTGTGGGGTGGGTGGGTGGGTTGGTAGGTATGATGTCATCGCGAGGCCAAGCCGATGTGCGGGAGAGGGAATCTTGAAATGTTGCCGGCACGTGCCTTGGTTTTGGGTTTCCTTGTAGGTCCTGTAGGAGTGGTATGCCTGGAATTATTGGTTTGCTTTGTTGCTGCTGTTTTGGTGATGCTTGGGAGATGCTGTGATAGCTACTAGAATAGTAGATTTTAGCTACTCGAACTACCTCGAGTAGGCGTCTTTATCAATCAACCATCAAACAGCCCAATTGCAATCCAAAAACACGCCCACAGCACTCTAACTCCCCTCTCACCTCATCATAAGAACCAATCTCATCATCAATCCAAACCAGCCCATTTGTTCGTTGAATCTCAACGGCCCTCCCAACATCCCTGTCGCAACAGACGTCACTACAACCTCTGCGGCTGCACGACCAACTCCAACTCCAGTTCCTTGCAGTGCGGCCGATCATTGCGCAAAAACCAAGGCAGATCGACCGGTACTGGTTGTGCGCACGGCGGTACGTAGATGTTTTCCTTACCTACGTACTCGCGCGAGTAGATTAGAGGTCGTGATAAGATACAGAAGAGTAAAGTGATTTACGATCTACGACGACGGCCGGGCCCGGGACCCCTTGCATGTGCTGTTTGTGGGGGTAAGGAGGGTTCTATCCACTTGTCTCGTACCTATCGCCTCGTAGTTCTATCTCTTGTGATGCAATGTGGTACACCCGTGTCTAGAAAATTCCTGGATCATCCCCATAGCAACGGCACTCCCACGACTGAATTCACTACATGCTAAAAAACTGCCTCTGATAGGTCTATATGCGCATTTATCCCTGCTACAGTGCAACGAAACCCCCCAGACTTTACGGTACAATCAGAGTGAACTTTCATGCAAGATGAGTAGGATAACTAGAGAGAGTGTGTAGATTAAGGATATGCCAAAATTATTTCTGAAGAAACACTACTTTGACCCCATTGCTATGCATGGGGGGGGGGGGGGGGATGATCCAGGAATTTTCTAGACACGGGTACGGTATCGATCCCGCCGCCGCGGAGTCTTGCTTGCCGAAGTGATGGTGAGCTTCGCCGTACGGGTGCATTGCGGTGCAGGATGTACGGGTGGTGGATCTGGCTGAGAGATAAACTCTAGATCTAGGATAGAGATGCTACGGTGGCCCTGGCTGTTTAGAGCTTTGGAAAGGTTGTCCTCAATTACAGAATGAACGACAGCTGGTATTACGAGTTGGCGCTATAAATAAGTGCTTTCTTGAGCGTTCATATCAAGCATTCATTCTACTTCCCTTCTACAATTCTACAATTCTACAAGCACAAATTGCAACCCAGATCGATCCATTCCCCAGTTTGTACCTAGACGCAGCGGGATGCGCGTACATGATTGTACTCTACGGGCTGTGTGAAAGCATGCGCCCGGCCGACTGAGCGTATTTTTGGGGTGAATACAAGGCAGTGGTAGGCACAGCTACATTATCCTTCTTTGATGGAACTGAGCCAACCAAGGAGTTGAACGTGGACGTGTCTATGATACTGGCTTTTGGAGGCCCCAGTACCAAAAACATTCGATGGAAGGGAATGGATTAGCCCATTGCACAGCACAGCCAAATTGGCACTGTCTGTGACTATTGATCGTGTAGGTGAAATCTCATGGGCTCAGTGCCTGGGCATACACGCTTGGGAATGTTTTGGGAATATTTCCCCTGGGTAAAGAGGGACCCGGCTAGATGTGCTGCATCCCAAAAGAGGATCGATGAGTGGTTGCTACTCGAGTGATCTTTTATGAAGGGCCGCGATCACGTGAAATTGAAGAAAAAATCGCAAGAAAAAGAAAATACAAGCAATTTCAGAGAGGAAATCTACAAACAACAAAAACTTTGATAAGACTTCAAAACACCGCAACCTCTGGAGTTATCAAGGCTTTTTGGGTCTAACACATCTAGAGTGATTTGCATAACCCCCTCCATCCCCCGGGAAAGTCTTCGGCGTTATCAGAGTCACGTTTGCCCGATAAAAAAAAAAGAAAATCAAAAAATCCGGTTCGGCCCTCCGCGTCGCCTCAACACCACACAAAACCCCGACCTGCACCTTTTTTCGCCGCATCCCACAAACACACAAAACCCCACCACGCACGAACCAATTGCGCCCCTCATCCGTCCTCCACCGTCTCATCGCTCTCCTCATCGCTCTCCCGCACTCTAACCCCTCCCACGCCCGCAGCGGCGGGATTGCCATGTCACTGGGCTCACGAATATCAAGTTTCTTCTCCGGATCAGCGTCCAACACCACCTCCGAGACCCCACCATTGGAGAACAACAACCCCGCCGGGTCGCTGATTGGTACAATCAGCGATGCTCCTGCGACGCTCAAGACAAACTCGATAATAGAAACAGTTGCAAAACCCATGATTAACGACCACCACGACCATGAGTCAAGACGACCGCCGTATCTACATGTGAGCTTCCCCCACACAAGTGACTCGTAACCTCCCTATTTTTTTTTTTTTTTTTTCATAAAACGAGAGGGGAGTGAGAGAAAACACACTAATGAAATTTTTTATCAACGGATCCAGTGCATGCTCGCCGGCGGTATAGGTGGTAGTACTGGTGATGTTTTAATGCACTCCCTAGATACCGTGAAAACTCGTCAACAGGGAGCACCCAATACACTTAAATATGCCACCATGACCGACGCCTACCTGACAATCTTCCGCGAGGAAGGCTTCCGTCGGGGTCTTTACAGCGGAATCACACCAGCGTTCTTGGGCTCCCTTCCCGGGACAATAATATTCTTCGGAACCTACGAGTATTCCAAGCGACACCTGCTCGACATGGGCTGTCCCTCGCACATTGCGTATCTCACAGGCGGGCTCGTCGGTGATCTGTTTGCGTCGATAATCTACGTCCCGAGCGAGGTGCTGAAGACGAGACTGCAACTGCAGGGCAGGTACAACAACCCGTTCTTCAAGAGCGGGTACAATTACCGCGGGACCATAGATGCGACGAGGACGATCATCAAGACCGAGGGCCCCGCGGCGCTGTTTTATGGCTACAAGGCGACAATCATGAGGGACCTGCCGTTCTCAGCGCTGCAGTTTGCGTTCTATGAGCAGTTCCAGAAATGGGCGAAGCAGTGGTGCGATAGTCGGGATATTGGCCTATCGCTTGAGATTGCGACAGGTGCGATGGCAGGTGGATTGGCGGGGACCATCACTTGCCCACTAGGTCAGTACCTTTCCTGCGTCCCCGAAGCCCACAAACCCCGACAAGCTAACCTCTTTGTGCCAGACGTTGTTAAAACCCGCATCCAAACCCAAGTCCGCACCGGCCCCACCACACCCATATCCTCCGCGGCCACCACCAACCCCGCGCCCCTACAACGCCGGCCCTTCACAACCCTCGTGCCCCCTCACCCCCCCGCGTCATCACGCCCCATATCAACCTCCTCCCCATCAACGACATCGCCCCCCAAGTCCGGCCCCCTGAAGTTCAACACGAGCAGTATCCTCGAGGGCCTCAAGCTGCTGTACAAGACGGAGGGCATACAGGGATGGTTCCGCGGGGTGGGGCCCAGGGCTGTATGGACGAGTGTGCAGAGTGGCACCATGCTGGTCATGTATCAGTACTTACTGAAGCAGATGGAGAGATGGGATGAGAGCAGGGTGGTGGAGCTGTAGTTGCGCTGCTGGTGGTGGGGTGGGGGTGGTGTATGTTGAGATTCACGATATACATATATATACTCGGGGGTCTCTGTTTTTTTATATGCTCTTTTTTTTTCTATTTTTTTTCGTTCTTTACCTTTTCGTGGTAAAAATGATCATGGCATTTTAGTAGTATTTCATCCCATCCTCCCCCCTCTCGGTTTTTAAATCTCCCTGTGCTTTTTTCTTGTTTTATGTATTTTTTTGAGGGGTGGGGATTCTGCTGCTATATGGCTATATAGCTAGAATGGAGCGGAGTGGAGAGAAAGGTGTAGAAAGATAAAAGCGGTCGTGGGTTTAGTTAAGGGTTGGGTGTTGGGGTGGTTTTTGTGGAGAGGGGACGGCGGGGCGGGAAAAGGAGGTGGGTGGGTAAAAGGTTTTGTATAGATAGAATAGACCGTTATGGTATCTCATACTCAGCTGAGCTTTGCGGATACCTGTAGTGAAGCCTTCGAAGGGGTGCATGTGCGTCGTGTTCATGGGTTATCATTCGGTGTTTCAATATTTGTTTTAGACTTGATTGATCTATTGACGATTGATAACTCGTTCGTGTTTTCATTGGGTGGGTTTGGTGGTATAATGACCTGATGACGGCGGGGTTTCTTCCGCTGTATGTCTTGGTTAGACGAGTTGCGGTTTCTCGACAGTTGATTCCAGTCAGACCTCTCCCCAGCTGGTCATCGCGGTCTACCTATATACCCACCAAACACCAATCACCTACCAAGTCCCACATCACAAACTCCCACAATAACAGCAATAACACACAATCCCAACAGAGCCGATTAATTGGCTTACAGTCAGCCAAGGATCTATAAAGCCAATGCTAGTATACAATACAATTTGTGCCCATAACAAAGAGCGAAAAACACAGGATAAAAAAAGAAATAGGAAAAACCGCAAGGGGAGAACGCCGGTTAGTATGCAAATTTGTCGTGCTTTCCATGCTTGACCCTCATATCTAGCAGGGCCTCGTGAAAGCCGCCCTCTGCACGCACGCCGTTAGCACTGGTGGGGCCGGGGAAGAAAAGAAAGAAGAAAAAAAGGGAGGGGGCGGTGTTCTGGGCGGATATATATACCTTTCCGCGCCTTCCTCAGCACCTTGACCTGGTCGTCGTCAAGCTTAATTCCCGCCCTACAAATGCCACAATTAGCCCCCTCACTCACTCACTAACTCCCCCCCCCCCCCCAAACAGTAGCAGCAGAAGGCGCAAAACTCACATCTCCTCCAGCTCCTTCCTCGACACCCGATCTTTGACCCTCCCCTTCTCACCGCCCTTCTTCTTCTTCTTATTCCTCCTCTGCACCCTCACCACCCACTCCTCCCCAAACCCCACCTTCTCTCCATCCCCCTCACAACCGCCTTCCCACCCGTTTCCTGCACGCCGACAAACCCCCCGCGCACCGTACCCAGCGCCCATCGCCCGCCGCCTGGCAGCAGCGAGACCTCGAACTCCTCCTCGGCGCCAATGGCCTCGCGCGTGGCGCTCAGAACACCGACTTTGTCGCACGAGAGGTACTTGCCGTGCGCGGACTTGAACGAGTGCTTGTCGGTGCCGTGGATCTTGGTGGCTACCCAGACTTGGTGCACGCCGGTGGGCTCCGCGGTGGCCAGGGTGTTGTCGGCGGCGGAGAGCGCCGAGGTGAAGGTTTGGCCCGTGGTGGGGTCGCAGCTGAGGCCGACGGGGGTGGGCGCGGTGATGGTGAACATTAGTGGCCCGCTGATGTCCTCTGTGGGTGGGTGGGTTAGCATAGGTTGTGTGGAGGGAGAGAGGTAGAGGTGGGTGAACCTAGACAGTCGGCGTTGACCCAGCCTTCCTCGTCATCGTCTTTGGCGGTGGTGTTGTCGTCTTCGCGGTCCAGGGCGGGTTTCTTGACGGAGGGTCCGGAGGCGTCTTCGGCGCCTGAGTCGGCGGCGGCGGCGTCATCGGTGGTGCGCTTGCGCTTTTTGACCTTTTTGTCGCCTTTGAAGCGAAGGGCTTTGACCATTTGTTGAGATTGGGGGTGGGGTTGTGGTTGTGAGTGAGTGACGGGACGGGACGTGACGTGACGGGGCCCGACTGTGGATGGATGGAGGGATGGTAGCTACGGTACAGTGAGCTGCGAGGGTAACTCAGTGTGTGTTTATCGGAACTCGCCGACGGATGGACGCGATGGCCGGGTAAGAGGCTGCTCGATAAGGCCTTATCGGGAAGGTCAGCTGTTGTGGGGGGAAGGTGGGATGCATGGGATGCATGGAATGGAATTACTTCGGAATGCTAGCTGGAGCTGTAAGCTATAAATTATAACGAGTACAGACAGCCCTTCCTCGAATATCTCTATTCAAGAGACCATACCTCTACCACTCCCACTCCTCATCCCCGGCCCGCTCAAAATGGCAGACCCCGTAACCGTCACCCTCGACTCCTTGCAGTCCGGTATAGTCAACCCCCTGCAGGCCCCACATAACCTGCCCCAGCGATCATTACCCCTGTCTAACATGTAACTAACCCACCACACACAGGCACCGTCGACTTCACCACCCTCGAGTCCGCCTTCGGGCCCGACTCGCTTGGAATCATCCTAGTGTCCAACCTGCCACCGACGTTCCCGGCGCTGCGCTTACGCCTGCTTACCTTCGCGTCGCTGCTGGGAAACCTTCCGGCGCAGGAGCTCGCGGCGCTGGAGTGCCCAGAGGCAAAGTATCTGGTGGGGTGGTCGTGCGGGAAGGAGAAGCTGGCCAACGATAGGCCGGATACGGCCAAGGGGAGCTATTATGTGAACTGTGCGTTCTATAAGGATAGGAGTCTGGATGGCGCGGAGGGCGGTGAGAAGTATGGCGATTTGAGGGAGTATACGGAGGGGAATATATGGCCAAGGGAGGAGTTTCTGGAGGGCTTTAGGGAGACGTTTATGGAGTTGGTGAGTCGGTGGGCGTGTATAGTGAGGGTGGGGTTGGTGGCTGATTGATGTCGGGGATGTAGTGTACGCTGATTATTGATACGGCGGGCTTGGTCGCGAGGGTAGGTGGTCTCTGTATTTGTATAAGCTTGGTTTAGTTGAACATTCTAACGACCCCCACAGGCTTGTGACCGCTACGGTATCCCTCTGCTCCATCATTAGCTATGTCTATACATCCAGCACCCACTAACCCCCCCCCCCCCCTCTTTATAGCCGTCGCCAAAATTCCCAACTACACCCCCGGCTACCTTGAACACGTCGTCGCCACTTCCACCACGACAAAAGCCCGCCTCCTCCACTACTTCCCCCTCCCGCCGTCCATGACCCCCACCGCCCCCGACTCCTGGTGCGGCACTCACCTTGACCACAGCTGTCTTACCGGCCTTACCTCCGCCATGTACACCTCCTCCGCCTCGCCCAATACAGAGATACCCTGCCCGGACCCGAACGCGGGGCTGTATATACAAGACCGGAACGGAAACACCGTCAAAGTGGCGATACCGAAGGACTGTCTGGCGTTCCAGACGGGGGAGGCGCTGGAGGTGATTACGAAGGGCAGGTTTAAGGCCGTGCCGCATTTCGTGAGGGGGTGTGAGGTGGGCGGGGTGGCGAGGGGGACGCTGGCAGTGTTTACGCGTGAGTTTTCCTGTCGAGAGTTCCTTCCTTTCCTCGTGTGGAGCGGGGGCTAATGGGGTGCTTGGGTGATTGTAGAGCCGAATCTGTGGGAGATGGTTGGTGAGAATGATTTTGCGATGTTTGCGAGGGAGATCGTGGGTAGGAATACTAATGAAGGATGAGAGAAATGCCGGTACACGTACATAGGGAACGGTTGTAATTGGAGATGTAGTGAGTGCCTAGACAATACATCTCTGATCAAAGATCTTGGATGAGAGTGATGGCTCATGATTGATCCTAAATTCGATATCCCGTGTTGGTGGGATGTGCCGGTGCAGGTTAGATGTGCCATGTGTATTACTAGTCTCATATCACTCGAAAACTTTAAGGGCGCGTTTGGGGGAAGTGTGGTTTAGAAACTACGTTGAGCGGAAATCATGTTAGCACATTGCTAACTGAGAAATATTAAAATGGAGTTTTGATTTGCCAAACACGAGCTTAGTTGGGTGATTTTATTACAGTTTTTTGTTGCGGATGTGCATTGCAACGAGGAAACGTAGGTCTGACCCAGCTTTTCAGAATTCAGTTATGTTAATGAGATTTCCTTAACAAAGTGGCTCGCCAAACAGGTCAACTTATCAGATAACGGAGTTTTGGGAAGAGTCCGTTGTATAACGGCATTCGGGTCCGTTTAGGTGGTTGCCAAACGCGCCCTAAGTTTTCCGGATGATCTCCGGAGGTGGTCCCAAGTCCAGCTAAGTATGGGAGCATAGGCTTATCTCTTGATCCTGTGTCATTCATCCATATCTTATAGGTAGGATGAAAGCCACGCTTAATAGGGAGTAGAGTAGATAGTTTAATAGACAAGTGAAGAGTCTTCCAACTGTAAAGATATACTAGCTGGTCTGCTATATCTGTTCTGCTTATGCAACGATTAGTGTCCTTTCCATGAAGCTATATGTATAAACGCAGTGTTGTTAACATGTACTGACTAGCCTTATTTGTAGCATTGTAATCTGTCCTTCCTCAGTTGTGTTTCGCGCAACGCAAGCCGCCATCTTTCCATCTAGTCGCAATAAAAGGAGTGCGTGGCCATGGTGTAGGGGGGAAACTTGGAAGGTCTTACAATAATTAGGAGCTCTGTAACTACTCGGGAAGCTTGTGTCTGTGTGCGATTGTGCATGGGCGTTAGACTTATAAATTCGGGAGTGGTACTGCTAGTAGTTGGAGCGGTCATAGTTTATCAGTCGGTATTTATGACCCGTCCATAGCTCTTCTCGAACATGAAACGTAAGCTAGCTTTCCTTCAGTACAATAAGCCCCTCAATGGACTGGGAAAATTACTACATACATTCCTAGAAAGCCCCCCACCAGTAAAACATACTCGGTCAACAAAGGCTATCCGATTAGGGCAGTCGAGCAGGGGACCGCCGTGGTAGATCCTGCCTGTTGATCTAGGCTTATATCGAACCTTTGGGGTTTGTACCTAATTCAGATATCAGGCCTGGGTGTACATGTTCATATATCTTGGTATGCGAAGTGCATAGCTCAAATAAATTATGGAATATACGCACAAATTAAGTTCGGTAGATGGGTTGAGTGCGCACTATCAATAAGGGGTTCTCATTCCGCAGTTGCATTCATCCCGTACCCCTAATTTTTCGCTACAGGTAATAGTAACCTCTAGCAGCTCTAATGAGCCTAAGAGCGCTACATGTGCAGAGGAGCCGCTCCGAGAAAGGTTCTAGTAGCTACCAAGCGTACCCTCTCGGGATTAGATCTCTTGGAAAATCCATTGACGCTGCGGGATGTGCATATCAACCAATTCAATGAACCAGTCATCTATGATCTACGGAACGGCGCCTTTCCACTAGTAGATTGGAGCTTCTGACTGCATCAAAGTTAGTAACTCAAGGTCTGGCGGCTTAGGACATGACTCATATGAGTGGTTTGTAAGACCCAGGGTGAGAAGTTAGAGAAGGAATTCTACCAGAGCTACACTGCGGTGCGAGAAATGGAATTCTTACGGGCTATCGCCCTTCAGGACATCACCTCAAGGGGGTGTAACGTTAAAAATTGTGAGGGCCAATGCTTTCGGATTTTCATAACGAGTGACAATTTATGACCAAGAAAATGTTTTTGCGTCTACCCAAATGCAAGAGGGCGGATATCCAGCAGGCATGGCAGGAAAAAAAACAAAAAAACAAAAAAACAAATGGAATAATAAATTAACTAATGCGAACCTTTTTTTTAAACAATTTGAGTAGGCACTTAGAGTACCTGTACACTTGCCCAAACTCTCACACCTCTATCCTATCCATCAACCTTCCGTTTCCTTGCCCTCCCTCCTCTCTTCTCCTTCTCTACTGCTGGGCTCTTTCGTCTCCCAGCCACCGTCACTTCTTCCTCACTTTCCGTATCCTCCAAGTCTAACACAACGGGCATTGTCCAACTATCCTCCAGTTCTCCCCTAACTGGCTCGATAGTTCTGACATCTACATCCTCATTCTCCAGATGTAATCTCCGCTTCGTCACATCTTCCTTCGGATGTATGTCGAATTCATCTTCCCGCTCTTGGTACTCGATGTTTTCTTCGAGTTCGCGGAAATCAGGCGCAAGTGCGGACCACCGTTGAGGGTTGGAAGTGGCCCAGATGAAGATCTTGCCAGACTCGAGGCCAGCAGCGGCGACGAGAGGGCGCGTAGGGTGCCACTGTGTGTTGTGTTAGTAGAGCAGTAGGGCGAGGGCATGGGATGTAGTAACCTCTACGGTACCGAGTTCCTCCTTAGGGCCTTCGAGGATCTTGACTAGAGAACCCATCGACCGTTCCCATATGTAAATATCATGATTTTTGAATGTGCTAGCGGTAAGATAGTCGCCATTCCCAGAGAAGGTACAATGATTCCATAGTAGCCTATTTACTACATCTTGGAATTTATGCTCCACCTCCAGCTTGATTTCGTTCCCATTAACCCCCTCTCTGAGTGTGTCTGGGATATGGATCGATCGTAGAACTCTGTCGTTGGAATTGACGACCATGTTTCTTCCCGAAGTCGTGAGTCGGATGTATGTTATACAGCCGCTGGTGATTCTTGTAGAGTGGATCGTTTCCCTGGTTCTTGTGAAGACAATGTTGGCCCATCCTTTGTTCGTACCAGTGATGATGTGTTCCCCGGACACCGTGAATACAGCTACTGTGGTGAGGTGTTTTGCATCTGCAGCTGCTCGCTTTTCATCAATTTCACCTTCTTCAGCGCCAGGTATGGTAGGCCGCTTAGGTGCGCTCGAGAAGGGGTACTTTTTAGGGATCGGGTCGGTAATGTCGACAAGGTATGGGGTGTCTTCGAAAAGGGCGCAGACAAACAGGTTACTGAGCTATTTAGTTTACTACTACAAGCGCATAGGGATGGTTCTCTTACGGGTTTAAAGGATGTAGTTCTGCGCAGTATACCGGCGCATTGAACCGCACAGTTCTTGCAGAAGCTTCTCCGTTTTTTGAGAGGTCCCATACGATGACCTTGAAGTCTTGTGAAGCACTGGCAAGGTACCGCCCATCCTGGGACCAACTGAGTGACTGAATCTGTCGTACGTGACCACGAAGATAGCGCGCTAGACCGTTTGTTTCGACATCGAAGAGGACGACGGTGCCGTCGAGCTGTGGTGGTAATTAAGTGTCAGAGAGTTGTAAGAGTTTTTATTTTATTCCGTGGGAGGGAAAGAGGGAATTGTGCCGTGCCCTGCCGGATGCGATCAGATCTCCCTTGCGGTTAAAACGGACCTAGACAAGTGACGTTAGGTGGGGTGGGTTTGTTTGTGGGAGAAGGAAAGGGCGAGGTACGCAGGTAGAGTGGCCGGATCGGAGCTCGGAGGAGAGAGATTCGGGATAATCTTGCGCGAGAGTAAACGGGTCGAGAAGTGAAAGATTCATAATGATTTTTGTATATTGTGTAGAGCTGCAGAATTTTGGAAATGACTCTATCCGAACAGTAAAAAAGGCCAACAGCTTAGACTCATTCGTGTCGGGCAAACGTGTTGCAAAGTGCTCCTGCGTATTGTTTCACGAGGTGAGGTTGAGTTGCCAAGACTCATAGCTGCACGAATCAGTCACTGCCAAGAGCGGCTCACATCAGCATTCGCCACACTCACCCTGCGAGTTGTCTGGCGCGCCTGCTCTGCTGGTTGAAGTCTGCTCTCCCATCTTTCATCGCCCTTCCCTCCCCCCTTCATCTACAACCACTCCCGTGGTCCATCTACTTCCTCACCCTGGAAGCCGTACTAACCCCCAACAAAGTGTTTACGATTAACGCCCATTACTTTCATTCTTAAAGAACAGGAGAGGAAGAAGAAGCAGTCTTTCTTTTGTTCTGGGTCTCCTGTGGCCTTGGGTCGCTTGCTGGCAGCATCGCTGGGGGATAGAGAGAGCCTCGTCACCCATCCTTCTACATCGCCTAACTCTCCTTTCTCTCGTTACCTCCGGCTTTTACCCGAAAAAACGCGCAGCCGGCCACGAAATATAATTAATAAAAATAAAAAAAAATAGACGCGCGATCGCATCAGATTTGAAGGTTGGAACAGTACGGGCAGAGGTTAGGGGGAGGTAGCTTTTTCTCACCAGGTCATTCCGAATTATACAAGTGAGATCCAGCAAACGGACAGAAAGTAGAAGGCTTGATAGATTTGAGAAAGAAAACAAACTCGACAAATAATTTTATTTCTGGAAATTCGCGCTGTTTTCTGCTACATCTAGGTAGAAGATCAAAACAACAGCAGCAATCATGACGTTGATTTTCGAACATTCGAGCGCGCCTCTGCGCACTATCAAGGAGATCCAATTTGGTCTCCTGTCGCCAGAGCAAATCAAAGGCATGAGCGTGTGTCATATCGAATACCCCGAAACTATGGTGTGTTTGAATCGTGTCCTTTTTCGGAATTAATTTTTGAAGTGTTGAGCGGCTCTAATATGATTTCTTTTTCTTGCAGGATGAAGCGAAGTTGCGTCCTAGAGAAAAGGGTTTAAACGATCCTCACCTCGGTTCGATTGATCGTTCATTTAAGTGTGCCACTGTAAGTTTCCCCTGATATAGGGTCTAGTCGCCACACTCTAATCTTATACCTCCAGTGTGATGAGGGCATGTCGGTTTGTCCGGGTCATTTTGGTCATATTGAACTTGCAAAACCGGTATATCACGTCGGTATGTATCCACTCTGCTCCATTAAAAGAAGTTCTAAGTTTAGCTAACATTTCTTCCCTAGGCTTTCTCAATAAGATCAAAAAGGTTCTTGAGACAGTCTGCTACAACTGTTCAAAGATCAAGTTAGATGAAGTGAGACACACTGAATAAGTGGCGTGACGTCTTGACTTTCGTTTGGCTAACAGAAACCTACCTTTCAGTCAAACCCCCAATTTGCCGATGCTTGCAAGATTCGAGAGCCAAAAGCTCGTTTCAACGCTGTATGGCGTCTATGCAAAGCAAAATCCACTTGTGACTCTGACAATACCGCTGGCGATGAAGAGAACAATTTCGGCGACGACGCAGGCACCAACCCGGAGAAGAAGAAGTCCCACGGTGGTTGTGGTAATAAGCAACCTACTATTCGGCGTGAAGGTCTCCGCCTGATCGGAACTTGGAAACCGGACAAGGATGCACAGGAGGAAGCTAGTCAGGGAGAGAAGAAGGCAATTCTTCCCTCAGAAGTTCTCAGTATTTTCAAACACATCACTAGTGACGAGATAAGGAAGATGGGGCTGAGCGAAGATTATGCTCGACCAGAGTGGATGGTGATTACGGTTCTGCCCGTGCCACCGCCACCCGTTAGGCCCAGTATCTGTGTGGATGGTATGGGTGGAGGAATGCGCGGAGAGGACGATTTGACATACAAGCTGGCCGAGATTATTCGAGCAAACGCCAGTGTACGCGATGCCGAACAAAACGGGTCCCCAGCGCACGTTGTCAACGAATTCGAGGCCCTCTTGCAATTTCATGTCGCTACCTACATGGACAACGATATTGCCGGTCAACCACAGGCTCTGCAGAAATCAGGAAGACCAGTGAAGTCAATCCGTGCTCGTCTCAAGGGAAAGGAGGGTCGTCTACGTGGAAACTTGATGGGGAAGCGTGTTGATTTCTCTGCTCGTACGGTCATTACTGGTGACCCTAATCTTTCACTCGACGAGGTCGGTGTTCCTAGGAGTATCGCCAGGACCCTGACATATCCCGAAATTGTTACTCCCTACAATATTCACAAACTGCACAAGCTTGTTGAAAATGGGCCGAATGAACACCCGGGTGCCAAGTACATCATCCGTGACACTGGTGAGCGTATCGATCTCCGGCATCACAAGAAAGCGGGTGAGATCTCGTTGCAATACGGGTGGAGAGTTGAAAGGCATATCATCGATGGTGATTACATTATCTTTAATCGACAGCCTTCTCTGCACAAGGAGTCTATGATGGGTACGCATATAATTGTTTATTGGTTCGCTGCATGTCTTTATCTAACGATAAACAGGTCATCGTATCCGTGTTATGCCTTATTCTACCTTCCGATTGAACTTGTCTGTCACATCGCCTTATAACGCAGATTTCGACGGTGATGAAATGAACTTGCATGTTCCGCAATCCGAAGAAACCCGAGCAGAAGTTAGTCAACTGTGCATGGTCCCGCTGCAAGTTGTATCTCCACAAAAGAACGGTCCCCTCATGGGTATCGTCCAGGATACACTGTGTGGTATCTACAAGATTTGCCGAAGAGATGTTTTCTTGAACCGTGAGCAGGTCATGAACATTCTCATGTGGGTTCCTAATTGGGATGGTACCGTTCCTACACCTTCCATTCTCAAGCCTCGCCCTCGTTGGACCGGAAAGCAGATTATCTCTCTTGTGATTCCTCCGGGTATTAATAAGGACGATAGCGGAAAGGGATATTGCCCATTGAATGATGAGGGTCTGTTGGTCCACGGTGGTGAGCTTATGTTTGGGCTCCTGAACAAGAAGGCTGTCGGTCAATCCCATAGTTCCTTGATTCACATCATTTTCAACGAAAAGGGTCCTTACCGCTGCCTTGAGTTCTTTAACGGCTGTCAAACTGTTGTCAATTACTGGCTCCTTCAAAACGGGTTCAGTATTGGTATCGGCGACACCATTCCAGATAAAGCCACGATTCGAAAGATTGCGGAAACTGTTGCTTCGAAAAAGGCCGAGGTCGCAGATGTCACGGCGAAGGCGCAGTCAAATCAGCTTGAACCTCTTCCTGGAATGAATATCCGTGATACATTCGAAAGTTTGGTGTTGAAATCTCTCAATTCGGCCCGTGATGTTGCTGGTTCAGATACCGAGAAGAGTTTGAAAGATCTCAATAACGCCATTCAGATGGCTCGTTCTGGCTCCAAAGGTTCTAACATTAACATCTCCCAGATGACGGCTGTTGTAGGTCAGCAGTCTGTCGAGGGGAAGCGTATTCCTTTTGGTTTCAAATACCGTACCTTGCCCCATTTCACAAAGGATGATTACAGTCCCGAGTCTCGTGGATTCGTTGAGAATTCTTATCTCCGTGGTCTTACTCCTCAGGAGTTTTTCTTCCATGCGATGGCTGGTAGAGAGGGTCTTATCGATACTGCAGTCAAGACTGCCGAAACTGGTTACATTCAAAGAAGATTGGTTAAGGCGTTGGAAGATGTCATGGCAAAATACGATGGTACTGTTAGAAATTCTCTTGGAGATATCATCCAGTTCGTTTACGGAGAGGATGGTTTGGATGGAGGACACATAGAACCCCAACACGTCGACGTCATCTCATGCTCTGATGCTGCTTTCGACGCAAAGGTGAAGGTCGATGTTATGGACAAGTCTAAATCGATACCACTGGAGTTCTTGGAGGTCGCACATGAGATCCAGGGAGATGTAGAAGTTCAGCGAGTTCTAGATGAAGAATACGAGCAGCTTACAACTGATCGTATATTCTTACGATCACTTCAGAAGGGGTCTGTCGAGGATAAACTGCAATTGCCCATCAATATCATTCGGATCTTGGACAATGCGCGAACTATTTTCCGGATCAAACAGCGTGCGCGAAGTAACCTTCATCCAATCGAAACCTGCCAGAAGGTCAAAGAACTACAATCGAAACTTATTGTGGTTCGCGGTAACGACCCACTTTCCCTCGAGGCACAGGAAAACGCTACTAGACTCTTCATGTGTCACCTCCGATCTCGTCTTGCATTTAAGAGACTGGTTCTTGAGTCCAATTTGAACAAGGTCGCTTTCGAATGGGTACTTGGTGAGATTGAGGCACGGTTCGCCCGTGCTGCTGTTAATCCCGGTGAGATGGTTGGTGTGTTGGCTGCGCAATCAATTGGAGAGCCCGCTACTCAGATGACGTTGAACACTTTCCATTTCGCTGGTGTGTCTTCCAAGAACGTCACTCTTGGTGTTCCCCGTTTGAAGGAGATTCTCAACGTTGCCAAGAATATTAAGACTCCCTCTATGATGGTGTATCAGCAGCCTGAGAATATCTTTATCAAAGAAACAGCTAAGAAGCTCAGATCTGCGGTCGAGCATACTACTTTGAGGTCGGTTACTGACACCACCGAAATTTGGTATGATCCGGATCCGAGAGATACCGTCATTGAAGAAGATAAGGAGACGGTGCAGTCGCATTTCTTGATCGATACTGGCGAGGAAGACTTAGAGAGGCAATCCAAGTGGCTGCTCAGAATTGTCTTTGATCGTAAGAAGTTGCTGGACAAGGACTTGACGGTTGAAAAAGTCGGTATGAAGTTGATGCAGGAGTATGGGAACGATATGTCTATCATCATGAGTGATGATAACGCGGAAATCCCTAATATTCGATGCCGTATGAAGAATTCTGAAGGGCAGAAGGGTGATGAGGAGACTGACTTGGAGGAGGATACTATGCTGAAGCGTCTTGAAAACCACATTTTGGATGAACTTACACTCAATGGTGTTAAGGGTATCCAGAGAGCTTTCTTGAACGACAAGGAGAGGATTAAATTCTGTAAGGATGGATCCATGATCATGAACTCTGAGGATGATGGATGCAAGGAATGGGTTCTTGATACGACTGGTACTGCGCTGAAGGCTGTGCTCGAGGTTGATGGAATCGATACAAGCAGAACATACTCCAATACCTTTGAGGAGATTTTGCAAGTTTTCGGTATCGAGGCTACCAGGGCTGCGTTGTTGAGGGAGTTGAGACAGGTGTTGGCTTTCGACGGTTCCTACGTCAATGAGCGCCATCTTGCACTTCTTTGCGATGTCATGACTGCACGTGGTCACCTGATGGCCATTACTCGTCATGGTATTAACAGGGCCGATACTGGTGCATTGATGAGGTGTTCTTTTGAGGAGACGGTGGAGATCTTGCTTGAAGCCGCGGCTTCAGGGGAGTTGGATGATTGTAGGGGTATCTCCGAGAACGTCATGTTAGGTCAATTGGCTCCTCTAGGTACAGGAGAATTTGACGTCTTCCTCGACGAGAAGATGCTTATGGAGGTCATTGTGGATAATTCAACTATCCACGGCGGCGGGGACATTCCTGGAATGAATAGGGGCGGATTGGCTGACGGTGCTGCTACACCGTACGCTGCTTCCCCTACATATGCCGATGGTTTTGTTGGATCTCCGGATATCGGCGCTGCTTTCTCTCCAATGCAACATACTGGGGCGGAAACACCTGGCGGGTTCACGGAATATCAAGCTCCTGGGTTTGGAGGGTTATCTCCATATGGAGCTCGTAGTCCTATGGCTTATTCACCCACAAGTCCCTTCGGAACAAGCCCTACTTCTCACCAATATTCTCCTGCATCGCCGGCCTACTCACCCACGTCCCCCAACATGGCCGTTACCAGTCCTGGGTTTTTCGCAGCATCTCCAAGGTTTTCACCGATGGCTGCGAGCCCTGCGTATACCCCAACCTCACCACAATATTCCCCCACTTCTCCAGGCTATCCCGGTGGTATGAGTGGTACTCCTACCTCTCCTACCTACTCCCCAACCTCCCCAAGTTTCAGTCCTACTTCACCTAATTACAGTCCAACTTCACCGTCGTTCTCTCCGAATTCCCCAACTTCGCCGGCATATTCCCCTACATCTCCGGATTATAGTCCTGCTAGTCCTGCGTTTGGTGGACCCATGGGGAATAGCCATTCTCCCACAAGTCCGACGAGCCCCAACTACAGTCCTACTAGTCCGATGTACAACCCGGGAAGCCCTAACAATTATGGCCCAAATAATTATTCACCTACCAGTCCATCGTTCCAGTCTCCGGCTCAGGGCAGCCCGAGATGGTCTCCGTAAGTGCTATCGCCCCTTTATCATTATAGAGTCAAAGCTAACAAAATTGTCAGAACTTCTCCTGGGCCATCATACTCTCCCCGATCACCCAGAGACCCACCAAAAAATGAATAAATTTTTCGTAGTGGTCATGTGTTCTTAGTTGTATTTCCATTTTTCTTCGATGTGTTCGTGGTTTTGTGTTCTGTTCTTGTCGTTTAAAATTGCAAAAATCAATGGGGTAAACGGGTTCTTTCTTGTTTTGTTTTTCCCTCTCTTCTTTGAGAGCCTTTTTGTTAAGGGAAACCTTTTTTTTCTTCACTATATGAGTCTGAGCTTTGGGGGCAAAGGCGAGTGGATTTTATTTACGCTACGCAATTTACCACCCTTACTGCAACCGAGATTGAGATAGAGCATTTTTTTTATTACTTTATGCCTTCTACTATTATTATGAAGCGGCTTTGTGTGCGGCGCGCGGGGATATATCAAGAAAAGCAAAAGGCAGAGATAATATTTCTTTTCCTTTCGTTTTCTCTCTTTTTTTTTCTTTTTTTTCTTTCTATTTTTGCTTCGAGACTTGGGGCAAGGTATTTTTTTGTACTTTTAAACAAAAAAAAACAGCAGAGGTTCATCGTGTATTTGTTTTTTTTGATGAGGCATAGCTAGCTTACGAATGTTGCGCTGGGATTTTGGGAGCGAATCTGTACTTTAACTCTGTTCAATTGATTGAGAACGAGAGGGCTGATTATAATCAGCTGAAAGTTTCTTATATCGACAATTTAAATTAGTTACACTGAGCTAGTGACGCCTAGATAGTTCCCGGAGTCCCCCACCATGGCAACGGGACTCTCGCGACTGAATTTACCACAATCAGAGTAAACTTTTATACAAGATTGAGTAGGATAACTAGAGAGAGTGTGTAGATTAAGGATATGCCAAAATTCTTTGTGAAGAAACACTACTTTGACCCCGTTGCTATTTGGGGGGGCTCCGGGAATTAGACACAGGTGTACGTTCCTGAATGTAATGTACATGTATCTGTTAAATTAACACTAGCTTTCAAAGATCTCGAAATGAGGCCACCCATTAAATTGGGTTAACGAGGGCGGCTGACTCGATTGACCGTTTAATAAAAAAATTTCCAACGTGGGCATAACATTGATTTGCCAACGGACATTAGCTCATTCCCAGTACTATCGCCGTGCGCGTGGTCACTAATATTACTCGCGTGCACGTGATCTTGACGTAAAGATTACCCGGAGTGTAACGAGAACCTCAAGCTTTTCGCTCCACAACCTGCGAAATGTAGGAACCCTTGACCGCCGACCAGCGCCTCGAATCACCCCAAAGATGCCGATAAAATTCACAAAAGACCATTTCAAATGGACAAATGGACGCGGTCTCACACAGCGGCCAATTCTGTATTCACAAAAAAAGAATACATATGGATTAGGTATGTACATGCATCTACCTCCTCGAACACCTCTGGTCGCTAGTTGTGCAGTTTCAGTCAGATTGTGTGGTACTGATTTGTGTCTGCGGGTGATTTTAGGAAAAAAGGAACACTCGTCGGACCAGTGGTGGGAGAAGGCCTTCGATAACCAGCTCAAGAACCTCGACGTGTCTGGCGGCGGCGCATCCGGCGAAGTTACGGTAAAGCAGACTGCGCCGATCTCAACCGCAATTGGAATGGAGAAAATGGCGAAGTACTACATTCGCTTTGTGAAGGGAGGAATACTAGAGGGAGAAGTTGAGAAAATGGTGAAGGAAGTTGAAGAAATCCCAGAAGATATCTCAACGGCCAGTGAGGCAGAAAGGAAGCTTCAGGGGAAGAAAGAGAAGAGGGCAAAGAAGGAAAAAAAGAGTAAGCGGGATAAGAAGCGGAAGACTGGCGCGGTGAAGGTGGAGAGTAAAGAGGAGCGAAGAGGGAGAAAACGGTTGAAACGGTTGGTGCAGAAGGAGCTGGAGCTCTTAAAGATTGGGAAGTGAGAAATTACGCTCGTTAATTACACGGAGTCCTTGGGGTGTAGCATACATGATCTTTCATTTTGAAAGTCGGAGGGGCTTGCTTGTTAACATAGAACGTTTTGTAGGTAAGTTTGGGGCTTGGGCAGGCTATAATATACCCTTGAAATTAAGGGTAGCTTAGCTTAGGAACTGCGGAACTAGTGCCAAGCTGGGCGTATAACTGAGATTCACCGCAGCACATCTGAGCATCCTGGAACTGGTTCCACATGCACATATTCTCACTCGGTTCCTGGAACCAGTACTGGGCCCAGTCCCCCTTGGGTTCGGTTACTGCAACACTCCTCCTAGTCCTCTAGACAACCGTTGCAACACAACTCAACACCACGACAATTATCTCACGATACAGTCGACTCTCGTTATAGTGATACTTCATATAGTGATCCTCTCTTCATAATGATAGCAATCGGAAATACCTTTTTACCAGTATCTCCTTACTCCTTATAGTGATACTCGGCAGAGAGAAACGCTCTGCAGTGGGCGCTCAGGCTTTTTAGACACTTAGCGAGTGATAGCGAGTGGTGTGTCTGTACATTAGTTATAATATATGCATTAATATATCTCTTTTTTTTGAAGTTATTATTAGTACTTAGTCATAAATTATTTCGATAGTTATTTAGTACTGAATCTACCAACTTGCTTCCTCAACCCAAACCCCAGGGCGCCAGAACCCCAAGAAGCGGTATTTATAAACGTCAGCTTGGGCATTGAAGATATAGAAAAGAAAACGGGTCTTATCAAGGTCGACTGAGACTGAGACAAGATCAAGTTTAGTGATAATCTCAATATCCGGGACTGCTACGAGGAAAAAGTTTTGATCGGTCTGACAGGGGAAACGGGGAAAAGAGAGACAGCGCAATTTGAATTTTTTTGGTATTTCTTTTCGTTGAGATGGCGGAGGGGCGTTCTAGGGAGGAAAATTTGCATTGATCCACACGCGCGTCGCCACAACCTTCGCAGGTTGCTTACAATTATCAAACAATAAATCAACGTCAGCTTTGGGGAGTCCAGCGTGGCTTCCCAAATTGTGATTAAGGATATTTCATCACGTAAATGTTCCAACCAATAGTGACCCGCATATGAAAGAAATGGGTCTATTTCCTGGTACGTATTCTTCGACCGTGCTTCTGATTTGGGGAATTTGAGAAATGATATGCAAACATCGGTAATATAAGCATTACTTATAGACTGGGCTGAACGCATTTCAACACCGCCTATCGTCCTTGGTCTTCTAATGAGAAATTCCCTTGCAGACTGGTGAATGATTTGAACGAGGCCGGGAGCCGCCGCCATGACTTTTGGGCATTATTTCCAATAGTCCTCCTGAGGATACTTGGAAAGATTCCATGGTCATCTGGGAGGGTGACATTGAAGCTTCTAGTTTTTCCATTGAAGAAAACTGGTGCTCATCGGTGTGGATCACGATAGCATATTGAAATTCTTCAAGACTTAATGGCCTCTTTGCAAAATGTACCCAACGAATCATGGCTTCTGCTTTATGGAGGTGCCTGCTCTCAACCTTCCCTAACAAACGCTCATAAAAATCGTTCAGCTCATCAGGTTTTGAATCCAGTATCTCTCTAATCCCAGCAAGGCGTATAGAGGAATCTGCGCACTTCAACTCATACATAATGAGCCTAACCCAAAGAAAGACTCCTTCTGCGCGAGAAAGTAATTGCTCCTGGACTATATCTTGGTAAAAACTTGGAAGTTTTGAGACTTGGCCGGCCACGTATCTCTCCATGTCACCGTGACTCCATTCCTCAAGCTTTATCGAGTAAAGTTTTCCTGTACCGGCCCTATTTATACTTTCCATCATCGCCTTTATGGGTCTGCTGTAACGACCTGTAATAAATACCTGAGCTCATTACTGCGGTCGAAGTTGCAAACATCTTCCAGAAACGCCAGCATCGAGTATTCGTCGCTAAGTTTTGCTCTACGATTTATTCCGCATTAATCAAGGGCATCGATGAAGATATAAATTGGCGGCGCAGTGGGATAATTAAATATACCAAGAAGGAATTTGCGGAGAGTTGGTATAGGCCAGTACATCGAACTCTTCCTTAGACTTCGCTAGCTCTTTTTTGTGTAGGGTGATCAAATCGCGATATATGTTGGGTATCTGCAGTTGTGGGAGGATCTGGTGTAAAATCGCTTGGAGAAATCCTTTGAAAGATTTAATGAGTCCCCCTCCACGATCATTAAAGAAGAATGCCGCGAAGACAGCAGGAGTAGCGTTTTTGTGTTCTTTAAAAACATATTTCAAGAGGGTCGATTTGCCACTTCCAGGTTTTCCAGTCACCCAGAACACGCTAGAGTTATTCTCCTTCCAGTAACGAAAGCCTATATGATCCCAAATCCAATAGAATGTTTCATTGGCAATCACATGTTCACGCTCATCCATTTCTTTGAAGGCTAATGATTCTAGAAGTGCTATTTCCAACCGCATATGGTCAGAAACAAACAATTGATAGAACTGGGGGGCTTAGTAAATTGACGTTTTACCTTTAGAATCCGTCTCGACGTATCCTAATGTAATTGGAGTTAATCCGCCAGTTAGCCACGCCGAACAATTGGTAACACTCGAATTAATTTAACATAAACAACTAGCTAACCTTTAATTCCTTCCATAGCAGTCACCATTTCACTCAGTACTAATTTATAATTACTATCTTCCGAAGATGCAAACTTGTTCATTCCCACATGATCAGCCTCGAGCGCAGTATTCGTTGCTCCCGGCAAAGAACCCGACTTTGCGTCTACAGCCTAAGGATTTGTAGATTTGGTTAATAAATAAGCGGAGTGGTGGAAGTAAAGTTCATGGTATCCTTACATGTAATAAAGGGATGCGCCATTTTTTTGTTTTATAGGATTCGTAAAAGTTGACCATTTTTCTCACTTCAAAAATCGTGAGGAACGAGTGGTTTAACTTGTGAAGAAGATCTGACCCAGGGTCTAAAGATTCGAGAAGTTCTGTACTGGAGCCCAGCCAATATGTAGCGTAAGATAGTAATTTCTCAGCCGGAGTAAGTCTTGAGCCATCATGTGGCACCCCTAAGTAGATAATGCTGCTTGTGAAGTCTTTTAGAGCTTTATATCTATCACGAGCCTCGGGAGTTGAGCTGCTAGCAATAACTAGCGCCTAAAGACAACCAATTATTACAGGCCATTTATAAGAATTTAGGGACTAGAGAGGTTTATATGCACCTGTTTTATAATAATTCTCCCAAAACTATGCCCGATAAAAATTATTTCGCGCTCTACTTCCTGTGGTGACTGTAGTTATGGTTTATAAGAATGGTACATATCCAGTATAGCTGGGGTTTTGAATCAAGCACTTACTTTCCGGTAGTCCCTTAAGTGATTCAAAAGTTCATGACCACATTCCTCGATCGATTTAACAGGTGCATCAATGTTCCATTTAGAGTTGCGATTAAAGGCCATGATGCGCGTGTTCGGTAGGTCCTCTGGTAGCAAGTGTTTCAACCACATGCACGTTTTTCCTCCTCCTAAGTCGTAGTTCCAAGTCCATTTTGGGTTCGAGCCCAGGCCATGTACAGCCACAATGCTAATATCGGGGGTTTCAGTGTTTAGCACGAATTTGATATGATAAAAGATTGGAACCTCACACACTCTACGATAATCTCGTTCTCTTCAGAACACCTATAAATCACATCAATACCTGGCTTGGGCTTCTCAGTAGGTTCTATAAAGAACAACAGGAGAATTTGTGCTGGTGACATTGCAATAACTGCCAAGTTCATCAAAATATATACTATAGAAAGTATATACCATGCTTCTGGCACTGTCCATAGGTGGTACTGCAGCAGAGCCAGCCCAATATCGCTGTAATCAATAGTACGGTAACTAGAAATCGAGGCTGCGGGTTTTGCGCGAAAGGCGAAATGAAGCCAGCAACGAGTAGAAGCAGGTAGTTCCAGTAAGATAACATTGGTGGTTTTTTTGGGTGAAGGGGGGTTTGATTTTAGTAAAGTTCCTTTCTGCGATATTTGGATGTCTGTTCAAATGTGAATATAGAGCTAAATTGGAAGAATAAGAGAACTCGAGGGGTTTGGGAAACATTGAGCAACCCGAATATCTTAAGCTCGATCGATGTCGACGTGTACACGTACAAGAGAACACCACAGCAGCTTGTGGTGGTTTAACTGGCGGAGAAATTTTCACGAATTCGCATGAAGACTATTGGACTAATCCAGTTAAGACGGACTTCGGGTGGGGGATAATCGAGAAACACCCTTCGTGCAACCTTCGCGGCGAGGCCACTTACTCTTGCGCCTGAAGTATGTACCTACTCTAGCACTGAACAAGGCGTGATATTACATATGTCTGGTAGAGTACCCTTCGCCAAAAAGAATTGTGACAAACGACCTTGCAGCCAGTTAGATCTAGTCTTTGGATCAATTATTTACCTTTTTGTCCGAACGACTTTAATCCAGCAGCACGACTCGTAGAGTAGGTGTTACAGGTACTTGATGCTCTGAGGTTGCTGGCTTATGCATGTACTTATATATGGCTGGTTCTTGGGGTCTTAACGGTTACTAAATTGTTAATATGTGAAAGATTTGATTTGTTTAGGTAGAACGAAGCCCAACGACCTGTTACAATTCATTACTTAGCTGGGAATGGATTTGGAAGTCTATGTTGAAGAAGTCTTGTATGTATATCTTTACAATGGATGAAATGTTGCATTGCACATTCGCGTATGTATGCACGATATGGCGCATATACTTATATGGCGTAAAGAAGAAAAACTCTAAATACCCGTCAATCTCATCTGGATACTCAAAGTTTAGTTCTCTCGGTCAGTTAACCGCCAGCAGGGCCACCAATACTTAGCAATCACCTGAGAGTAGATGTAGGTATGTATATACGTACTTTGGATGTAGTACAACCGTGAATACCCTTATACACCCCTGTTCATATGCAAGGAACCGCTGACAAAGAGACTAGTACTTAAATGAATCCATTAGGCAATAGGTGACCTGGGAATATTTAATTTATGTTGGATGGGAATAGGTTTTTCAATAGCTACTGTGAGGGCTTATCATCTACACCTCAGGAATGTGTATCCCTTCCATGGATGAAACTTGTCAAATTCGCGACCTGGACCGTGCACCACTTAGTAGGGGAATTGTGTTGCCATTTACGGTTGATAACAACAACAGAACCAATTAAGAATTAGCAAAAGTTACCACACAAGGCTAATGATAGCTGAAAGAGGGAAGTCGTGAATTTGACAAGTTTCATCCGTGGAAGGGATAATAGGTCACATGGGAGTTTTCCCTCGGTGATGAACAAGGATCGGAAGAATTACTCCAGTCCTCTGCGCGCTGTATACCTTTGAAACGAGAGGCCGCTGACGGGTGTAGTGAAAACAGAGTCAAATAGGATGTAGAACAAATATGTATATCATCCCTCCTTAATTTTCCCCGGGAAAATCAATTAGGTACGGTGCATGGGACTCTACTGTTCTGTCTGACATGTGAAAGTGCATGAAAATCCCGTACCATACATGTATCCCCACCCCCATCCAGATTGCAATCGATAATTTCGCGCAGTACCGAGAACCCTTTCACCTAAATTTCCCCGGGATCGAGGCAAGAAGCCGAGCGTTGTGACACGATCGTTGGATCTATGTATGTAGTAGGTAGCATGTATGTACAATATGGTACTGTAGTTACCGTGTCTCCCCTAACCCTTTTTCACCCCTCCACCTCCACAGCATGCACGGGACCCCGCTCTATGAAGAGTAGCGCGTATGCATATTATTTAGCTTGTGGTTTATTTTTGTTTATGTGTTCATCAGATCTATCATATGTGGTCAGTCACGCACGTCAATCTGTCATTCTGTGAGTCCCTTGACACCGTCAGCCTCCCTTCCCCACCTTTTCATCCTCATCCTCATCCTCCTGATCTCATCCATCCTCTCATTCTACCTGATATTCTTGCTTCTTTATCCCATCTCACCTTCCTTACGTTGGTGTTTGTTGCGCAAACAGCTAGTCACCTCCTACTGCTGCCCCTGGGGTTGCTACAGAAGCCAGCCACTACCCCCGGCCCGCCGCCGATATCCGGAGGCGTGGAGACTTAAGGATCTCTCGTCAACGGGGTTTAGTTAGTTTGTGGGGGTGGTTAGTTAGCTATTTGGCTAGTTAGGTTAGGTTAGAGCTGGTTTTTCTTTTTTTTCTTTTCCTTTCCTTCATTTTTTTAAAATTACAAATTAATTTATTGTGTTTTGTCGTGCGTTTTGTGTTTTGTGTTTTGTGTTTTGTGTTTTGTTCTGGCCTGAATTTCTCATCGTCTCATCGTCTCGTCCCGAGGGATAGCTCTCCCGTACATACCTCACCTAATACCTACAATACGGTTTCAAACAACCAACCACATCTACCACCTGCCTTCCTTCCTGCTTATTGCATGCCGCGGAGGTCAATGCATTGATCCCACTCTACTCTTGCCTTCCTGTTCTCATTTCTGCCCTCTCACTCACTCCCGAACAGCCCACCCTCACCACCGCGGACCTGTCCACCACCCACCCCATGGGTAGCACGTACCAGGCCCAAAGATACTCTACATAACGACCATGGCCAGCCCCTCACCTGTACCTCCTCCAGCAGCAGAAGCGCCCCCAAAACTCGCAATACCAACGACCCCACCGCCACCACCACCGCCGCCGTCAACCACGGCAGTAGCATCGCCGTCGAAGCGTCGAAGCTCGTCATCGTCATCACCATCATCGTCCACCACGACAAACACGACCGCAAACAACACAAAGCGACAGCGAAGGAAAGCGCCGGCAGCATCAACATCAGCTGAGGAGATGGAGCCCAGCGCGGAGCGCCCAAGGCTGAGTGAACAAGAGAAGAAGAACAACCATATCGCGTCGGAGCAGAAGAGGCGTATGGCGATTAGGGAGGGGTTTGATCGCTTGACGGAGATCGTGCCTGGGTTGGAGGGACAGGGAAGGAGCGAGAATATCGTGTTGAAGAAGTGTAAGTGTTTTGTTTAGTGGGTTGTGATGTGTGAAGTCGTACTGTGTGCTGATACATAAGCAATAGCCGTCGATCATATGCGTGATGTGTTGAACGAGCGCCAGCAGCTGATAAAGCAAATCCAAGCGCTGGGTAGGGAAGTCCCACCAGAGTTCCAGTGAACTGCGTGCTTGTTGGTATATTGGCCAAACACATGGGGGCTCTCTGCCTTAGATATATGCTTTAACTGGCTCGCGAGCAAACGGAGTTTTTCTTTCTATTTTTTCTAAAAATACTGGGTCGGATTGGATATTGCACTTGAATTGGGGAAGGTGTTTTTTGTTTAAGCTTTCCTTTTTTCTTCTTTCTTTGAATATCACCAACTCTTGTATGTGTACTTTTTATTATTCTTATTCCTACGTACGTCCGCAGTTATGGCTCCAGTTCTGTAACTACCTACTACATAAAATAACTACAACTACTTGACCATACCGGCCCACTTTATTCGATTTCGGTCTTACCAGCAATACTTGAAATATGTGATTAACCACCTAGTACTCCTGATCCCCTTGATCTACCATAGAATTGGGAGAGAAAAAACATGTACATCAATCCTTTCCACGGCGCTCATCTACTATCACATGCAAATGACCATTTCTCGGTTTCACTAGGTTTCACTAGGTTGTTCCTTACCGCTCTGGGCGGCGGGTGGGGGCTTTTTTATTTTTTTTATTTTATTTACCCTTCCCTTCCCAATTCTCTCCCCGCACCCTAACCCTGGGGGCTATCTGTGGTGGTACATACGGGCACGGTGTTTACAGCTGTACAGTCCGATCGGAGTTCCTCCCTCCACCTTCCACTTCCGAGTGCGGGGGTGAGGGTATCCCTGCGGTTTGGATTTGGACCTGGATCTGGATTTGGGTTGGGAGCGCCCGCTTGGGATGGAGGTGGATGTGGATGGCCGTAGATACGGGTACGGGTACGGGAGGGAAGGGAAGGTGTTTTGCAGTGGTGTCTATGGGCGGGGTACGTATTTTAGGGGTTTATGATATTCTAGAACACGGAGAATTGGGGTAGTGGTGGTAAATGGAGTGCGAAACGAGAGGGATGGGATGCGGGAACGTAGGATGGTACGGGATGGTACGGGAGGTGGGTAGGTGTAGGTGGGGTTAAGGTTGCGACGGGTATTAAGGTTTTTGGATGAGGGATGTTGTGCAATTGCTTTTGTGTAATGGTATATGCATGTACTCGTTTACCACGAAAATGTAGTTGCTCAGGGCAAGGATTATTTGTATGGAGTGGCCGTGATCTTTCATACAAACTATCCCTGTTTTCGTCACTTGCATTTTCTGGTTCTTTTCGTGGTAAACGAGTATAGTACCAGGAGAGAAGTTTTGGTAATATACCCTTTTTACAGCCAAAGTAGCCATGTTTAGCTACCCGAAGCAACCACCCAACCTCATCCAAAAAATTTCAAAGTTGGGAATTATCTCAAGACGGAGCACAGAGAATTCTAAAATTTTAAGTCCATTCTTCAGGTGTGTGCGATCTAATTTTAAAGTCATGATTTGAGTGTTTCTGATTTTTATGGTATATATATGTGTGAATGTCTTGTGTAATTGCTTAACTGATGTACATGTTCTGGCTTGGCTAAGAACGACACATGCATGTCGATCGAGGAACGTTCTTGTCCCCAACCCTGCGACGTTAGACAAACCAAACAATACTCTATATGTACCGGGTTTATATTATTCTGATTACCTTTACTCTATAATATCTACTAAACCAGTAACGTCTTTAGTTTTAGTTTGGAATGGCAGGAGAAAATTACTTCATCGTCCACTGATATATTATAATATAGCACTAGCAAGAAAAGAAAAAGAGTAATAATATTCATAATCAATATCGAAACATTGAGATTAAAATACATTATCGATTTATAGAATCGCAGATGAGCTTGTTTCACCGTCTAGCTCCTAATAGTATTGTAAGATACATCTCCCTCGAACTCACAACGTTTGATGCAGGAAGTAAAAAGTTACACACGCCGTCTCTATATCCCTTCGTCTGTTCCCAGTAATCACAACATGTTAGGCCCACGACGGCGTCACGACAGACAAAATTTTAATGAAAAGGAGTATGTATACTCCACTACCTTTTAGAGAAATTTTGCGTGACAAATGGGTCCATCTTACACCGCCAGCCAACACTTGCAGTTAGCTTCTACAATTTGTATAGTGAGCTACTATATGTAATCACCACATGTCGTGAAAACGTACGAAGGGATCTAGCTAAAAAAAAAAAAAGAAAGAAAAAAAAGTAATATTGATATTGTGCGAAAGGGCTTTGGGAACCTTGTCATCCTTATTCACACCAGTTCAGTATTGTAGTATCATGTCGCAGGTTCGCGCCAGGGATTCCTTGCTAATAAAGGGTTCATACATACATGTATCCCTTGGACGGATGAAAGTTGTCAAATTCGCGACCTGGACCGTGCACCACTTAGTAAAGGAATTGTCTTGCTTTTTACGGTAAATAGCAACAACAGAGCCAATAAGAATTTCCAACAATTACCATACTAGGCTAGTGATAGCTGAAAGAGGGAGGTCGCGAATTTGACAACTTTGATCCGTCTAAGGAATAATTAGGTGAGTAAGGTCAATACTTGTAGAGTTCATGTAATATCACTCGGCCTTGGCATCTTGGCAAAACAAACAATAGTTCTATCATATCCCCCCGGCCCCGCTCGTCAGAGCAAAAAGGGAGATATATTAGGCCCGCGACGGCGTGGTGATATTCAGAAAATCTAGCTACCTACAGACTGTGAAGACACCAGAATAAGTGTAGGAGGGGTCACAGAAGATGACTTCACAGCAAAAGAGGTCCACGGAGTGAGGGTTAGGTGTACTACCAAGTAAAAATTGCCTACTAGCTCCCGGTCATGAAAACGCACGAAGGGATGGAATTCCGACATTTATAGGGAGTGATATGGGCCATGGGTTAAATCAGTGCCTCATTCGCCGGTAGACATTGTTATTTTTGACAATATGTACTTCGTTGTTTCTTTGCTTTCATTATTATTTGTCCATACTAAACGTGTCATTGTCACGTCAGTATGAGTGTCTTTTTTGTGAGTGTCTTTTCAGACAGCGGAACACGTATGGTTGTTTTACAGCCTATTTCTACTATAAATAGTAGACTTAATCCTCTTAGGATTCGATAGATCAATACAATAAGAATCATCGCCTTACCTCCTCCTCTTTCTCGAACCAAATCGACGTAACTCCACCAGTCTCTATGTTTATGCTCAGAATTTATTGGTAATATTTAATTTCTTTAGGGTTAAATTCGAAATCTATTTTTGGGTAAGTTTACGTATATGTGCACCAGCCCGGATTCTTGGAACGTTACGGACTTGATCTAGGGTATATATGTATCTGTTAACGTTCATGGACTGAAGCACTTGATTCGAACAACTGGTACTAGGTGCTTCCCAAAGTGATAGTGTATTTTCGAAATATATACATGTAGGTAGACATTGGTACTTGGTATAGAAAGTCATGACAGATGCTACTAAGAAATCAGAAGAAACGAGAACCAGAAACCAGAACAAGAAACTGAAACAATAAACCAGCATAAGTAACCAAAGTAAGAAACCGGAACGGGAATCAGAACAAGATGTAGCTAAAACAAAAATGATGACATACTATGAAATGCATACATTACTTTTTAGAAAACTATTATCGTATGTTCTGCCGGGTACGTACGCACCCACGTGCAGAGATTAACTTTCGCTTGCTTACTCTGTCATGTGCCCACCAGCCAATTTCTTTCGAGTTTCTTTAGTCTAGTAGATCGTGTCCTTTGTGACACGGTGCTCATCCCCGAGGGCTTTCTTCCTCCCAGCTAGCGCCCGCTCAAACCACTCTAGGGCCTCATCATACCGGCCCTGCTGACTATAGGTACTTGCAATGTTATTGACCGTGTTCAGCGTATCAGGATGCTCTTCCCCGAGAGCTTTCTTTCTCCCAGCCAGCGCCCGCTCATACCACTCCAGGGCCTTATTGTACCGTCCCTTGTTTAAATAGACACCTGAAATATTATTGACCGTACCCAGCGTATCAGGGTGCTCTTCCCCGAGGGCGTTCTTCCTCCCAGCTAGCGCCCGCTCATGCCACTCCAGGGCCTCATCATACCGCCCCTGAAAATAATAGATATTTGCAATGTCATTAACCGTTTGCATCGTCGAAGGGTGCTCTTTCCCGAGGGCTTGCTTCCTCCCCACCAGCGCCTGCTCATACAACTCCAGTGCCTCCGTGTAGTGCCCTTGCTCCTTATATAAAGTTGCAACGCGAGAAATTGTGTTCAGCTCTTCAGTTCCAGTATCACTGCTCCATTGAGTGCCATTGAACAGCTTCTTGCTAATATCTAGAATAAACCCACCCATCATGTTGACATCGACCTGTGGATTTGAGGCTTTACATATTTCTGCCCAATCTCTAAGTTTGTATTGCATTACAAGAAGATGGCCGTCAGTGATATCGTAATAGTCACACCGCTCAATCCACCGCCAGGCTTGCTTTGAGGAGAAGAATCGTCCTATCTCGTCTAACAAATCATCATCGTTGGGCTTGCTATGCGTGACATGGTATATCCAATTGCTAGTTGCATATTTTAAGAATGAGTAGATGGTGAAATCAAAGGATGGGCTATAGTGGCTTTTCTCGAAGCAGGTAAACTGGTTGTAGAGGAGGCATGTTTCGGCTAGGTCTTTGTGGATCTGCATTTGATCGATATTTTGAGGGGGGTTCGTAGAGTTGTGTGGACTTAATGTATTGATGTCTCCACTCAAGAGGTATTGTCTTAAAGATGTATGTACAAGTTGAACGCTAGTATCTCCGAGAATAACGATTAATGAACCGCAAGCCTTTTGGAGACGCTTCATCGACTCCTCTTTGAACTCCGGGCTATAATCCTCATGAGATCTGAGGCCCGCCGCTACAGCTAAGGCCTGGAGAAGTTCATCTAATAGGAATGGTCGAGGTGCTATAGTAATCCAATATAACGCTATTTGGAATCGATCCAATGGTTTCGCTCTGGGAGAGGCGGGGGACATCCGACGCTTGAGCATGAGCTCGTACACGCCTGGCAGTTTATCCGGCATTTTGTCCAGAAGGTTGTCAACGTCCCAGGGCTCAGCTTCGGAAAGTTCATCTAGCATCAGTTTTGCCCAAAGAATCATTCCTCCAGCTCCTTGCGAAATTCTCGAGCGGACCTTTGCACGGCGGCGATCATCTCGAAGAATTACTGATTCGTCAATTCGTTTCGATATAAAAGCATCAATGTCGCTCTTTACGTTATCCTCTGCAACCAAAAACCAAGACCAATGCTCTTTTATCCTGCTTTCTGTCATATGTGATTCGTTCGAACGTGAAGCTGCAAATATTTTCAGGACTGCAGGCTCTGATTTTGAGCGTTCTGTGAGTTGTGTAAGGAATCTCGCCATCTGCTCGTTTTTGTTGTTGCACTCATCAAGTGCATCGATAACGCAATAGACAGGCGGAAGCATATCAAGAATTTCCTTTAATAAAACACAGAGATCAACGCTAGAATCTGCAGATGGTGTGCCACTTCTCTCGAAGACTTTATGAACGACAGGGATAAGTTGAGGTTTGTGCACTGGGTGGTTAAGAAGTTGAAAAATAAACGTTCGTAATATTGACAATGGGTTATCTCTGTCGGCATCATTTTCTTTGCAAAAAAGTAGATTATCGATTCCTCTGGGAGGACTTGACTTTTTAAACGATTAATGACGACTGAGGATAACATGGATTTGCCGGAGCCTGGAATTCCCTCTACACAGATTCGGCTAGAATGTTTTGACCCAGACCACGCACGGAACTCTGGAGTTTCGAAGAACCAGTCGCACGTCTTTTGAAGATGCTTTTCCTGGTTCCTCTCTTGCCGAAGTTTCGGATTAGTACAGAAGAGCCATTTGGTAACGGCTGAGAATTGTTCCTCTGATTGAGGAAGGTCAGCTGGGTTTGACTTTGTAATTTAATGTAGAGTACGCCGTAAAGCCTTGATGTAACTAATGTTCACTTATCCAGGAAAAAGAAAGCCCAACGTACTATTATAGTAATCCCTGGCTTCAATAATTCCACCCAAGTTTGCTGTCGGATCGATTGCCTCAACATGGCGCTTCATACTGGACAATATCTCTTCAAAATCCGAGTCAAAAGTCTTCACTGCTCTCCTAAACACATACTCTTAAAGTTTTAGTACGAAGCAATCCTCCTACACGCTTTAAAAGGCCTACTTATGACACTGGTACGGAAGTGTTTTGTCACCACAAGCGTTAGATCAATTACATCAACATAGAAGAGTGTTAATGCATCGTGCACCAGATCCAGCGCCTCGCAGGTAGAGGATTGAAAATGTTTCTCATAGGCAGCGAACCGCTTCAGTTGGCCTAGCGTGTCTTGGAGGAATCCCGATATCTTCTCGAACTCTGCTGCAGCGGACATCAAGACCTAACGTACTATTAACTTTCATTCTTTTCATGAGAAAAAAAAAAGAACAAATTACCTGAAGAATAAGCTTTATCGGCGCCCAAATAGGGCCTCCAAGGCCCGAGCTTGCATGGACAACCGCCTCAATAGTCGTTTGAAACTGTGCGAATGGCTTTAAAAAGGTTTGGTTGAAGTTGATCATTCTCTTCACCCCACGTTGCGAATCTTCGAGTTTCTTTAACAATCCGAGAACTTCAGAAGGATTGACAGTTGCTCTGAAAAGAGCTTTCTCTTCCGGGGTCAAATAGTCGAATATCTTTTGTTGTGCGGGTGAAAGTTGGGAAAGCCGTTCGAGAGCCTTGTTCCATGCCGTTTGGTAACTAATACTGCTTATTAATGTGTGATAATATATAAGGAGCTCGATTGGAGTTATGTCAACATACCTAACGCCCGAAGAATTTCTGTTAGACATATCTATGAGAGGGAAGGCTTTGCGGACCCCAACCGATTAAAAGAGGGGTATCGTGTGGCTGATATATACCAGCTGTAGAAGCCTGGCCTGGTTTGGTTCATCGTAGAGGCTGATATTATGCGTATCGACGTATCAATCGCACATCATGCATCGCGCGCGCGTAGCGCAGCCAATGGGGTGCACACATGTATGTGCTTGCATCCACATCTCTCAGAATTACTAATGTAGTGCCATGAATTCCAAAACAATATTAGGAGGTAGTGAAGAGCCCAGTTGGAATACCTTACTTCAGGACTTGTGGGCACAACCTTAGGTGTACATACAGGCTGTTAAATGTGCATGGTATGGTCTCATGCCAAAATGAAGGTAAATACCAAAGCTCTGAGATGTTTTGAGACGGATCCGTACGAAAGTGGTATAGCAATACCTCAATATGTTGTGCGCGCCTGGTATTGAATCAGGGTCAGGGCTATTGTCTTTGCCGCCACAACGCCTCGCTTTAATTTGTTTTGATAGACATACATAATTGCAGTCCCAGGATCGCACAACAGTGGCTTAGGTGCTCGACGAACGTAAGCCTTTCAAGTTTCAAGAGAGGACAGAAGTGACCAAGTATAATTGTTCCTCTGGAGTGTTTTCTGTAGAATGAAGAGTTGTAACACAGATATGTATGTTACTGAAGTAGGAGACTGCTTCAAACGATTATAAGCACGCGGGTCGTGTTCTGTGAGTAGTTTCCATATCTTTAGTAATATCAATAGGTACTATAAATATATTTGGCGAGTCATCCACACACAAGCTCCAAAAGAACATATGCATATATATGTGTGTCGTTCTCGGAAAAGCGTCCGCACAGCCAAATCCTTATTCCGAAGAACCACACTACCGATAAACTCCAAATTTTCATAAAGCTCAAAGGACCTTGGTGAGAGCCCAAAATTAATTTTTCGGCCATCGGTTCCATAAATTGGAGCCTGTAGAGTGCGGTAGCGAACTGGTGAGGCCTTGTTGCGTTGCCACACAGGTACCTTTTCCTGGAACGACACCCATACGATATTATATCCACAGTCCACTGCCGGCAGGAAGAGTTTTGTCGTTATCTCCACGATAGATTATATGAGATGTGCTCAAGCTACCTCTACAGAGGTCTGTATAAAAGGATTGTCAGTCGGTACAACCATTACATATGAACGTTGTTTATAGATATTATACCATAATAAGTAGATATCGATGTACCGATATTTCTGGGTTATACGCCCATGGGCTTAAAGCAAAGTGGTGGGAGGAAAGTCAAGGAAAACTGGTCTTGTATGCATATTCTCGTGACTTAAGCCAATCAGCAAGCATTTTTCTACCAGTACTTTGCTTTAATCCCATGGGCGTATAACTCAGAAATATCAGTACCTTATATATATTAATATTGATATTAAAGGTTTAGTCATCGGATATAATATGGTATATCCTGAATTGGAAGCTATTTACCCTGATAGCAAGCGGAGTGAGCCGTTAACTACATGTATGTAAGTCGCTCTTCAACCAAACCGTTAGGATATCTGCGAGTGGCCAGCTGTTCACTAAGGTATCTTACCGACACTGCCAGTTAGTAGATATCCCGAAGGCCAATTGCAATCGATTGCAGTGAAAGACTGCTCACTATTTAAACTTCATGGGACATCTATTTGGAATAGTACCAAATACAGGGAACCGCCAGCGTCTGTGTACGTCCTTCTATCCAATTGAAAACGTGCATACCAGAGTATCGATCGCTCGCCGGATCCTGGTCCAGTGAGTCATTTGGCGCACAGACATGCGTACCTAGAAAAGCCAATTGCAGACTACGTGAGTGTACAGCGAGAGCCTCCCATATTTCTACCGTAAGCTGTAATAAGTTGTTGAGGTATCCATTGAAGTCTCGGTTTGAGGCCATGCGCCGTTTCACGTGTCGTGCCCAGCCTCTCGGAGCAAACATCTTCCGTAGAGACCACCTCGACTCAAATTTTCGTAATTGTTGACACAGCACTGCCAATCGTGCTGGGACACCATGTCATCATTACTAGAGACAGCTTATGAGCAAAAGTCTCAAGCCCCTCTCCGAGATCTGGGCAGCTAGCTGGCTGGGGCATCGGCAAGGGCACGATCTAGACCTCCGTTTCCCGTGCACGTGCTTGGCTCAGGTTTAGGGTTCTCGTCTGCATGGGCCATCACTCGGGTGTCACGGGCCATGCCGCTCCCCAAACGGCATAGCGGGGGGCGGGGAATTCTCCTGCCGAATATGCTAGTTGCCGATCAGCCGGCACCTTATGCAGGGGCATGAGGTAATTCTCCCTCTCTCTCTCTCTCTCCCGCACACACTTGACGGGCCAACGTCTCGCCCGAGAGTATCCCGATTTCCAGATGAAGCCATCATTGATTCAAGGGTAGGAATCAACTCGGCCGGAAGGTTTCTATTCGCACGAGGCATCAATGGGGATAAATACATCGTGCTCTGTGTTGGCTCTCTTCTCAACATCATCACAGATATCAATATTTCAGTCTATCAACCTCTAACTCGACACAACTTGCAATCAACATGGTTACTTCTGAATCAGAACACCGCCCATTGAACGTTCTCATATCCGGAGCGGGCATTGGTGGTCTTGCAGCCGCAGCAGCATTGAGGCAGGCTGGGCATCTCGTACAGGTAAGAGAAATAGAGTACTTTCAGATCAATTTATATTGAACCTAACCACCGCCACAATCGCAGGTATTCGAGCGTTCAAGCTTCAAGAACGAGTACGGGGCTGCCGTCAGCATCTCTCCCAATGCCAATGGCATTCTGCGTGAGCTCGGATTGGCCCTTGAAGATGTCGGCGGCGTGAACGCCGCAAAGGTCTAGTCCTCCACTTGAACCCCCACGTTTACCACCTACCTGTACAAAATTAATGCTGACGTCCGATACATTATCAAGGTCAATGAATACGGTGCCGATGGCGCACTCTACCGCACCACCGATACAGCAGGGTTCGCACAGCGATACAAATATGTTCGTAATACCCACTACCCACCCCTCTCCCATAATTTTACCACCCCCACTCACATCCCCGCCAGCCCTGGCAATACATCCACCGCGTCGATCTCCACAGCGGCCTCAAAGACATCGTCACCTCCCCACCGGCACCGGCACCCCCGTCACCATCCACCTCGGCCACCGCGTCTCCTCCGTCGACAACGACACCGCTACCCTCACCCTCGAGAACGGCGAGCGCATCCACGGCGACCTCGTCATCGCCGCGGACGGCGTCAACGTAACCCCCACCCCTCTCTATCCCCTATCTTCACCAGCTAACACCCCCCCCCCCCCTTTACAGTCCGTCCTCCGCAACAACGTAGACCACAGCGGTATCCACCCCTCCCCCTTCGGCCTCTCTACCTACCGCTTCCTCATCCCCGCCGACGTCCTCTACGCCGACCCTCAAACCCGCCGCTTCATCGAAACTGGCGAGTTCGAGCTCTGGAGCGGCGGCAATAACAAACTAGTCCTCTACCCGTGCCGCAGCGGCACCGTGCTCAACTGCGCCTTCCTCATCACCGACGAAAACCCGCACGAAAACAAGAAAGGCACCACCCCCTCTCTCCCTCTCTCTCTCCCTCCCCCCCCCCCCCCCTCCCTTCAACAACCACGCAGCTAACACAACACCAGAAATGACCGGCGAAACCATGAAGCAGATAGTCCTTGACATCGTCAAAGACTGGCACCCAGACATCACCACCCTCATCCACAAAGTCGACCCTTCCGCCATGGGCTACTGGCCACTCTACGACATGCCTACCCTGCACACCTGGACCAGCGGTCGTACCGCCCTCCTCGGCGACGCCGCCCACCCCTTCCTCCCCTGTACGCCTCCCCCCCACCCCAATCCCATCCCTTATCCACCCGCTAACCCCCCACAGTCCAAGGCCAAGGCGCCGCCCAAGCAATCGAAGATGCCATCGCGCTCGCTACCCTCCTGCCACTGCCGCAGACCACCCCCACCGACGTCCCCGAGCGCCTACGGCTGTACCAGCAGGCGCGCTTCGAGCGCGTGCGGCTGATACAGCAGCACTCGCGCGACGTCGGCAAGGAGGACCAGGAGGTGACGAGGGTGAATAACGGAAGTAAGTAACTACTCTTTGCACCCCCCCCCCCAAAAAAAAAAAAAAACCAGTTATTTAGCTGTGGATGGCAAGAGTTCTGACGAGGGGCAGCAGCGGCGTTCCTGTATTTGGACTACAATTTTGCGCATGATGCGCGGGCCCATGCAGCGGGGCTGCTGGCGGCGAATGCGGGTGCACAGATGCAGAGCGTTTGTTAAGCTGGTGGGGTATATATGAAGTTTTGAATTGTTTTTTGTAGCTAGTTGGTTGTCAGTCAGTCAGTACTTTGTCAGGACGGGTCAGGACAGGCGTTTTGTAGCATATCCCCGCTCATTATTGGATACTCTCCTTGAAGGATCAAATACCATCTCAATCACCCCCCCGTACCCAATCCGTACCCAATTAAACCAAGAAAAAGAGGGGAAAAAACCCACAGCCCATGGCCACCCCCACCCACCTACTCCTCCCCCAAAAGGCATCATGAAAGGAGGGGGATTCGAACCCCCGCGGGCTAGGCCCATGAGAAACCTCGCTTTTCCAAAGCAAGAAAGTATTAGAAACACTTGAGTCACACACCTTAACCACTCGGTCATCCTTCCGCTCTATGCCTGCACTTAAAAGCCCTTTCTCAAACAAGGCCTAGTGTGGCGGAGTGGGGCTAACTGTAAATGATCTGGGTGATACACCTCGATACAAGAAACGCCAAGGCGGCGGCGGATCTTGTTTCTTATAGCAAAATTTCCGCCAACATTTCTTATAGCAGGTGAGATTTTGGTGTAGAGCTGTTAGCGTGTACCCTATGCGCTGTTTCTTACAGCAAGACTTTCTTATAGCGAGGTGTAGCTGTATTCCCTTGTCTAATACACACACACACACACACACACACACACACACACACACACACACATGGGCAAGACCTACTGTATGTACCCACACGCTGGCCGAACCTTGCTATGTGTCGTGGGGATGGAATATAGAGAAAGGCACATTTCCGCCATCAAAACACGTGTTCCGCCCGCTCCCTAGCTCAGATCAGAACGCTGGAAGTTTGAAAGGGTTTGAAGTTTCGAGAGGGTGGGGTTATGATGGGCCTCTCCGTAACCATGTCTTTATAGAAGTCATCTGCACATCTGTAGAGCAGTAGGATCTTTACTTGCATCTTTTTTCTTTCCACGGGAATGGGTGTAGGGTTGGGGTTAGGGTTAGGGATGGCTTATCATATATGTGTGGACCGGACGGACCTCAGTAGGAAGGTGGGGGGTCGTGATCTTTGTGTAGTAGGGTGGGTCGGGAGATGGTAGGATGGGGAAGTAGGCAGGTACGGAATCCCGTCTCAAGATGAGGAAGGCTGTGTGTTAATTCACCCTCGGGGGTTTTTCCAGGTATGTAGGTGGGTATATACAACACCACCCGGAATGTGCCCTTCTTACCTTTGACAACTCACGCATGTAGGTAGGCACGTGGATCTGGATCTAGGGTAAGCTCTATCGACAAGTATGTATATTACAAAACCAGCCACCTCTTGGGTGCCCGGGGGGTGTTGGGTTTAGTAGGTGGTTATACACGATCACCTCTCCTCCTCCTTCCTCCCTTCCACCCCATCCTCCAAACTCCCCTCCTCCCTCCTCAAACTCTCCAAAATCCCCCCCACCACCTCCCTCCCCCCAAACCCGCCCCCGACCCCACCCCCGCCCGCCGCGCCCCTCACCCCCTCCATCGCAACCCGCTCCTCCAGCTCCGCAAAGCCCGCAAACCCACCCGTGTACCGCAGCATCAGACGCGAGCGCATAGCGCGCGCCTTCATGCCGGGCTCGACGCCCTCGTCGCGCACGGTGCTGAGGTCCTCGCCGGGGCCGACCTTGCGCCCCCACGTTGCGGGCGCGTAGAAGTGCGGGCTGTTGTTGTGGATGTACTGCGCGTGGTTGAAGAGTGTTGCGGAGGGGGTTACGGTGATGGCGCCGGTGCCGGTGGGCAGCGGGACGGGGAGCGGAGAGGAGGCGAGGAGGCGCTCCACCGAGGTGGGGGAGCGGAAGATGATGTGGGCGCGGGGTTTGAACTCTTTGGTGGTTTCTTCGAACTGCCCGGGGGGAGGGAGTGGTTAGGTTGGTTGATTGTGACGTGCGGGAGCTGGGCTAGGTGGCGGTAACAGGGGCGGTAACAGGAGCAAGGGCGGGGGCGGGGGGCGGGGGGCGGGGACGGGAACACCTACCCGGAGCGTCTTAAACATCTGTATCTCGCCGAAGCGGGAGAGCTCGCGGAAGATTGCGCGCGACTCGCGGATGTTTTTGGGCGGCGGGGAGAGGTAGAGCTGCAGCTGGGCGAGTGCCGGCGCTGCTGCTGCTGCTGATGCTTTGGGGGTTGCTGCTGCTGCTGCTGCCATTGTCAATGCTGTTGGTTTGGTCTTTGGTCTAGATGGCTGGCTGGATCGAGCGAGGGACGGAGGTGAGGTTGGGTTGGGTGGCATGAAATTTCAAGATGTGGGTGGGGTTAGGGTTGGGTGGTGTCTTGGCGGTGGTTGTGCTAGCGGTGTCATGGGGGATCACTCGGCCATGATCTGTGGGCATGGTACTTAAGGTCTAGGCAGAACCTCTTGGGAGCCTTATATCGTTGCTACACAACAATGCGCGCACGACGACGAGTGAGTCACCAACCGTCACTCGAGCGCCAAGCGCCGCCCCGAAAACTACTACATGTACTTGCAGCTAGTAATAACACGCCTCTCCCCCCCCCCCCCAACCCCCACATCCAGCCAGCACCATCTCTTTGTTTCCAACATTCCGGCCCCAATCCCGTGACACAACCCACAAACGAACCTCTGTTCTCTGATCTTAGCCCCTCGCCGCGCTTCTTTGTCTTTGTTTGACACAACGCAACGCAACGCCTGTTGGGTTGAAACAGGCTAGCTGGGCTTTTCTGTCCTGCGATGTTCACCCCGGGAGTATATCGCCGGCGGTATCAAACCACCCGGCCCACCACAACAGCACACGCCCAGTTCGGGACCTCCAGGGCCAGGGCCAGGGCAGCGTGGATAGAAGTAGCTGCGCGCCCGGGGTCTTGCGCTGGGGGGCCTGGTTTGGGTTTGTACTAGTACATGTAGATGATGTAGACAGACAGATAGAAATGGACTTGGCCCTTATACGGGTCGAGTCTGTCTCAAAGACACCCACATTGAGCGCGCGGCGAGAATAAAGACCCCGGGTGTCAGCCCGTGTCTCGGAGCGGAGCGGGATGAAGGCATCAAGTATTGGCCGTTCAGGATTTCATCCGATGGCATAGTGTTAAACAGAGGTCTGCTACAACGAGAACCGATTCTATCGCTTTCAAGAGACTTTTCACTATTGACAATTTCCCAGTTGGCTAGCTAGCCAGGTTTGGCTGACTGGGTGCTATGATTGAATGTCGGGCGCCAGCAACCATTCCTTTGTGCGTTTCATTGAGCATTCTATTCTATTTGAGATGCGTGGTCCACGCAATATAAGAACAGGACGTCTGTCCACCAAACTAATAACCTTTCTCAAAAGTCCTCCCATAACAATACACATCTCTCACCACCACCATCAACTGCATCTCCACATCTATCTCAAACCCCCAACAGCATTACTAACAATGCATACTACTCTCCACCTCCTACTAACCGCCGCTCTCCTAGCTGCCCCAACCCTCGCCCACATCTCCATGATCAAGCCCCTCCCCATAAAACACAAACTAAACCCCAACACCGCCAGTGGCGGCGCCGACTACAGCTACAGCGCCCCCCTGCTAAAAGACGGCAGCGACTACCCCTGCAAGAACTACCACAAGCTGCTCTCCACCCCCGAAGGCACCCCCGTCGAGACCTGGCCCGCCGGCACCGTCCAAACCATGGGCATCGGCGACGCCACCGGCGCCAACCACAACGGCGGCTCCTGCCAAATCGCCCTCTCCGACGACGCCGGCGCAACCTTCAAAGTGATCAAGAGCTTCATCGGCGCCTGCCCCATGAGCACGCGCCAGACGCTCGAAGTCGAGATCCCAAAGGAGGCAAAGAGCGGGGAAACCATCTTCGCCTGGACATGGTTCAACAAGACGGGCCAGCGCGAGATGTACATGAACTGCGCCGCGGTGACCATCACGGGCGGCGGCAGCGGCCTCACGAGCAGCGCCGAGTGGCCGCCCCTCTTCACGGCAAACATCGGCGGCACATGCACCACCACAGAGCGCATCGACACCGTCTTCCCCAACCCCGGGAAGAACGTCGTCACGGCCCAAGGAAACGTCAATCCCGGCCCCCCCGTCGGTGAATGCGGCGCCGCGGGCGTCGCGTCTCTGGCGTCTGCCGTGGCAGCCCCATCACCGACTGAGTCGCCCGCTGCGGCGGCCCCGCTGCCAGGTGGTGAGGCTGCGGCGTGCTCATGCGTGTGTGGCGGGCCCAGCGGATACATGGTCAATATTGTACCCGCCGCGGCTGGCGTCTCGGAGGGCGTAATGGCGGCGCGTACGGTGCCGCCGGAGAATGTGGACACGAGCGGTGGGGAGGGCTTCTTCAATGAGCAGGAGAAGACGGGGCCGACGTGTGGTGCGAAGCGCCGTGACCATATGCGCCGTCATGCGAAGAGTAGGAGGTCAGCTACTGCTACTGAAAGGGAGTAAGGGAGGGGCGCCTTTTTGTGTTTTTCGTTTTGTTTTTGTTTTTGTTTTTGCTTTCGTTATTTCTTTATATGGCTGGCTGGACCAGTAGGGTTATTTACCGTCTGTGCCGGCGCGGCGTGGTGTGGTGTTTCTGGACTTTAACTTTAGCTCAATCCTAGTACTTTTCTTCTTTTTTCCTTACTTCAGCTCTTGATCTCGATTTTTTAGGGCCGCACGGGAGGTCCAGTGTAAATTTACATTGTATATTTCCCATATCTTCGCACTCTCATAGTAGTACTACTCTGTACGTACATGCATATACGTAGCTAGCCAGTATTTGTGTTGAATAACGTAAGGGGCCTTGTGTCCGTTTCTTTTGCGTTGTTGTGTGATGGTGGAATATGAGAAGTTGCAGGGTAGGTTGCGTGCGAGTGATAGTCTGTGCAGTGACACAATCGAGTGATATCCCATGAAGCACTGTTACCTATTTTTTTCTTTTCCCTCTTTTGTTTAGTATAACCCATTAATTGTATGCAGCCTTGAAGCTATGAGAATACCGTATCATATACCGATAAGCAGCGTCAAAACGGTCAAGACATACCAAGCTCTAGTACATACATACTGGCGGCAATACATAACAACCACGACACGTAACGCAGCTGTTTCACCAGTACAACGACGTCCGATATATAAATTTAAATACCGCTACAGCTAACGATGGGCCCGGATCTAAATACTATACCACTAGCCGTTTGATAGCTGCTAGCAACGTTACCTATATCCAGCGCAGGTTGCATCTGGCGTGTCCCAGCTATTCTGGGTAAGGAAGTGTAAGAGGGCTTCCTATTCATTTCTCGTAGTCGTAGGAGGTGGGATTGCGTGTGATGTGGAGCCCCGGAGATTTGCGGATCGAAGCTATTACGAGGTGTGTACTCCTATAGCTACTGTTTTAAGAGGTGATATTTGTGAAGCAAAGTAAAGAACCGGGGGCGTAGAAAATGTATAAACTGCACTGATGAGTGGAAGCGAAGGAGGGAGAGCGAAAGCTCTCACATTATAGTTACAGTTTAGAGGCCAAAATACCTCTAATGCAAAGTCGAGATAGGAACAACGTCTAAACTACATAATGAAATGTTTAACAATGCAGTTGTTAACAACATTCCTCACCGCAATAGCTGACTACAACTAAGACTTACTGGGTCACTCAGAAGCTTGGACGTGGCGGCAAGGTTTATATAGCTACAGCGAGTGATTTATTGTGACTAGCTGTATGTGCAGATTCTTGGTTTGATGATTCGGATTCGGGGAGATTATTAGATGATTAGATGATTACTACTTGTAATTTCAAAGGTGATTATTTATGGATACGCAGACGAGGGCACGAAAATATAGAAAGCTCAAAGAATAATGGGAGAAGGTTTCGAATTTATAGCGTACCCGGTCCGCTATTTGTTTCTAACGCTCACACCGAAAAACCCCACACCAACACGGTCCAGCGCGCCAGCGGTTATAGCAAAAGTAGCACTGCTTCATCTCATCTTACACGCCATGCATCCTCTTCCTCGTCCACTTTATAAATCATTCCGTTGACCTCACTCCATCTTGTGTAGCGTCCCCTTTGGAAGATCGACACTTTACACAACCGTATTTCTTCCATGAACGCAGCTGACGCCTGCTCTACACCGTCCTCTGGATGTCTCTCTGTAAAGACCTCGAGAATTCTAACCTCTTTCCACCTCCATATGACTGCCACGAGAGCTATCGTCACAAGAAAGCTTATTCCGGTGTAAATCCCCAGGCCGTTTTTGATTCCAATCCCCTCATGGATAAATCTACTCCATCCAACCGCTCCAGCTATAGAGATGAGCGATACAAACTGCAAGATGCCAAATGCAGATGTGATTGCTGGATGGCATGTGGTAAAATCGTCGTTGGGACCCACAAGGCTTGTTGGTCTTTGGGTGCCATGTGGACGTCCTCCTTTACTACCGCCGCGGGAAGTCGAGCCAGAGTTACTGGAGAGAAGTGGCTCGGGGAGGTTTGAAATGTCAAAATTGTCCATGATTATCAAGTGGCATTCTGCGATGACAAGGGTTCCAGAAAATATGACCAAACCGGCAAAGAAAACAGGAATAAAGAAATGTGTTGAAGGGCCTGTGGCTGATATTGTAAAGGCCAAGCTCGAAACAGGTAATAGAAGGATACCAATTAAGAAGACGGTACGGTAGGGGTGTTGACCCTCATGGTAATGATGCTGGCTTGAGTTTGCACGGTGGTGAACACGGTGTCGAAAGTTTCGCAAATAGAAACTAGAAAGTTGGACAGGGGCAGATAGAAGAGCACCAGCAGACAATGCAAGTAAGGCAAGCCCAGTGTCAACCAAGGTGAACTTATAACGTGTCGAGATCAACGTTCCTAATAGCTAGAGTAAGAAGACAGTTATTAGCATAGAGCATATAGCAAGCTTAACCAGAAGCAACTAACGTTAAAAACCATCGCGATCTCTCCGGCAATCCATCCAATATAGACAGTCATCACGAAAAAGCCCAATTGGCCAAGCATCCTGAAGCTCAGGACCACGCCTGCCCAAACTTCTTCCCACCACCAGTAAGGTGAACTTCCAAAGACTACCATTTTGATTTCTCCACGGTCCACGCGTTGGAGTTCATCCTTGCCTCTCCAACCGGTTCGCCTTTGAGAAATCAACCTCTGCTTCTTCCATGGCGGTCTAACCTCTGGTACCAACCAAACAAGGAATACTACCACTGTAGCTATAGCAGCGACAGCCCAGGGTCCCCACGCCAATGCAGATCTTGATACAATTAATTGGCCTGCAAAATGTCCCACTCCCCCAAAAGCAAAGAATAGCCAGGCCCAAACCCCTAACCAAACCCCCGTTCGGGCGCCAGCCTCTCCGCCCGGTACCAGACAAAATTGGTCCTGTCCCTCAACTGGTGTATGGCTATTGAAAACTACACCTCCTCTACAACAGGCACCAGTGTCCGGCCCAAATAAATCAATAATAGTTGCAAGTGCGTTCATGCTCGCAAATCCCAGAACAAACCCGGATATCGCCCGGAAAACCAAAATCAAGACAATGAATGGCACCATGGAACGTTCCGGATGTTGAACTGTATGAGGGGGTAAAGAGAGTGCCTGTGGGATCTGTAAAGGTATCGTCAACGCGATAGAAAGAAGCAAATACGGCTTCCTACCATGCAGAAGTGATAGCGGCCAGAATAACAAACTTGGTATCGCCACGCCGATGATGAAAAGGATGTTACCCAAAGAGATAACCGCGGTAGTAGCCCTCAGGTGTTCCTTAATAACTTCATCCTCCCCATCATAACAACCAATTATAAAACCAATCAACACAACGATTACACAAGAAACTCCGGCACAGAGTCGTTTTCGTCCAAGGCTCCAATCCCAACCTGGTTCTTGCCTTATGTTTACTGGAAATCTTCCGCTGTAGATATCATTAAGCTGAGCCTGACGAGCTGAAATGTTCAAGTCCCTGGCGAGCAATTGCTCATCTTTATCCGCCCCAGACCCCCGCTGAAATTTAGCACTTCGAGCGCTACTCATAGTAAAATTTCCGCTGGGTCTAGGTATCCTGGATCTTTCCTCACCGCTTCTCACTTTGTCCTGCTGTGACCTTTTCTTCTTTGCAGTGGTGTTTTCTGTGGACAATGATCTCATCCTTCTTTGTGTATTTTGGCTTCCACCCATTAGATTGTTAATTTTTATCACATCGGAGGCCTCCAACGAGTTACGTCCGTTTAATTTGTGGCGTGTTCGAATGGCTGCGGTTCGGCTTCCTTGCTGCTTGGCTCCTGTATTAACCTTCTCATCTTTCGCGGTATTGGATGATTCTGCGTTGCCCTTCATGCTATCAGTCTCACTTAGAACACTTTCACGTAAACTGCGTATACTACGGATACTAGCATCTCTCTGTTCAAGCGCTGTATGAGAGTCTATCACGGCCCTACCGGCCAATTCTAAGGCTTGGTTTAACATATCTTCTAGGTCAATGATAATTCTAGTGAATGAACCAGTTGACATTGGAAGAATGGTTTGCTCTACGGAAGCCTCTTTTTGTCCTTTTGAGGTGGAGTTATACCGGGATTGAGAACTTGGTTTACCACGGTGAGCTTCTGATTTATCAGGAACAGGCCCGGATAGAACATACTCCTCATGTAAAGTTCTGGGGATATATTTTTGGACTGATGTGTTTGTCCCTGAGTCTGAATAGGTCGAGACTTCTTCCATTTGCTCTTGGGAGTAGTACCTCATAGCTTGATTTGTGGTTATTCTTTCCGAGCCACCCTTACCCTTCCATGGAAGAACAGTAGGCATTTGTCCGGAAAACTTCATTCGTGATAAAGTCTCCAATGGAATATACTGCACCTGGCTATTTTCAAGTTTCTCATCGTATTCAGGATCAGTCATTGTGCTCTTTTCCATTGTCGATATCCCTACAACAAAATTGCTCTTGTGAATAATCAACCCTTCTGGAGTTGACGCCCCCGTATGCGCAATGACTGTGCTTGTGGCATACGCGCCTCTATTCGTCTTAACCCTATTGCTCCTCGCGCTCGTACTATCGGGAGATGATATCACTACCGGTGTTGCGGGAATTACGCTGATTAGTGGCTCCGGTGTAGCCACTGTGTTTGCCGGCGTTACCGGGGCCCTCTGCGGTTTTTTATGAAGCACCAGAGGTTTCGCAAACAGATCTGGAGTTCGAGGCTGGGAGTTTCTTGAGCTTGACGAGCTGTCGTATATTACACTAAAGATTGGATCGACTATTGGAATTGGTTCAAAGGGACGGCGCAAAAGGACTTGTTCTCGGACTTTTTCCGGGTCGATCCCACCCTCTGTAACTTCACCGTCCCCCTCGACACTAGAAGCAGAAGACTGAGAGTGACGGCTAGAGACCTGTTTTCTAGCCCTACTAACTGTATCCGGCACTGGAAATGAGCCAAGGATAAGTTTCGGCGACCTGTCGCCTGCAGTCCGTTTGTGAATATTTGTTGGAGTAGATGAATGTAAGTAGTGTGCAGGCATAGGAGAATCGTTCTTGACGATTGAGCTTGTAACGGAGTGTTTTGGAACAGTCTGTATGCGGATTTGCTCCCCACTAGATGTGGCCGCAGAAGATGAACTCAGATGATAGAAGTTACTTGCATCGCCTCCAGATTTATTCGCTACAGCAGGTTTATCGTTATTCTCAGAGGAGCTGGTATCTGCATCATATGAAGATGTCGAGCAACCAAGTCTCTGAGCAGATATATCTGAGGTCGGAGTTGCGCAATCAACAGGACTGGAATCATTGATGAGTGCCCGAACTCGTGTGAAAAGACTGGCAGCAGCTTCCTCAATAGAGTCAGGGGTACGGCGCTGGTTGTCGGTGATGGGCCTATCCTTCTGTAGACGTGATATCTAGAAATCCAATGGTTTTAGTGAGCTGAGGTCCTGAACAGAATGTTGAAACATACGCCTTTTACTCGGGGAGATCCAGCCGCTACTTCCGCTGGAACGGGGTGAGCGGTAGCAGGCCGCTGGTCCATATCAGTGCAGCATCAAGCTAGCACGATAAACCCAAAGAGTTGTATGGAGCGAAAGAATTGAAAATGGTTGAGCAAATAATATACATTCATGCAATAGTCATAAAGTGTTTAGATCTCTGGGAGTGGACACATGTGACCTTTGCCACTCAAGATGCTAGTGTGCCTTTTACGGGCTAGTATAGTCTCGTACCCAGCCCGCTACTTGCAGCAAGCTGCTCAAAGCATGGAAGTAGACGGGTTGGGGACGAGCCTAGGGCTAGTACTACATGTACATACAGCCATACATCTTATAGTGTACATACATGTACATGTACCTACATCTTGTGGTCTACACACACCTTGTAGTCATGTAAAGCTTTGTACATGTTATCTACTTGCCACCAAACAGCTGGACACAGAAAAAAATCTGGCAAGTATATTGACGACCATCTCCAATCACATTCTATAAGTGGCACAAGTATAAGCTGGTTGTTCGACTTAGCCGACCTCGACCAGCTTACATGTGATATGACTCAAACTAAATTTTCCTACTCATATAATATATCTCAATTTAATTTTCAATATGCAGATGTCCAATTTATCAGGTTTAACTGTACAGCGAGTGCCTAGTCAGTCAATACAAGTACAGCGAGAGGTAAAATTATTGTAGAAACAGGGGTCTAAAAACAGGGTTTCTGTGGCTGGGCAAGCCAATAGGACTCCTCCCATATTTCTACAATAATCTTACCGCAAGCTGTACTCACAGCACTATCAAAAATTTACATGTCACCATTCGCCTGATATAACGAGTGATCGCTTGTGATTCGCCATTCATGTTTTCAATTGCTCTAATACGTTCACCAAATCGCCCCCGCCGGCCACCAAGATCCGACCACACTAGAACTACAATACACCATCGGTAGAAACCCAAGAAATTTCTACCTACTACAGATCTATCTCCACAGTTTGTGGCTCTTTTTAATTGCCGGTGTATAAGTGTGGAGTATATGAGTGCAACATTCTTAAAGATTTATAGAAACTTAGCTAGAGTTGTCAAATTCTGTAGGGTGTACCCAAGGGGTCTTGAATACGGAGCTAGGAGGGGTATAGGGTGTATTCTTTTAGATTAGTGATGGGCACGAGACAAGTTGTCTCGAGACTAAGTCTCGAAACTTTCAGCAAGACAAGACGAGACCTGAGGGTTGATAAGACAAGACAAGACTAGGTCTGAAAGCCTCGAGACTAGACCATTGTCTCGAGATTTTCAAGACCTAGTCCAAATAATACAAGACAAGACGAGACTTCCCCAAGTCTCGTCTCGTCTCGTGCCCATCACTATAAATTTAGATTCTACTTTCCAGTTGTTTGTCGATGTGTCAAGTCTTTGCATGATTAAAATCTTATGAATATAACTAGGAGCGATTGTAATTGGTGAATATTCCTTTATAGAAAGGCGAGATCGAAAACGGATTTGTTGTATAAAAGAGCAGGTGACCAGAAATTGTTTTTTTTTTGCTTCAAGAGCATCTAGTGGGTACAACACATACTAAAGCAATGTAATGTTACTTATAAGAGAACAAGAAATCTATTATCCAAAAAAAAAAGCTCATATTACAAAAATAAATACTACGGTTAATTAAGCAGTGATTTGGAGACTTTCTGACCATGGTCGCACATCTCAGGATGACTCTGTTTCGATATGTTCAGTGACGCTTGAGATGGTTCCATTGAATCCACTGAAACTATACCCCGCGTGGTAACCAATGGGCGCGGGTAAACTTCTCGTTTGGGGTTCCGACAACTTAAAGAGAAATTCCTTGGGTTCGTTTTTCTCTTCTACGCCGAATACCTTCAATTAACTGTTCCAGATCAAACCTGAGAGGCATCTTATCACATACCTTCAAGTGATTCAAGTACATTTGCTACCTCTTCTTCCATATTCCGCTTAAAAGTTATATATGTAGGATCCTCATCCGAAATGAATCTAATCATTTCTGAGTGGGTTTTTGAGACGCCGACTGCAATTTCTCTTGGCATAAATAATCGTGAAGACATTTTTTGAACCGTTTCCTCTGCTCTTTCTTTTGGTTCACACTGTCCCGAAGCGGTCTAGGGAGATTTAGCTTTCCATAGATCTATAATAAAATTGAAGGATTCGATGTTTAACTCTACCTGTACGATAATTGGTGTTTTTACTTTCTCATAAAAGCTGTAGAGATTGATTTTATCCCAAATATCGACTAGATCGTTTCTCTGGCTTATAAGAAACTCAGAATTTTGCCTCAGCTTTTCGAGGAGCATAACTGCAGCAGATGGATCCCCGTCCCTTGACATATCTTTAATCCTTGCTTCAAGTTTAGATGTTCGAAAGCCTTGGTGTGGGACCCCGAAAAAGAACAGAGCCCTTGTTGCGTTTAAGATATGTTCATAAATCTTCCGGCTTTTTGACTCAAGCAATGTCTATGAAATACAAACGTAAGCTACACCACCCTCCCATAAATCAGACCGGAACTCTGACCTGTAAGATGAGGATGCCACCAAAACCATGACCTATAAAAATGATAGGTCTTTTTTTTTCCTGGGCGCACACGGGTCAGTTGGACACTTATGGAGTACACATACAGGATGAATACTTGAGCTGTCTTCCTAACGTTCAATAAATGTGTGAATAGATTTGATCTGAGGTCCAGAATGGTGTCCTCCATTGTGTCCCCGATAAGATCGGTGTTGTAACCATAGGTTAAAATACGGATGTTTTTAATATCTTTGGGAAGATGATTTTGAAGCCACATTTCACCGCTCTTCGTGTTCCTCCAGGACTCGATTGCGTGCCCTTCGAGACCAGCAACAGCAATAACACTGGAAAAACAACATTTTATTAGTTTCCAGACCATAGGAGTGAAAGAGTATCGCCCACTCAATCATATCATCCCCATCCTCCGGCCTATTCAGAGGAGTGAGATGATAAAAGTTTCGGTCAACCATAACCCCGTCAGTTGACAACCCAGGTATCATAAAATACGAAGCCTCGGATTTAATTCGCCGAAAAGAGTCTGGGCTCCCCTTGGTCCTTATCACGGCAACTTGCTTTCGGTCATAGCACCCTGGGTATAATGATAGGTCTGAAGGCTCGATCTTGAATGATTTATCGAAATCCCGAAGGCAGTCCATGAGTTTATTATTGTCGCAGTCTTCTGGAATACCAGAGATACGCCAATATGTTATCTTCTCACTTAGATCCCTTTTGTCGGGGATTGGTGCTGTATTTTTAAGTGGGGCGCTCTTGGGGTAGCCACGATATGTCCATGGGGAAAAAAACCAACTCAAGGCTAAAGCCAGTATTGTACAGACACAAGAGATTATGAGGGAAATCATAATTGTAGAGCAAAGAACAGGTGTAAACAGCGGTGTTGTATGACCCAGAAGGACATTGTGTTCTTATATATATCCAATAAATATCAATAAGAGGCCGCTCCACACAACCTGTATAGCATCAAAACCTTTTCCTCCACTATGATCATGAATGTGCATTGTCCAGTGAGTACGAAGTGCGGAGCCGCCATCAGGCGCGCGCATAACCTTTGAGTCAATCTCATGGTATGCATGGTCCTGCAATAGGAAGGTGTGCCAGACTCAGTTTCGATATCACGAAATTTTACCCCCGCATGCGCATGAGCCAGGCCACGTTACACTAAAGTAATCATCATGCGATTCATGCGGCTGTAGCTATGGTCAAAGGTATTTCGATGTTTGTGGCGCATCAACAGGATTGACAATAGCACTTTAATGCTTTACTATGGGTGTCGGTTGAGTTTGTTGACAGTGAGAGCTGTTGTAGACCAGTTATGTAAGTGACTGAGAAGTGTTTAGTCTAGATGTCACTTCCCTTGTTAGCCAAGCGCCACGCAGCTTGCCTCGGGCGTGTGGCGGAGCGGAGCTTCCCGTGCTTGCATCCGCTCTCGGCAACACGATCCCGTGCTTATCATATCAAATTTCAACCTCTAGAAATGGCCACAGCTGGTTGGATTGGTAAGAGTTCTTATTCCGCCGTTGAGGAGTCGAAACTACCACCAGTCACAGTCGCTCTGCTTCAATCGTCGACGAAAATTTATTTTCAACCTTTCCCAAGCTCTCCCGAGTCTCATGATTCTGCGGCGGCTGCGTCGGTCAATTGACGTGATTTGAGACACTGAGCGGACGCCGACTCTCCAGACAGCTTCACTGCTCGGATCGGCACACACAAGAGCATCCATCCCACTATGAATCCCGCACAAGCAGCCCAGAGATCCCCACTAGTGGGACCGGTTCCAAACGGGGGGCGTCATTTCCTCGAGCTCCCTGACGAGCTCCTTGTTCAGATCGTTTCCTGTCAGAGCTCCCGACCCCTCAACTCCCCTCCTTGCTGCTGATAAAATGTCCCCTAGATCTCCCTCCACGCTCCGCGATCCCTCTTCACTCCACCTGCCGCCGTCTTCGTGGCTTCACCCGACAAGACCCCGCACTATGGCGGTCGCTCTGTGCTTACCAAGAAGCGGTCGATACTCATCCTGCCTTTGTTCCTACACCGCCCCCAAGTCCGCCTGGGAGTAATAATAACACGACGCCTCGAAATCCGGTTCCTGCAACGGCTATATCTTGGCCTATCCCTGGGATAAGAGATGCCGAAAAGATTGATTGGTATAATGAATATAAGTTTCGCCATGCCCCACTGAAGATGCGGTGGTTCTGCGCGGGCGAGGATAAGCTGGATGTGGATGTGGGGCTGCAAGACGAGGTGAAGGGAATAGGCGCATTCTCGTCCAGGGGCAGCGGAAACGGGAAGGATATGTTGCTTTCCAGTCTCTCGGATGGCAGCATCTGCATATGGTCGTTGAAGGACACCGCCTCTGGGAAGGGAAGGAGAGTCGTCGCAAGATCCAGGCCGGGACTGGTATTCAGCGACCAAGGCGATGAGAAATGGCAGGGGAGGAGGAAGGCAAGAGAGGCTGAAATAGTGGATGGCGTGAGTGTGGACGATGTAACCGGGAAAGTATGGGTTGCTGGAGAAGAGGGTTTGGTTGAGATAGTGGGTATTCCAGAAGTTCATATTGACAGCTCGTCCCACTGACTGCGCCCAGGACCTTAACACACTCCAAAAGGTTTCTACCCATCGCTTTCCGTTTTCGATCACAACGCTCTCTCAAACGTCGCACCCCCACCCCCTTACAGTTGGGACCACATTGACTCTCCATCTCCACGATCCGCGGGTTGCCGTTCCTGCCTCCACCGTTACTTTCAGCTCCGGTGGTACAGATGATGAACGTGTTCAGCCCGTGCATATTAACCCACAACCATATACTTCGTATCCATTCCGCAAGAACTACCGTCTACACGCCACCCTTTTCCAGCCAGGGCCATTAAACATCATCCACAGCGACCCTTGGGCCGGCGCAAGTAGCGGCGACGGCGAGATCTATGTCGCAGGCAGATTCCCCAGCATCCTCTGCTACTCCCGCAAAATGTGGCCCAAGCTCCGCGGAACAATTTACTCTGGCGGCCGGCTCTGCGCCCTCGCTAGTATACCGTACTTCCATTCCCCCATCTTCCCTCCAGGGCCCTTGTCGGGCCTAGGAGCCGAAGCCGAAGCCGAGGATGACCGCGGCCAAACAACTCTCCTAGCAGGCGGGGAATACAAGGGCCACGGAACACTCGAGGTTTACCCTCTCACCTCGGTGCCAAGTTCATTCCCAACTACGCTGGCCCCGACCGCCACGAACGTGACCCAGAACCGTCAGACCGCATCACGGTCTAAAGTGATGACCGTGGCCTCGCACGGCGCGCGCATTGTGACTGGGGATGCGAACGGTATCGTCCAGTGGTTCGAGCGCGACGGCAGGAAGCTGGCCCGCGCGTATGTCGTCGAGCCACCCGGCAGGCGGAAGAAAAGTGAAGGCCTATGGGGGAACGCGCAACCTACGACAGCAGCAGCCACCGGTCGAGGCCTCCATATGGGGGGTGAGGTCATACGTAAAGTTATCGTTGTCAATCAGGGCGGCGAGGAGCTGATCGTGTGGGCCGGGGACCGGGCAGGTGTTCTGGGCACGTTTGGGGCTGAGGAGGCCGAAGAGGTGAAGGAGGCGGAGGAGGAGAATATGGAGAAGGTGTATTTGAGGAAGATGAGAGAGGTATTGGAGAGACAGGCGGAGGAGGTGAGGATTATGGCGGGCTTGGGAGAATTTTAGTCTTTGGATGAACGGTAGTCGGAAATATCGAAATGGTATTCCTCTTGTTCTCCCTTTTTCTTTTTTGGTTGAAAGTTAGTTTTTTGTTGGCTTCAGCGCAACTTCTTTTTGTTTTGTTTTAGCCTTTGCTTTTCTTTTTTCTTTCCGGAGGGCCTTTCTGCTTTCTCGCAGAAGCTATTGACTAGTTTTCTTGCAAATTAAAACTACCTACTTTTTCTCTTTTACGATGCTTAGTAGCTACATGTAGGTTTTGGATTTCGGATTTCTTTGGGCCATGAAAGGACAGGGCAGGGCAGGGCTGGCAGGATATAGAAGTTTTCATTTTACCTTGAGTGGAGGGAGGAAAACTGTAAAGCCATTTTATGAGTGTACGTTTAGAAATATATTTAATATATTTCCTAGTTTCACTGCTCAGAGAGTATCAATTGGTAATTGGCTCAAAATGTGGGGATGAGCTGCAGAAAATAGGCGGCCGCGTGGCCTAATGGTTAAGGCGTTGGTTTTCGGCACCAAAGATTGGGGGTTCGAGTCCTCTCGCGGTCGGTTCATTGAAGTTCTTTTTGTTAGGCTTTGGGTTGTGCGGTGTGGCGGGGTTGAGGTGAGGAACTGTGTGGTTAATGATGCTGGCGGTAGTGGTGGTCGTGAGAGCTGGTGGTGGTGTGGGACGAGTGAGAGGTTGTGACCCCCCAACCACCACTCATTATAACAGTAATAGTAGACCGCAAAACTACATCTGCACAAAATATATCAACAGTGATAGAACCCACCCGACGGATAATATCACCTCCTTGTCCCTAGAAACAAAAACTATTCAGTTCTTAATTGTTTCATTATCGACCACATCTCAACTCAACCCCTAAGTGGCCGATATTGCGCCAAAAATAAGACAAAAATGAGGTTGAGAGAGTTCGGTACTCAGGATTCCCGCATGGTCACCCACTGCAGTACTAATTGAGCGATACGACGGTTGAGTATGGCAGAGCGGACGGGATGCCCTATTTTCGTCGTTCTATGACCGAACACGTAGGGATGAGGCGGGCGGCGGTCGAAATTTTTGACATTGGTGTCTTGGCGGCGAGTTACTAACCAACTCAGGACTCGCTAAAGTCTATGTAATCCTGGATGGCGAGCTAGGCGGGAAGGAGGTATATTAGAAATGGGGATAAGTGTGTTGGTGTTGATATTGGTTTGGGGCCGGTGGTATTTGTGGGTGAGTGGACGAGGGGTGATTTGGCGTATGAAGAACGATGCCCTCGGTGACTTGGATGGTGCGGGCGCGGGCTCCACCTTTGATCAGTGGGACGGAGGCGGCGTTCGCTAGACCAAGCCCGCTGCTTTAAGCCAGTGTGGTTACGAACAATTGATGAAGTGATCAATCAATCGGCGTTGTTACATGTACGAGGTGGAAGCACCGAGTGATGGCTTATGATCTGATTAAGATCTTGGTTGGATTCGCCCTGAACTCTTACCACTACAAAAACCACGAATAGCACGTATAGTATACGTATGTCCAATCCCCATTCGCCAATTCCTGCCCCGCCGCGAACAAACCAAAATACCTCTCATAACCCCCACTATGGAGCAGTTCCTTCACTATGCAGCCTTAGTAAACCACGCCGGCACAGTGCCAAAAATATCAAGCGGGCAAACCGCTAAGCACTTGCTCCCCGCCGCATCGTTTCCCAAGTCGGTAGAGGACCGAGTGACGAGTGATGAGTGATGATCCAAGATAAACCACCGGCGCAACTCTCCTGGCTGGCTTTGGGTGCGAAAAGTGATCGCTGCGTCGTACAGCTTTACAGATGGATATGTAGTTAGCTATCCGCGCTCACTAGCCCTCCGGATATCCCCTTCCTTGCGGTTCTGCACTCCTATGCCTGGAGATACACATATTACTTCGATGTATAATGTTTTTATACTCGATGGAGGGGGATACCAAATACCAATAGCATAAAAGCATTCTATCGCATTGCTGGCCTTCTCCTTTTGTAAACCGCACATCCCATTGAATCTACGAGTATCAATGGACGGCCTATATATACGGTGTATTGGAACATAGTCGATACGAGGCTCAGGCCTATATGTGCTAGAGAAGTTGTCGAGATGTTTACGGACACCGAGGAGATGGTGAGTAGTGATGCGGATGTCGATTGGGTATGTGTGCGAGCCCGTTAGTTAACCCTTTGGCTTTGTGGATGAGTGGATGCTCACTAGGGGTAGAATTACTGTTTGTGCCGTGCACTTGGTAGTATGGGTTGGTATTGGTGGTGCTGATTGCGCTGTGTACTGGTGTGTTGTAATTTGCGTTTTATGGAGCATGTGTAGAACTAGAATTACGGCATGCAGCTTATAAGGTGATCTTAGTAACCGTGTCCACAGAAAAATACAGTCCGGGTTAACTCGACGTGTCATTATGATGTGTCAGTAGCTATAGATTAGTAGGTTCTTATCCTCTTTTGCCACCCTATTACAGCTAGCAGAGTAGACTTTCAGCAGAGAACGGGCCCGGGACTCATACACATTTCTACGTACTTCGCAATTCTACTCCATCTCTTATAATTATATACGTTACCACATAGATTCATCTCCCATCCGGCTGCGCGGGTACCAGGAACCGAGCAAACTTCACTATCCCCTTGCCCGCTCGCCCTACCCAGCCTTCCCTGCTGTTCTCAGCAAAATCTTACCCAGTCTGTAGGTTGTCGGCCAGGCTGAATGGGACAAGGAGGTGCATGGACCAGAAGACCCACCCGCCCACCAGCCCACCAGCTCCAGAACTATTCTGGCCACAAGCAACATAACACCCAGCTCAAGCTGCCGATAATGGCACAGGGACGGTGAGAATGTGGATGATTGGCTTACTGCTTTTATCTCACGACTGAGCACGCGACTCTCTACTGGCCGGTGGCCGGGCAGCTACTCCAGTATATCGCAACACTACTTGTCAACTCTATAGCTGGCCAACCCTAAAACGTGTAAGTATCCCTCTATGAGATACAGAGTTGTGTGACCAAGCAACAGCTGACATGAAGTTCCCCAGACACCCCCCTACAGTCCCGATACCGAGTGACCGCCCGTGATCCAATTATCACTCCATATATCCCCATCGATACTTAATTATCCGTACAAGAGCAACCCACCTTTAACTCTCAGAAAGAGGAAGGATTCTGGAACATGATTTTACCCAACTTACGCAAGGAAGTGGCGCGGGGGTTGCATGTTGTGGTCCGTTGGCTAAAATGGGCGGGCGTCATTATCGGGCCATTCGTAAACTAACTCTGGTGGGGTTTGGGCCTGTACTCTATATCAAACCCCCCACACCCACACCATCGGTCCGTCAAATATTTAACATGATCTGCAGGATGTGGAAGTGGACCTTTGAGAGCGAGTGATAGAGACTCGGAAGCATGTGGTAGTCGAGGTGTCACTTGTGATTGGTGGGGATCGGGGACTGCATTATGGTGAATGACACATATCTACAGAGTAACTAAGGGAGGTAGGTAAATTAGATGTGGATACCGGTACGTACGATTTACTAGCCACATTCCATCATACGTCTTAATAATATGGGGTGGGTAGGTATCGATGGAAGCATTTGATCGAATCTACCATTATCTGGGGAATTCCGGTACCGATTGCGAAATCAACCGGAAGCGTACAATACGCTACAGCTTACCTTATAATACAGCGACTGCAAGAGATTCCAATAATACCTCCATGCTTTGATCATCTTAAACTCCAAAATACCCTCAAAATCGCTAGCCCCAAAATTCGGTTCGATCTAGCCAAGGCGTCTGATGATTGGTAGTTACGAGTGATGGCCCATGAGGCCCTACCAACCTCCACTCCAGCTAATCGTGGCAAATGATCCCACATCGGAAAGCACCGGAAAGCATCGGCCTCCTCATAGAGGCCCCTGGGTAGGGCAGGCATTCCCCATGATCTGGTATTTTCCCGCTTCTCCGAAGACAATACTTTATGTATCCGGGATACCGCTGCTCCCGGTCCCAGGCCAAACCCTGTATCATAGCATCGGGCCGCCCGACACCGTGCCGTCGTCGTATTCATTCCCTTCTCTTCATGAAACCCTACTAGCCTTTTATTTGCCTGCTTTCTTAACCCCAGATTCACACACACACCCTCATAGCCTAATCTAACCAACCTATCTATCTACATTACCTGTCATCTGTCACGCCCACGTTTCCCGCCTTCCCTAGGCGTCTGCCACGTTTCCCCCGGATTACAATTACCATATTCCCAAAAATAGTCCCCCCGGCCGGCAGGATGAACCCGGGTTAATTCTCTGTCTGTTTTAGAACCGGCCCGACCGACCGAGCGATCGCGGGGTAGGAGGTTCGGTGGTTTGGGTTGGTGGGTGCGGATGTTGAATCCGTCCGAGACGTTGCTTTTGCGATGGGTGCGATCGCGGACATCGGGATGGCGGGCTGGGCTCGGTTGGCCTGTGTTGGGTCTGGGGAGTGGTTGTTGTGCGGTGGTGGAAGGATCGCTTTACGGGGTTAGTTAACACACACCACGACTCACTCGTGACAGGGACGGAGCTCCTCCATCGATTTCGCGCGCGGGGTGTGTCTCTAGGTGTGTCTCTAAGTGTGTGTGTGTCTCTGGTAGGTGAGTGTATGGAGAGTGGACATGGAAAGGCAGAGGCAGAGGCAGAAGCAGGAGGAGGGGTAAATCGGTGGTGGTGGTGGTGCGTGGGCGATCCGATGAAGCTTATTTGCAGGTTCCAGGCCGGTTTGGAATGGCGACACCGTGCTGTGCGTGAATGTGCACTAGAAGAGAGCAGATGATAGATACTCACTTACCGGCAGGGAGGCTTTCTGTCCTGCGTTACCGGTCGGAGAGTGACAGGTAGGTAGAACAGGTAGAGGTGATTACACCGAAGAAAGGAGGCGGATAGAAAGAGAGAGTGATGTTTCTCCCCTTCATGATTCCCCCCTTCATGATTCCCCCCTGGTTACTCCTGCCCGCCCGCTGACGTCACAGGCTCCTACCTAACTCACTAGGTACTGTATCTACCCCACATCACGATTCAAATCCCGACCAGCCCCAGTGCCACCAGGAATGTTCCATCGTGAGCTTAACTAGCTGTCGTGTTAGGGCCGGTACTTGTTTGCGCAGGTACAGCTTTTTCGTTGTGCACAAACTATAAGCTGTCTCTGCAAGTTCGCGTATCGTGACCAGCCCTTGATTCCACTCACACCGGCCCTGTTTTTTTTTTTTTTTTTTTTTTTTGTGCTGTTGCAGGCGAGCAATTAAATTAAATACCTCCTTCCTCAACGTCATGTCACTTGGAACTAGCAAGAATACTTGATTTTTGAATTTTTGATTTCTTTTGTATTTTCCTAGGCTAGGTAGGGGGTCGAGGTGGGAGAACCCAAAGAAAAGGCCCCCCCGTCGAGATATCCCTATATCCTGACTCTGACTCCTCCGCCTATGTATGTGTGCTATGGTATGCTACCTTTTTCTCTGCGGGCTGCTGTGGTGGTAGCAGTTAGTGGGTAAATTCACCCTTCCCCCTCCCATACATGCTGCAGCAACCCACAAACACCCGGTCTCACCCGAGATAAAAAAGCTCCCGGTAAAAAAAGATAAATGATAAAAAAGGAAGAAAGATAATAAAAAAAAAAAAAACAAGGAAAAACCAACGCCCCGCCAGATAGATTTGGAAAAAGTAAATGAGAAAAATAAAAAATAGAAAAACCCCGAACCGAGTAACCCGAAAAGAACAGAAACGAAAAGAAGAAAAAAACTCCCATATGATGTTTGGAAAATGTAGAAGTGAAGGTCGAAGGAGGAGAAGGGGGGACATGAAAAATAAACATAAGAAAAAAATAAAACCCAAACCCAAAAGCCAACCAGCCCAACCATTACAAAAACAGGCAAAATGTTGAACAAAAAGAATGTGGTTTAAAGGAGCGACAGGAATATAATCAATAAGATAATATGAATAATAAAAAAAGATCTATGGAATCCCAAAAGAAACCTCAACGTGAAAAAGAAGTTTTAAAATAAAAGAAAAGAAAAAAGAAGCCCAGCTCCTTCTATATTTCCCCAAAAAGAATAAAAGAAAAGAAAAGAAAAGAAAAGAAAAGAAAAGAAAAGAAAAGAAAAGAAAAAAGAGAAGTAGGAGAGGCCGGGCATCGGATCTAATCCGACACATGCCCGCTGCTGCTGCTGCTCCCGCTACACCGTCTCCAATTGACGCTCACGACGGCGCCCCTCCTCGCCCTCTTCTTTCCAGCTGCCGCAGCTCCAATTCCCAGTCCCTTCACTCCCTTCGCCTTCGCCGCCGACCCCCTCTTGACCGCAACCGGCTTCTTGATGCCACTGCCTCTTGACACGACCGAGGGCAGCGAGTTACGTCTCCTCCGCGAGGCCGTCGGCGAGCCGCACGCACCATGATGTAGTGGTGGCGCCGCAGATACACTGCAGTTGTCGCGTGACGAGATCATCTCCTCGACAAGCGACGACAAACACCGCAGTTGTGAATCGGTGGTCTGTAGGCGGGCGAGGATCTGGCGTTGGAAGCGGACGCAGGTGCGGGGGACCAGGTAGGCGGGCTGGTGCTGTGGCTGTGGCTGCTGTGGGGGTGATGGTGGGAGCGGGCTTGTGGGTGTTGTTACTGGTGTGGTTGTGGGGTCGGCAAGGGAGAGGGTGGAGAGGGAGGTTGATAGTGTGCGTTTGAAGGGGTCCTCTTCGGGGTCGAGAGGTGAGAGAGGAGGTGTGGAGAGGGAGTAGGAGGGGTTGAAGAAGAAGGTTGGGGGTTGGTCGAGATCTGAGGAGTCTGGTGCGATCGGGGGCGACATGAGGGCCGGTCTTCGCATGGATGAGACGCTGGGGGCGTCGAAGGAGAAGTTCTCGAACATGTTTGTGGTTGGATGTGGAGATAGAACTGTTATCTAGGTATGTTTATCTTGTATCTCTCTCTCTTTATCTCTTATCGTCTTCTAGTCCGTTTTGCTTGTTTTGATATGATTTTGATATAAGCTGAAAAACGAGGCTGACGAGATTGTTATATGTCCGAATCGTTCGGTGATATGTGTGTCTTGTGTGTTATGTGTGTTATGTATAACCTTGTTGATATTGCACCCAAAAATAAGTCCGAAGGGCAGTTGAGCTTTTTTGTAGATTCGCGAGGCGGCGGCAGCAGGGCGGGGGATGCGTAACCTTAAGTACTGAAGATGCTGCGCTCCGACCCCGTTAAGCCTTCCCAGTTTTTTCTCACACACCCACACCCACAACCTTCCCTACCACCCACACCTCGAAATTCTCTTCTCCTTCGATTCTTCTCTCCGAACACACACCCTGCAAGTGCTACTGAGTCCACTCTCCACTTACCACCACTCCACTCCACTCCACTCTTCCTAGGTTCCTAGCTACTCCCCCAACCCTGCCCTACCCACTCAATTCCCTCCAACCCTGTGCCTCTCCCGCTGGTCACCTTCGTGTCCACATGCTGACATGTCTGCAGCCGTATGCCAGATGGACCCTTGCAGGGCTGCCACACACACACTCACACACAACCACACACACCACACCTCCAATGGAAGCCTAACAACGCACTTTTAGCAGCCCTGGGGTGAGTGAGTAATTGCCACCACTCCCTCCCCCCCACCGTCGTGGCGCAGGCCGGTGTTACGCTCCCAATGGGGGAAATGGCCCATTCACCCTGCACGGACTACCAAGCCTGTTCCCAACGCGGTTGCAGAAGGGGGGAGAAAGGAATTTTGGTTTCTCTCCTACTCAGAATCTCTCTGTAAAGCAGTTAGTATGTCCACAGTTTCTCTCTCAGGCAGCAGTGGACAGAAGAAGCACTGGCACTGGCACGGACTGAGCATTGTGCTCGAACGGGTCTCTACCACAGAATTCACTCAACCTCACCTCACCTCACCTCACCTCACCTGAACTGAACTGAAGTGGATGGTGAGTGAGATAAGATAGGTACTACGCAGCAGGCTGGGGTCAGACTTCAGTCAGTCAGTCAGTCAGTCACTAGGCTTGATTTGCCGGTTCCACCCCCCTCTAATGCAGCCTCCCTCAGCCAACGTAACGTAAGGCGAACAAACCCAACCCCCGTCGGTAAAACATTCTGAGATGAACACGCCTCGAATCGAAATCGATTTAGGTTTCCAGTTCGTTGGCACCTCTCCCCTCCCTCATCTTATCCTTATCGCCTGTCGGACCAAATATGGGTTAGTTCGTGCCCCCACCCTCTTCTTCCCCTATTTTCCACACCCCAAGCCAGCGAGCGAACGTGTCAGCTTTTCTCGAAGCCTGCCTTTCTGGGTTGAACTATGTGTTTCGAACAGAACAGACCCGTGCAGTCGGTGTCGCGCAACAGCCAACAACAAATATAACTTCACCTCCTTTTGCCTTTTGCTGTGATGATGATGACGCTGATGACGATAAGTTCCCGGTGGCATTTCATCCCAACGTGTATATTCAAATAGCTTCATTGGGGTATGTTGCCTCTGTTCCTGAGTGTTGATACCCACCCCCTCCCGACAGAGGTACTCTACCATGGATTTCAATACCCAATGACGGCATTTCCCTGGCTAGCAAATTACAGTCCCCAAAAGCGCACCTGGTATCGTTTCAAGAACCGTTGAAAGCTCCCACCCCCCGGTATTCCTCCCGGAAATTAAAAACAAAACCTAGAGCACACACCCTACCCACTCTACCTATCTTATCATCGGACCCGACAAGAAGAAAAACTAGTCCGGGGGTGTGCAGACGGTATTTCTAGAACAAGAAGAAGGGGGGCGTTCTTTTCGT